AGAATTAAATATTTTTGAATGTTAAAATAAGTAAATGAAAAGAAGGTTAGAAGGATTTGCTGGAGATACAATTTGAATTAGAATACAAAGCAGAGAAGTGAGAGGAAGTCACGGAAATAAGTAAATGGGAAAACGGTTTAAGTTGAATTTTTCTAATGGTTTAAGTTGAATGGTCTAATGGTTTAAGTTGAATTTTTCTTTTGTTATTTTTTATTGTGATTTTTTGTCTTGTGTATTTTTTCTTGTATTGTGTGTTTTTCTTGTAGGATGTATGTGATCAGTTTTTCTTTCTTTACTTTTTTCTTTTTCTGTAATCTTAAAATTTGAATAAATATTATATAAAAAAAAAAAGAAAACGCTATTTCCTCCTGGTTGGATGCTTCTTTTAAGATGAAGTTTGCCATCCACAGTTTTTATAACATACTAAATATAATGGCTCAAAAAACTCACTCTCTGCCATAGACCGGTGTTGCTATATCTCAACCCAAGCACTCTGATGTAATCCTTTAAATGTCCCAGACACACAGCAGATGAGTGAGGAGGACAGACTGTGAACTGAATGGACAGAAGAAGCTGTGACTGACTTGTTGCCTACTGTGGCGAAAGATTTCCAGGTTGCAGATGGGCAACCTTCAGCCTATTCAGTGCCCTCATGAAATGAAAGGGTGCAGAAGTTACTGGGAAGTGGGGTGAGCCTGCTGGGGAGAAATCTTAGCAGGCACCCTCTTTTTTCCTGTGCTACTTATTAGGCAGCTCGCAACAGGAATTCCGGCTGGATTTATTTCCTCATAGATAGGGTTACCATACGTCCAGGATTTCCTGGACATGTCCTGTTTTGGGGGGGCAGCCCCCTGTCTGAGTGGATTTTTGCCTTTTGGATTAAAGGTCCGGGTTTGGGGGCTTTTTATTCTTGTGTTTTGGGTTTTTTAAAAAAAAAAAATGGGGCCCATGCATGCTCAGAAGGTGCTGTGCCCCTAAACAGGAAGAGCAGACTGGGTGGCCTGGAGCAGCTTGACGGAGGTCACACTAGGCTTGGCGTTGTTTCTGGCAGCTGCCAGGCCTTGCACAGCCTTTTTGGGGTCACACAAGGCCCCACACCGGTCCTGGCAACTGCACGATGTCCCTGGGGCCGCTCAGCCTCCCATCATGAGCAGGGGGCCAAAGATAGCAAAGGTTAGAGAAGAAGCAGGGAGCATGCAGGTGAGGAAGGGGTTAGCGGCAGGGAGGGGGTGAGCGAGGGACATGAGGGATAGTAGGGGGGGTGCCCCATGGTGGGGGGTGTGTGTGTGTGTGTGTGTGTGTGTGTGTGTGTTTCATCCCCAGAATATGGCAACCCTACCATAGAGACTCCCTTGGCTTAGGGAAGAATGCATCTGTCGCAGGGCTTCTAAAAGCAGGAAGTGGCATGCGCTTTTGGCTGCTCTCGACTGGGGACCAAGGGTGGGTGGCAGAGTGCCCATCTGCGCAAGACCCTGAGCCAGATTCTGCAGTGGGAAGGAGGGAGGGACACACGCACACACACTGTGCCTCTTTTGCTCATGGTGTGGCAAAGCAAGGATGGTGTGTTTTTTTGTTGGAGCTTTCTGCAACTGAAAGGCACCTTGAGAGGCTGGTGCCAGGGAACTGGGCTGTGGAAAAAGCCCAGGGTTGATTTGTTCAGGGAAGTAACACTTTTGCAATTTATCCTCCCGCTGGGAGTGCAGTCCCCCCCCCACTCCCTTCTCCACTGCAGCCAGTGATAAATGGGCTTGTGGTCAGTAAATCAAAGAGAAATTCTGCTTAGGAAATGACATGGCTGCTTTTGGCAGAGGGAGATGGATGGCTGGCTGGCAGCGGAGACTTGGCTTGTTTGGAAAGGACACCAGCCACCCCACAGCTTGTTTCTATTGGGGTAAGGGGAGTGAAAGAGAGAAAGCACACACACACACATACCCCAAGGGAAAGTGGAACATGCCCCTTCCCTCTTCTCACACCCATGGGAAGAGGAGAAGGGTCGTAGCTTAGTGACAGAACGTCTGTCTGGTTAAGTCCCCAGCATGTCCAGGTAAGGTTGGCAATGTCTGCTGTCTGAAATCCAGGAGAGCTGCTTCTACTCAATGTAGGCAATACTGGCCTAGATAGAGCAATGGTTCGACTCAATGGACAGCAGCTCCCAATGTTCCTATTTCCCCCCAAGCCTGTTGGATCCCTGGACACCCATTCCCCGGGTTCGTCTTCCGTGCTTTCAGATCAGGGTGTTGCAACATTTCTCTGAAGCAGGTCTGGGTGCCAGATGAAGCTCTTGGGTCCCCAAGATTCTCTCCAGACCCTTGGCAGGCATGCTGGGGACCTCTCCTTTTGCCCTGCCTCAAATCCTGGAGAGGCACTGCCAGTCAGCATCAAGAATGCTAAGCCAGATGGCCCAAAGGTCTGTATAAAGAAGCTTTGTGTGCTCTTTGAGGCAGTGTGCTACTCCTCCAAGAATACCATCATGAGCGCCAAGGAATAGCCCAAGGAGCTGGGAGGCTTGGAGTGGCTGCAGAAATCCCCCCCTGGGGCTACAGTAATGTGATTCCGTAATGGCATGTATTGCTAACTCTGGTCTTAGGTACCGAGAGAAACCGTCTAAAAGCTGGACGAGAAGCTTTGCAGCCCCGAGCTTCATAATCCCAGCCTTCATCCCTGCAAGCAGAGGATTTCCCCACAGCTTACTGCAAAGAGGGGCAGAGGTGTTTGGAAAGCAGCAGGATTTATGGCTTCAATTATTTTCCTTGCACCAAAGTCTGCTTTAATAAGCAGTGCAACAACATTGCGTGGTGTGTGTGTGTGTGTGTGTGTACACATTTGTAGGTCAGGCACCATCCAGGCCAAAGCAGCACTGTAATACAGGTCAAGTAAGCCATGCGCTGCAGAGTGGAGAGAGGAAGCTGGGGAGGATGATTGAGAGAAGGGCTCTTAACAGAGTGTGGGAGATGCTCATTTCTGGCCATTGCGGGCAGCTCCAGGTTTCTGCTGTCCTTGGGCATGAGATCTCTGGTGTCACTGTATAACTGGTCTGGGCCTAGAGATGTAAGGAGGCAGAGATTTCTGTCCCATCTGGGGTTCATTCCAATCCACACTGTTTCTGTTCCGCTACAGTTCAGTTTCTGCTAAAACCTACAACTCTTCATCTTGCAACGGCCAACACACATGTAATTAATTATGCAATTAATTTCAGTGGAAGGGAGATGTTGAAAACAATGCAGAAGATAAGGTGATTATGTAACATTCATGAACTAAACACACAAACACACCCAGAATGGTAGCAAATACCGCTCTGATTCGGTTTTTTGTGATTTTTGTCCTGACCAGTGTTCAAATCCCAAATGAGCCATGAAGCTCACTTGGTGACCCTCAGGCCAGTCACTCACTCTTAGCCTAACCTGTGAGGATAAAATGGGGAGGAGGAAAACTAGGTACACCACCTTGAGTTCCTTGCAAGAACTGTAGAAAATATTATAATATAATAAGCGTGTAAACTGCTATGCAATTAGGTTTTTCTGCCTCATCTAACCATGAGCATCCATAAATGGTAGGGGTGAGGCCAGGTGAGCTGTGCATTGCAGGGCGGGCATCCTCTCCCCCCCCCCCTTCTACCTGGGCTGCTGCTTCACACAGATCATAGAATCATAGACTTGTAGAGTCATAAGGTACCCCAGCCTCACAGCCTAACCCCAGCTTCTGATCCCACGTGGCCGATTGCAGAGTCAACAAAATTGGTGGCTGACTTCATCCTGGGATGGCAGCTGTCCCAAATGCTACAGACGAATCTCCTGAGCTCACAGATCTTCCTGCCTGCAGATGCTAAACTCATCATCGGCGATTGCATTAAGCTTCTGTTCTGGGATGGAAGGGATGTTTACGTAATACATAGAAGGAAACTGGGGAGGCCGGGGGAGGGGGTTGGCTTGGCCACACTTAATGAACACAAAAGGTTTGGGTTTCCAAGCTCTCTGCTAAGCAGCTGCCTGTGTTTATTTAACCCCTCTCCAACAGGAAACCCCTCTGGAGTTCCCTGATTAAACCAGATGGGCCCCCCGAATGCTGCCAAGATCCTCTGGATGCCTGGCAAAAGGAAGGCAAGAGGCCGCTGAGAGTTTCGCCTTGTGCGACTCCACGTCGCAATGGTACCGGGAAGTCAGTGGCTGCTAATAGCCCTTCTTCCTCTTGCATCAGTAGAGTGTCCGCTTCCTCTTGTGCCAGAGGTCTCTGGAAATGTGGGGCACAGACATCCACCCATGGCTTCCCCTCCAAGAATCCAGGGAACTATAGCTTGTTAAGAGAGCTGGAAATTGTGAGGGGTAAACTACAGTTCCCAGGATTCTTGGGGAAGGGAGTCATGGGCAAGATTCACCTAGCATGCTCTGCCAACAGAAGGACTTCCAGCTGCAGAATGGGACTTCTCCTTCTGCCTCACGTTCCTTCTCCTCCTTCAGACAGGGAGTCTCCCTCAGCCTTGCATGGGGATGCTGGGGAATGTATCTGGGACCTTCTGCATGCAGAATGCTCGCACTGTGGCTGAGCTATGGCCCTTGCACCATATCTCTTGTACCAGCCCTGGTTCTGGGAACGCCTTCCTAAAGTTTGTGTCACTGAATCGCCTCTTGAGCGCCTTTGTCATGTCTGGATTCAGATGCCTCTTCAGGGTCTCTGGAAATTACCGTATTCTTCACCTGACCATAAGACGCACCTAGTTTTAGAGGAGGAAAACAGGGGGGAAAACATTCTGAATCAAATGTTGTACTAAACTATTTATTAAACTACCGGTGTCTATCAGAGGGAGAGGGACAGGAGCTGTATGTTTCTTTCGTGTGTGCGCTCAAGGAGCGACGAGTGGGGAGGCAGCAGGCCCCTGGACGGACCCAACACAGGAACCCCAGCAGCCTCCTCTCGTATAAGCGGCTCCTCTCCCACTTTGCTGCTTTAAAGGGAGCTGAGCTAGGGAGAAGGGATGGAAGGAGAGCCCGTCCGTCCATCCCTCCCTCCTCCGTGGCTCACTTTGAAGCAGCAAAGCTGGACAGGAGCCACTTACACCTGTGTAAGCGGCTCCTTTCCCGCTTTGCTGCTTCAAAGCGAGCCACGGAGGAGGGAAGGAAGGGAAGCCATGGATCCTCCGCTCATGACTGCAGCAGGATCCCGCCACCATCCGTAAGCATTCACTCCACAAGACGCACAGACATTTCCCCTTGCTTTTTAGGAGGAAAAAAGTGTGTCTTATGGAGCGAAAAATACAGTAAATCTCAAGAGGAGGAAAGCTGCATCTTGTCTCCACTGCCCTTGTCAGTAAATGCATGTAGGCACAGAGCAAGCAAAGAGCACACAGATTTGCATAAAATGTGGGTATGCTAATCCATTGGTCTACAGCCTGCAAAGGGGTGGGCCTTAGCAAGTGCCCAGCCATGCCTAACCCTGACAGTGACCTTGCCAATGCTACAGAACATTGTGGGGAAACAGGAGGCTGCTGCTCACTCCACTGGAAGCTTGTTCCCCAGCAAACCTTAGGGTGGGGGGGACAGGCAGGCAGGAGGAAGCTCACTGAAGTTCCATCGTACCTGGAATAACTTCTGGCAATGGCGGCCTTAACTAGGCTCTATGCACCATTTAATACTTCACATTTGCAGACCTATTCTCCAGGGACAGTCCCATATTTACAGAAGTCATCCCAATTTCTGTTTTGATTCTGCTTATCCTTAGGACGTCCCTATTTTCATCAGAGAATTTATGAAGGGTATGGAGTTATGGAACCCCCGAGCCAAGGAGATAAGAAGATACAACCTTTAGAAGACATATGAATTCAGCCCTGTATAGAGACATGTTTTAATGTTTAATGTTTTATTATGTTTTTATATATGTTGGAAACTGTCCAGAGTGGCCGGAGCAACAATAATAAAGCCGTTGTTGTTGTTGTTGTTGAATAGGGCATCCCAATTTACATCAGGAAAATGTTGGCGGGTGTGCATTTGTGCCACTTTCGACATCCTTGATCTCAGTAATCATTGCAACAACCCTGTAATGCAGGCCAGTACTGTTATCCCAGTATGACAGGTGAGGAGGCTGAGATTGAGCAAAACTATATTTGCTAGAGGCCCCCTTCTGAGTCTGTGACAGAGGTAAGAATTGCTCCAGGGACATTCTCGTTTCCTGCTCAGTCTCTTTGCCTCAATGCTCTCCAAGATCCAGGCTCAACGTGAGCAGCTCAGGGTTTAGCAATATCATTTTCTGCAAGAGCAGCAAGCAGGAGAAACCCTCAGCCATCAATAAGCCAAGAAGATGCTGCAGAAGGGGACCAGTGATGGGCCAAGCAAATGGTGCCTTGTTCTCCCCTAATGGTAATTGATGCAGTTGAGTAATTAGGCCAGGCTGCTCACAGAGGCAGAACTTCATGCCCAGCTCTCCCGCCGCTCAGCCAATGTCCCGAAAACACCAAATCCAATTAGCTTGTCTTAAGAAGCAAAAGCTCTGCTCATAAAATTATCATTGCGGCCATAAAATTATCCATCCCTCTTCTCAAACTGAGCACAAGCACTTAACTCCCTGACCCTTTCTTGGCTCACTGAAGGCTGTGGGTCTGACCGGAATACAAAAATACCGAAAGCCCAACCTCCTCTGGGTTTCTGCGTTGAGCTCGGCGAGGGCCAAGGCTTGTAGTGAGGTGCCAGGGCAACTGTACGGGTGGAACCTATGAACCCACCTGGTCCGTATTTCCTAATGATGACATTTAAGAACCTAAGTGCTCTGCTAGGCCTCTCTAGCCTGACATCCTGTGCTCCCACCATGGCCAGCCAGAGGACCTGAGTGCAATAGCCCCATTCTGATCCCCAGCAAGATATATTTGGAGGTAAGGTGAAAGGAGCAAATCTCGGAAGGAGGGGAAAATGCTTCAGAGCTCAGGTCCTGCTTCATGGTTTCTGGGTGGCCACTGTGACTACTGGACTCCTCCAGCAGGCTCCACTTATGTTCCTATGTTCTTATTTCCCATATAAGCAGGATAAGGGAGAGATGTCATCCCCCCCTTACTCAGAGAGGTTTTATTAATGCTCCTTAATACAAAAGGAGGGTTCTCCCCAACAGTTTAGAATCTTTACTGATATGCAGAAATGTATCTGCATGACACATATTACACCAATCCTGTTTGAACATATTACACTGATCCTGGCCTGGCTGCGCTGACTGCCAATTAGTTTCCGGGCCCAATTCAAAGTGCTGGTTGTTGTTGTTGTTACAGTCATACCTCATGTTACGGATGCTTCAGGTTACGTGTTTTCGGGTTGCGGACTGCGGGAAACCCGGAAGTAGCAGAACGGGTTAGTTCCGGGTTTTGTCGCTCATGCATGTGCAGAGGTGCTAAATCGCGCTTTGCGCATGCGCAGAAGCACTAAATCACACCAGCGTCTGCACATATGCAGCGTTTCAGGATGCGAACACTGTGGGTTGCAGATGTGCCTCCGTCACGGAATACGTCCGCAACCCGAGGTTCCACAGTACTACCTTCTGCCAACCCAGAAGTTTGAAAGCATGCCAGTGCAAGAAGATAAATAGGTACTGCTGCAGTGGGAAGGTAAATGGCATTTCCATGCGCTCTGCTTTCCATCACAGTGTTCCATTGCACCAGAAGAAGTTTAGTCATGCTGGCCATATGGCCTGGAAAGCTGTCTGTGGACAAACGCTGGCTCCCTTGGCCTGAAAGTGAGATGAGCGCCACAACCCCATAGTCGTCTTTGACTGGAGTTAACCGTCCAGGGGTCCTTTGCCTTTTACCTTTTACCTATTATTATTATTATTATTATTATTATTATTATTATTCTTATTATTATTATACTGCCCTATACCCAGAGGTCTCAGGACATAATCAAATACATAATCAAAATAAAAACAACCCAATAACACCCCCCCCAAAAAAAACCCAACACCACACAAGATGTCAATCAAAACAACCAAAGCCTGGTTAAAAAGAAATGTTTTTGCTTGGTGCCTACAGGTGTATAATGAAGGCTCCAGGCGAACTTCCCTGGGGAGAGCATTCCACAGATGGGGGAGCCACTGCAGAGAAGGCCCGTTCTCATATTGCCACCCTTCGGACCTCTTGAGGAGGAGGCACACGAAGAAGGGCCTCAGAAGATGATCCCAGGGTCCGGGTGTGTTCATATGGAAAGAGGCAGTGCTTGAGGTATTGTGGTCCTGAGCTGATGAAGGCTTTATAGGTCAAAACCAGCGCCTTCAATTGGGCCCGGAATCTAATTGGTAGCCAGTGCAGTCAGACCAGGATCGTTTTAATATGCTCAAACAGTCCTGCCCTGATGAGCAACCTGGCTGCTGAATTCTGCACTAGCCAAAGTTTCCGAATCACCTTCAGGTTTTGAATGTTGCTCTTCCATCAGGCCTTTGACTGACTAATATTATACAGCCTTTTAAATGTGTTAAATGTGGGAAGCAAGGGTTCTTGTTTTGCTGATTTGTTTTATTTATTTTCATGTTTTTATCCTGTATTTTATTCTGTGAACCACCCTGAGATCTTATGATGAAGGGCGGTAAATAAATGAAATAAAATAGTGTATATCCATTTAGTGACAAACTAGGTGACAGATTAGGTCTCTCTCTTTCTGTGTGTACACACACACACACACACACACACACACACAAATATGCATGCAAGAGGCAGAGTTGAAGGACACTTTATAGTCCGGCAGTAGGACTGGGGAGAGGTGTGGCCTGGGGAGAAGTCTAAGGACCAGACAGAGAGCTGCATTTGGCCCTGTACCTGAGGTTTCCAGCCCCTGTATGGAACTTTTGGGTCTCTTTGAGCAGCTACCATGTCTTAAAGTACACTCCTTGCTAAATTCTATCAGTTGGATGGTCTGGGAAATGGACACCCACATCCTCTGGGGATGACTTGACCTGAACCAGCTTCTCCCCTGCTTTCCCTCACCCCCAACCTGGTCAGTTGTAAATACCTCTTAGGTAAAGGGTGTACAGAAAGAAACAACTGGCACGTACTTATGGCCTCTTTGAAACACTGTGATGCTACGAAATGGATTGCACCTTTTGGAAATGTTTCAATTTATTTACACAGTAAGGCCACACACACACACATGAAAAAGTTAGTAGCTGCGCCACATCAGGCACAATTAGTAGACATGCGAAAGAAAGAAAGTGTTTGCAGCGACGTAAACAGTTCTCCTGCAAGAAGGTAAAAACAGAGAAAGCAACGAAGGGCTACCCAAGTTGAAAATGATTACCAAGTTGCTATTTTCTCCACTTTGAAGAATCTTTCTTTCTTTCTTTCTTTCTTTCTTTCTTTCTTTCTTTCTTTCTTTCTCTAAGAAACCACTGCAGGCTGCATGGGAACGATGGTGGTGGGGACCTCAGTCCAAACTTTAAAAATCCACAGGGTTGGCAATCAATAGTTAAGTAGGAGATTAGAAAAAGTGCCCCTCTCCCCAGTAGAAATGTCCTTGCAAGTCAGCAACCCAGATGGTGGCAGAGGCTGATGGATCCTGGGAGAGAAGCCAATGAAGAAAAGACCCAGAGGGTTTTTCTTCATTCTCCTGACACTGATCTCCACCTCAGAGGCTCCTGCGATAATCAGACTTCTGAAGAGTTGCCAATATGGCCAGGAGAAGAAGGAGAAGAAGAAAACACTGGTCTGGCTTTGCTCCTCTCCCTTTATAGTCCATTTAATATGCAAGAGTCAGCAGGTGAAGGTTTTCCTGTTGCAAAGCTAAATACGTTCAGCTCAGTGGTGCCAGGACTTTGGGGCAGATGTCTAGGGAGCCATTCAGCTGCAGGAGCGGGAAGGCTCCTAAATGCATCAATCCTAAATGCTGGATTACCACATTTTGAAGTTAAGTAATATATATTGCTGTCTAAAGAGGGGAGGGGTGTTAGGAACACAGTCAAAAATTATGCAATTGCACCACTAGATCATCTGCTCAGGACTGCAGATCATCATGGCAGGCTATAGAAGGACCGGTTCAAAAACTGTAAACTGATATCTTTTTCCCTATCCCCCCAAAAAAACATACACTGGAACACCAAGGATAAAATGAGAGAAGGTGAATCCCAGGCCTGACTCACTGACATCCCAATTCTATGCATTTTTACTCAGAAGGAAGTCTCGCTGTGTTCCATGAGGCTTACTCCCACTTAAGTTTGCACAGGGCTGCATGATGCTCAATAGTCCAAACTAGTCTCAAAGCTAAAAAAATTGTGAACACGATACGGGCAGGTTCCTTCTTCCACATATATTATGAACAATGCTATGGTTGAGGTGAGAAGAGGAGGTTACACAGAACCAGGCCATTGATCCCTCGAACTCAGTGCTGTCATCAGTCCAGGGTTTCAGACAGGGGTTTGTCTCCCCCTGAGAGATGCTAGAATGAGAAGAGACTTTCTGAAATTTTGCAAAGGTCCACGGCATGCAGGCAGAACTGGCTCAAGGACTTCCAAGGAACTTCCATGGAAATTCTCCTTCCCAGAAGGGATTACAAATATATGCTTGGGTTTGTTGACAAAGGCCAAGATTGGTGAAAGTCTACTGGCCAAGAAGAGATACTGATTAGAGCTAGGGAATGAAGGAGCTGTCAATTTTTGTTCCCTCAGTTCCTCATTTTTCCCAGTCTTAAATTCTGTTCTCCACATTTTCCCAGCGATTTGCAATTCCTCATGAAAATTCACCGGCATGCGAATTTCTCCTAATAAACACTTTTTGAAATGCAGTTTTAACTAACGTACATTTTTTTTTTTTGCAGGCAATTTCCCCTAATATAATTCTTTTGGGGGTATGTTATTTTTGCTAATGTATTCCTTTTCATGCACCCTCTCCGATAATCTAGCCATATTTTGTAAACATTGATTGGAGAAGTGCATTGCAAAATCGGGACAAGGGCAGATTTCAAAGGATGTTTGGGTTATGGTCTGTGTATCATTTTGAAAAGTGTGAATTTGATCAATCCTCCTCTCAGTGCAAACTGAAATGAACGTCTCCCCCATCCCTCTCTAATCCTGACAGACCCCTTTCCAAGGAAGTGCAAGAGGGGCCTGCCTTGATCTCTTTCATGCACCTTTGTCCCCACACTCAGATGTGCTCTCCGGGCTTCTCAGCGACCCCCTTTGTTTGGCGTGGCGAGCTTCTCCACAACCGGTTCCTCTCCTCTCTTGGGAATGGCAAAGGATCCTGACCCAGAGTCCTGGGTAGCTGTCAGAGGAGCCTTGATGGCCCCAGCTTCTCTGTCTGGATAGCTGCTTGAGTCAGACTTGCAGGCACCTGAAAAGAAACAGTCTGTTGCTATTACTGTCCTTTGGGGAAGGGGCAGGGAGGGGCTGTAGCTCAAGCACAAAAAAGGATATTGTTCCAGGCAATACTGACGCACCAGGGCAGGGGCACAGAAGATTTGGGCAAAGCCAGAAGCCGTTGCTTTGACAACCAAGGGGAAAATCCTGTGTGCACATACTGGAGCCGGTCAAAAGCGTGTGCCCGGCAGGCCTCCCTCTGGTGCAGACAAAGGCACTTTTCCTACAGCAGGGCTTTTGCTCAGCATATCCTAGAAGAACCATCTCTCTCTCCCCCCCCCACATCCCTGAAAAGAAGCAAATTAATAATAATATCCAAACAGTGCAACAAGCAGACGTCCAAATAAAGAGCTTGCTGCCTTTTGACTGGTATAAGCAAGGTTAGAACTGCCTGTTTTTATGGGCCTTGCACCTCTGCCTTTAACAACAACTTATGAAGTTTCTTTCCAAAATCTAAACTGCGGTATGGCCCATGAGTTGTTAAAAGCATAGGAGCAGGAGCAGCAAAACAGAAAAAGTTGACAACTCAAGGGCTAACTCCATGGAAACAGCTCTTTATTCAAACAACTTCTACTGAGAAGTCTCTGTTTCATTCCTCCTCTGTCTTCTGTGAACCCCAACAAATTTCTGAGGAATCTCAGAAAGAGACCTATTAGTTTAGGAAACTGACTTAGGCAGAATTGGTTCACCTAGCACCATATTGTCTACACTGACTGGCAGGGCACTCCATAGAGGGATCTGTTCCAGTCCTAACTGGAGATGCCAGAGCTTGAACTGGGACCATCTACATGAAGAGCAGATGCTCTTCAACCAAGCTATGGCCCCTCAACAGAACTCCTTCCCCCATGCAAAATGTCTGCTTCTGCACCTAAGGGGACACTATTTCAGCTGGTCCTCTTGGCAGTGAGTGTGGGGCCTGAAGGCTTGCAGGGAGTGGGCTAAGGACAGCCCAGAGAATGGCAGTTAATGAGGGCAGCTCAAACATGTGTCAGCATCTGTTTAAGCATGTGCTTGCCAGGGCCCATGGGTCCAGAGGTTTTCAACCTTTTTGAGCCCACAGCTCCCATGACCAACTACATTCTTTCTGAGGCACCCCTGTGGGGCTCAGGAGCCCAGTTATGTCACCCCTTCCTGCAGAGCTGGCAGCCTCTCACCCTTTTTCGAACACCCCCCTTGTGGAGTGTTCCCTCAGCCTCATCTCCTCTCCCTCTCCTTGGGAGTCCTCTGGGCAGTTGCTGCTGCTGCCCCCAGTCTCTGAGCTGTCCCCTCTGCCCCAAGGAGAGCTGCCTCCTCACACTGCCCCACAGGGACCTGGAAAGAGGATGCCCCCAGCCTTAGTGGCCCAACGGAGAATGACCCAAGGTAAACGTGAGGCCAGCACCTTACCTTGGGAGACAGCAGTGGCGGCAGCAGGCACTGCCGGGCCTGCGTGTTGGAAAGTCTCCCCTTCAACACCAGGCACTCAGCTCCCAGGCAGGCCTTGCACACAGCAAGCACAAGAAAGGCCAGCATGGTGCCTGCCTGCCTGCCTGCCTGCCCAACCTCCCACTAGTCTTTCCATTCCCAACAGCAAGGGCTGTTGTACTGGCTGGCTTGACTCCCTCACCCACTTGCCTCAGCTCCTGTCAACCAGAACCCCCTGGCCAGCCCCAGAAGCATCATTCTCCAGGAGAGCATATCACCAGGGCTGCTGCAACAGCTGTGCAAGCCTTTGGGAGGCAGAGACGCAAGAGGGCATCAGAGGGAAGGAAAGAGGAACAGAGGCCAGTGTTGCCCATGGCACCCCTGTCCATCATTCAAAGCACCCCAGGGTGCCACAGCACACTAGTTGAAAACCACTGGCATTGTCCCTCCAGATGTTGCTGGAGAGCCAGAGGTTGTCCAACCTGGCCTTAATCAGCGGCTGCCTCTGATGAGTGGCTGATCTCCTGTGGTGGTATAGACTGCCACAAACAAAGGCAGAGCAATATAGCACCCGCACTGTCATAAGTACGTATCACTGCAGAGTACTCGGCCTTCTTGCCAGAGTACATAGATCACGGTCTGTGACTTAGTTTGTAATATGACAAGTGCTCTCTATTGATGATCCAACTATTCTCCTTCAAGGACGCCAGAGGGGCTCAGTGAACTCTGAATACAATGACCTGCTGGAAACAAACAAACAAAGACAAGGACAGGACTTCTGCCAGTTAAGCAGAAGAGGGAGTTTCTGCAGATGTAGCTTGTCACCTGCTCAACTCCCCTATTTGGCTCAATTATTAAAGGTGCAGGAGGAGTTTCCAATGGACCATGCTAATTAAAGGTACAGCAGATTCCTATCACAAGAATATAGGAAGCTGCCTTAGATTGAGGCAGACCAATTGGCCTCTCTTGCTCAATGTTGTCTATTCTTGCTGGTTTCAGGCAGGCCTCTCTCCCAGCCCTACCTGGAGATGCCAGGGATTGAATTTGGGACCTTCGGCATGCAAGGCAGGTGCTTCAGGACTGAGCTATGAGCCTCATCCGCCTTCCCTCTACAACACAACTCTTGAAGACGCAGGAGCAGCCCTGGCCTGCTCTTTTTTTGCACCTGCCTTCCGACCCCTGAATGCCTTTGATGGATGCTTGCTGTGATCCACAAGAGGCATTGCTCAGAGCTATCTTGGGGAGTGAGGCTTTTTCCTGTGTGAGGCTCTGATCCAAAGTGGATATGGCAGGGGGGGCAAGGTGCACGGGATACTTCTATCACTAATTGAATCTCTCTTCCTTGCTTGCTGAGGCGCAAAGGTGTGGGAGGCCATCAGTCAGTCAGAGCATTGGAAATCAATAGGTCTTCTCTGTGCACCCCTGCCCCCACCATGGAGCAGTCATGGACTGCAGACACTGGCCCCAATTCAACGCACCGCCGGCAATTTATAAGACACACCCACCCAAAAAGAGAGAAGCCACATAGGCAGTTGAATGGGGCGGAGGTGTCACCCTATTCCTTCGAAAGCAGGTGGCTTTCAGCAAAATTTGCAAAACAAGCAGCAAATTTGCTGAAGTACAGGAGTTGCAATGGCCCAAATCACCATGTGTGATGCTCTCATGTTGGCCCACAGAGCAGCATCTCAGATCTGGGTCAGGCAGGCTGACCTCTTGCAATTAACAAAGTCTGTGTATCTTGAGCAGCTGAGGAGGCCAAGGGCATTTTGGCAGGTGTGGCGATTTACCAAGTTACCAAGGGGTTGAAAAGCTCCCTCCTATCCTGGCTGTTTAATCTACCCAACTCGTAAGTGCAAAGGAATCTCTTGTGTCAAAAGGCTGGCCAACCCTGGGCAAGAGAGTTGCGTATGTCCTGTTTGCAATGTACAGACAAGGCCGCTGCAAATCAGGAAAACCATTCTTTCCCCCTGCCGTTTATTGTCCCCATGACAATGCCCTCCCTATTTAGCTTGAATTTCTTGCCGCCTGACTTCCATCAGCTCAGTTCCAGAAGGTCAGGACTTTTAGGGTGCAAATAACATTACTGAAGGTCCAGAGGGCAAAGTCCACCTCCCCACCCTGTCAGCTTGACTTGACGGATTGGGATCGCCTTAAATGAACAATTCCCAGTCTGAAGTCAAGCCTCTGGCACAACCAAGCAGAACACAGAAAATTTATGAACTGTGGCAGCAGCAGTGCTCTGAATCAGTGCTGGGGGGGGGGGGAGGGAAGCCACCATTTACATTTCCCACCATGCTCTCAATGTAAGATCGCTCTAGGATGGGGTGGAGACATGGGTGGGGGCCCTCCAGGTTTTGCCCTCCAGATGTTGTCAGCCTCCAAATCCCATCAGCTTCAACCAGCACAGCCAGTGGTCAGGGATGATGGGAGTAGGTTACTGGGACCCTGCAACTGCCCAACAATGCCACATCTGGATGCTGGGCCTGCTCCCAGGCTAGCCAGATGCAAAAGGGGAAAGGACATCTGTAGCTTTAGTACAGCCGTGGGGAGCAATTTTAGCCCAGTTGGCCAGCTCTTTATCTCCTGCCATCCCAAAGGCCAATGTTGAGAGGTGTGGGGGACAACCCACCTGTCACTCATCTGATGTTATAACGATGTCAGGTGATTGACAGGTGGGTTGATCCACCCACCTGTTAAAATTGGCCTGTGTGGGTGGGGGGAAGATAGTGACCAAGGAGGATTAATCTCCCTACGCATCAGCTGGTGCATAGGGATTTCAAGCTGGCTTTTTGCAGGGTGAAGGTAAAGGTAAAGGACCCCTGACAGTTAAGTCCAGTCGCAGACGGCACTGGGGTTGCAGCGCTCATCTCACTTTACAGGCCAAAGGAACCAGCGTTTGTCCGCTTCCACAGACAGTTTTTCCGGGTCATGTGGCCAGCATGACTAAGCAGCTTCTGGCAAAGCCAGAGCAGTGCATGGAAACATCATTTACCTTCCCGCCAGAGTGGTACCTATTTATCTACTTGCACTGGTGTGCTTTCGAACTGCTAGGCTGGCAGGAGCTGGGACTGAGCAACGGGAGCTCACCCCATTGTGGGGATTCGAACCGCTGACCTTCTGATCGGCAAGCCCAAGAGGCTCAGTGGTTTAGCCCACAGTGCAGGGATCACCCCCTAATTCATTGTTGTCGTTGGCATCTGTCTGTCTTGAGAGACAATGGAGGGGATGAAGCCAAACCGCTGCATTAGCAACACCAAAGTGACCTCCCTGGGGAGCAAGCATGCACAGAGAGTATGGAGGTCCTGGGCTGCCCAGATGATGAGACCTCCCTCTCAGCCTCACTGATGTGGTCCAAAGGAAAGCAGAGCATTACGTTGGGCACCAGCTTGGCTGCAGGTGTTGCTGCAATTTATTTGATCCAGCTGCATCCAGCTACAGGTGATCCCACACCTGTAGTCACCTGTGATATCAGCTGTAAGGCGGCTAAGCATGTGTTCTGGAAAACATCCCTTGCAGGAGGACAGAGGTGTCTCCCCCTGCTTTGGTAGCTGCGTACGAGAGGGTCACCTTGGGAGGTGCAGCTTGTCATGCAAGCAGCATCTAGTGAATGCAACTTCAAAGTGCAGAGAGACCAGGCCCTTTTGCCCCTTGACCCCACATCTGCTCCATATGCAGTTATTAAGAACATGACAAAAAACACTTTTTATCATATGTGGTGGGAATGTAAAAAAGTGAAAAACTTCTGGGAAATGATATATAATGAGATGAAAAAGATGTTGAAATATACATTTATTAAGAAACCAGAAGCATTTTTACTTGGCATTGTAGGAGATGATATTAATAGACAGGATTGTAAGTTGTTTTTATATGCAATGACAGCAACAAGAATACTATTGGCACAAAAATGGAAGCAAGAAGAACTGCTGACGAAAGAAGAATGGAGGATGAAGTTGATGGACTATGCAGAATTAGATAAATTAACAGGAAGGATTCGAAACCTGCAGAATGAGAGATTCTTAGAAGACTGGAATAAATATATGAACTGTTTGAAAAGTAATTGTGATGTACAGATTACGCTAGTAGGACTGCAAGAAGTTTTGTAAGGTGGATTATTTGAAATATTGCAAGAAAGACTATGAAGAGAACTATTAGTTAAGGATAATTAAATGTAATATAGAAATTAAGAAATGCAGAATAAGTGATAAAGAACAGAAAATCATCAGAGGTGTTGATGGAAGTCTAAAAACATTGTATAAGAGGAGAAGTTATGTTGTATGACTGTTGGAACTGATATTTTAAAAATTCTATAAAAATGTATATAAAAAAAAGAGAAGGAAGAGGAAGAGTTCATCTCTACTCTCATTTGCTTTTCTGTTTAAGATTGCAGCCTCCAAGGCTACTTTCCCAAATAAATAAATAAAAGACAAAAAACACTTGCCCTTTATCCCCTGCAAGACAGAAGTGAGTGGCTGGGTTTCTCCTGCTACTGTTGTCACCTTTCCCTTTCCCAACTCCGGGACAGCGTTCCAGTTCTCAGCCTTCTGCGGATACTTGGCTTCCTCCTCATCCACCCAATCTGTGCTCCACTCCCACGCAGGAAGGAGCTGCGATCCGGGAGGCTTCTGCTCAGCTTCCTCTGAGCTCTCCAAGGAAACGTGTGGTTGCAGGAGTCCATGGAGAGGGGGTGCTGAAGGCAAAATGTCTGCAAGGGAGAAGAGCAGGCAGGTCACCACCCACTCAGGGGAAGCAGGGATTTCATCTAAAGACCAACCACAGTCACAGAGCAGGAAGGGACCTCCAGGGGTCAACTAAGGACAACCCCTTTGCTATAGAATCCCTGGCAGATGGCCTTTGGAAACCTCCAATGAAGGAGAGTCCACCACCTTCTGATTCATTGCAGCACTTATACAGTGTCTGTCCAGGATGTCATGCAGGGCTCTCACCCAGTCGTACCTGGAAATGCCAGCGAAATGCTAGAGGGCCTTCTCGGTAGTGGCACCCGCCCTGTGGAACACCCTCCCTTCAGATGTGAAGGAAATAAGCAGCTATCTTCTCTTTAAAAGACATCTGAAGGCAGCCCTGTTTAGGGAAGTTTTTAATGGTTGATGCTGTATTGTTTTTAACACTCGATTGGAAGCCTCCCAGAGTGGCTGGGGAAACTCAGCCAGATGGGCGGGGTATAAATAATAAATTATTATTATTATTATTATTATTATTATTATTATTATTATTATTATTATCGTTATCATTATCATTATCATTATCTCATTATCATTATCTCATTATCATTATCATTATTATTTAATCTGGGACAGCCTACATGCAAAGCAGACGCTCTTTCCCTGCCCTATGTCCAGAACCACCTCCAGGGGATCCCGTTGAACTGCAAAAATAATGACATGATAGCAACCAGATTCAGTTGCCCCGTTCCTTAGTATCGCTCAGACAAGCCCACAGCAGTTTGTTGGGAGTGCAGAGAAGGGAAAACACCAGAGGTGTTACAGAAAAGTGGTGTGTGTGTGTTAATGCTACAGGCAAAAGCAACAACACCACATTTCAGGGTTTTGCATTAATAAAATTGGGAATAACTCTCCACATTCTCTTGGAATCCCTAATGCAATTTCCAATCCCCTCTTTTGCACCTACAAATATGTGATGAAATGGTGGGCCAATAAATCATTTTATTCCCTCTGACTGTGCCTTTGACAAGGTGGTTTAGGAGCATTCAAGGGTTTGCAACCTGTGCAAGATTGCTGAATATGTTCCAGTTTAGAAGTTTGCTTTTTTTTCCTTGTAGGGTATGTGTGTTATGATGAATGCAGGTCTAAGCAGGACAAGGGAAATTAAAATGATCCATGGTCTGGCGCATGAGAATCACTTACAGATTTCTTTTTTAAAATTAAGCTGTATATAATTTGTATAAACAAATGAGTGATAAAACAAACAGGCTTTTGGGTGGCTCCTAAGATAAAAAAGAAAAGAAAAAAGATGACAAGCAATGGAATCCTATGTATATCTACTCAGAAGTCGATTCTATTTGAGTCTTATGGAAATTATTCCCAAGTAAACAGCTATAGGATTCCAGCCTAAGTCGGGGCAAAGGGTGTGATAGAAGTTTACAAAATTATACCTGCTGTGAAGAAAGAGAGAACTTTCTTTCCCTCTCAGACATGAAGCTGTTCAGGGGCATTACAAAGACACAGGTACACAATTCTGCATAAAACATGCATATGCTGATTTATATGCACTGGTGCAAATTTTGGCTGAATTTTGCAGGGGTGAAAACAAACTCTGCCTCTTGCTCAAAGGCCTTACTCTGAGCTATGGGCCGCTGATAGGATTATCTGGGTGCCTTTTGTTAAGTTGTGGGTGAACATATCAGACGACACAGCGATTCTTCAAACAGCTCTTGTTTATTCAGAGGCCAGAACTGAACTGAACTGAAGGGCTCAGTCAGCCTGCTTATATAGAGCTCCAGTACCACGTTACTGTAGCAACTTTCTAAAACTATCCAATCACTGAACATCATTTTCGATCCTTCATTTGCATAACTATCTACAGTATCCCCCTGCTGGGCCAGGGTGAGAACTTCAGTACATAACACCTTTTAGGCAGATGGGGCCCACAATCTATTGCTACAACTTGCTGTGCATGTGCATTTTACAATGAAAACAAGTTCAACGTCCAACATTCACGCACAGACATGCACACGCAAACACACACTTATTTTTTTCCTTCTTTGCCCGTCTACTGCATGTACTTACAAGGACCCGGCTACCACTCAATAGCCAGAGGAACTCCCAGCAGTGGACAGCAATGCTCACCTGACCTCCCAACAGCTGTCATTGCTGCTTATCCGGGAGGAAAGGGGGAGAGGCAAGGCAGTAGTCAGCACAGTGCAAAAGTGCTGTGAGAGCTAATTTAGTGTTTCCACCGGGGCATTTGCCCCCATGCTGACCTTCTCCCTCCCAGTAAGCATCAGAGACTCAGCTGTTGGAAGCTCAGGTGAGCACTACCATCCCACCACACCAGCTGCTAGTGGACACGCCTCTGTAGCCTATCTTTGGACAGATCTGCACTGAACATTTAAAGCATATTCAGTGCACATTTAAAGCATACAACTTCTCCCAAAGAATCCCAGTAGTTTGTTAAGGGTGCTGGGAATTTGCAACTCTCTGAGGGGGGAAATCACAGTTCCCTGATTTCTTTGGGGGAAGCCATGAGCTTTAAATGCGCACTGGGTGCGATTATTTTCAACTTTTTATTTTGTATTTCGTATTTTAAATTTTTTTTATGAACTATCAATTTTTATGAATTTTAAATTTTAAATTTTTTTTAATGAACTATCAATTCTTTATTGATTAAAAGATTTGCATGTCTATACAAACATTATGTATTATCTCTTAACAGGTAAAAGGAAAAAAGGAAAAATATATATAAAATAGAAAAATTATAAAGAAAAAAATAAAGAAGTAACAAAGTTAAGAAACAAAGAAATCAAATTAAAAAGAGAGAGAGAAAGTTATTTACATACATTTGCATACATTTGTATGCAAAAGAGGGAATGCATCTCAGAAGCAAAGAGCAGACTCTCCGAGTGTCCCTATTTGCCAGGGACAGCCGCAAATTTACAGAAGCCCTCTCGGTTTTACATAATTTTGTATTTTTATACTATTGTGTTACCGTCCTGGGATCTTATGGAGAAGGAGGAGTAAGAAATGTTACTGATGATGATGGTGATGATATCACTACCTTACATACACAATATCCTGCAAGCCTAAATCCACAGAATCTGTGGCTGGGGTCTCACTGGATTGTTCTGCGATGCCAAATGCAGAAATCTGGTGGGATGCCCAAAAGGCTTGTCTGGGGTGAAATCTACACACATATTTTTTTAAAAAATGCTGTGAAAATGCTTTATATCAAAGCGTTTTGAAAAATCCATTGAATTTTGCATAGCTCATTGTCGCCATCTACTGTCACCTTTGCATATTGCACTTTGCAACACATTAAAAACATTTTAATTGCTGCTGTGTAGCTGAGTCCAAGGTCAAGCACACTAAGCCTTACCTGACCTCACAGTGGAGGCCTGAATGATTGTGGGGACAAAGGCTGGAAGAATTTCAAAGGCATCTGTTAGGAAGGAGCAAAACCAATCCTCCCTCTGCCTTTGAGGGGAAGGGGAACGGGAGCTGTCTCCTGGCCAGTTGCTTAGGGATTTTCAGCCTATTTGTGCCCGGAAGCTCTTTACCCCTCCTGCCTTCCCAGGCCTCCCCTCTTTTTCGCTTGCTCCATCAATCTTGTCATTTACGGCCCTCAAAGTTTGCAATACGGGGAGAAGAACTTGAAACAAAAGCCTCGTTCTAACGGCAAGGGAGAATTACTGCCGCGATAAATCAAACCGCACTTCCCTGGCCGTCTGCCTTATTATGAGGAACAGAGATTGAATGGAAGGGCCCACAACCTGAGCAGCAGATACCGAATAAATCAACGGGGCTGTCGGCTGCACCGGAGAGGCTGGATCACACCCTGCGTGCAACTGAACTCCACTGTCCCAGAGGGCGTCTCTAAGGAGGGCAAGGATCTGCTCACACACACTTGTAGAGTCGGCTGTCACCTGGCTGAGCAGAGCCAGGGGGAGGAGGCTCCCTAGGTTGGTTAAAGGTAAAGGTAAAAGGACCCCTGACCATTAGGTCCAGTCATGGCCGACTCTGGGGTTGCGGCGCTCATCTCGCTTTACTGGCCGAGGGAGCCAGTGTACAGCTTTCGTCATGTGGCCAGCATGACTAAGCCACTTCTGGCGAACCAGAGCAGCGCATGGAAACGCCGTTTACCTTCCCGCTGGAGCGGTACCTATTTATCTACTTGCACTTTGACGTGCTTTCGAACTGCTAGGTTGGCAAGAACTTTTCCCCATAATGGGGCACAATTAATATCCTTTTAAAAACAGCAGCAGCAACAAGCATTTTTCCTCCTCCACAGATTCGTTTTGCTCTGTGTTTCAATCTGTATCCCTAAACTACAGCACAAGCCTATGCATATCTACTCAGAAGTAAATCCCGCTGAGTTCAGTGAGATTTACTTGCAGGAAGGTAGGTGTAGGATTGCAGCCTTTGCTGTGTGTCCCCCCCCCCCACCAAAACCACACAATTCTCTTTATGTACAGATAAACAAAGAATCAAATAAAACTGAATACATATAATCAGTGGAATTATACTCCATAAAATGGATGCTATCCACCAAATATTTTATGGCCTCTAGCCCTCATATTTTGCTTTAGCTTTATATTCACATCAGAGCAGCTGGAGAAGGAGGAAGCTGAAACATTTTGCTATAAAAAATTAATTTGTTTTCTTAGTCCTTGGACTAAATATATGTTTTTAGTGATTAACTGCACCCTACCAGGATCCAGAGCTAACTTGTCTAAAATGCTGTACCAAGTGTTAAAAATAGTTTCTCCCTCTGTGTGTGTGACTGTGCACACGTGTGGGATGATAGATAGATGATAGATGATAGATAGATAGATAGATAGATAGATAGATATAGATAGATGATAGATAGATGATAGATAGATCGATCTGAGAGACACTCACACCTATTTCTATCTTGTCATAACCTCACTTTCTGTTTTACAGTGATCCCAATAATTCCTATCTTACTTATTACTCCAAAATGCAATAAAAATGGACCACTCTTCAATAAAGATTTCTCTCCCCATCTGCCTTAATTATATTTTTTTAACAAGCTGCCATTTTGTTAAAATCTGCTCTCCTCTGTATTGCTTATCTGCTTGTGAATTCATTTTTATTTTTATTTTGTTGATGGACTCGGCTGGTGCCGGACACATTGGGCACCTTTTTATGGAAAGGTGGTGCCTGAAAATAACAAGCAAATAAATAAATAAGCAGAAGGGCACCAGTTATTTGCTACAAGGAAGGGAAGCAGTGGTGTGCGGTCAGTGGACTAGGGGGACCAGGCTAGTCTATTAAATGTTCCCGGTAAATTAGAGTATTAAAATATTAAAGCCTGGCGCCTCCTTCCCAAAGTCCGGGAAGTTTCTGCCATGCTTAGGGAGCAAAGCACAGCCCCACATCGCCCTTGCAAGCCTCTGGCCCTAACTGTTCCCCTATGAAGAAGAGTTTGGATTTGATATCCCGCTTTATCACTACCCGAAGGGGTCTCAAAGCGGCTAACATTCTCCTTTCCCTTCCTCCCCTACAACAAACACTCTGTGAGGTGTGTGGGGCTGAGAGATTTCAAAGAAGTGTGAGTAGCCCAAGGTCACGCAGCAGCTGCATGTGGAGGAGCGGAGACGCAAACCCAGTTCACCAGATTACGAATCTACAGCTCTTAACATTTTCGCCAGGAAAGGATGCTGTTACCTGTCAACGCCTTGTCTATGTCCCTCTGGGCCAGCCCAAAGCAGAAGCTGTCCACCGCCACGGCCAGAGCTTGGGCAAAACTGGCATCAACAAGGAAGGAGCCGTCGGTGGAACTGACCAGGCTGCAGCGGGTGCTGGTGCCGTTGTCCTCCGAGACAGATCCCCACCCGTTGAGCAGGGAGCCCCCCAGCGAGGCGTCGTCCTCACTCAGGCTGGACGAAGGGGTCCTGCAGAAACTGCGGAAGAACTTTGTGGAACGGCAGCCACCTTCCTCCTCCATGTTGGGGTCGTCATCGTCGTCCACGGCACTGTTCTCTAGCAGCTCAGAGGCCAGCGGACCACAGATGTAGCCATAGGTATGAGGTGGGGAGAAGACCCGCGGAGGAGCAGAAACGCCGTCGCTCTGTTGCCTTAGGAGAAAGGCAATAAAAGTAGGCAATTAAAGCCATGTCCAGCAAGGAGAAATGAGCAACATTGGTTCAGTAACATCAGTAGATGTGTGGCATTAAATACACATTAGCATTTCTTAAACAGGACAAGAACGGGGACACAAGAGTCCTTTGAAATTCACATTTCTCTGAATTTTGCTGTGCAGACCTCCAGTCAAGTAATGTCTATAAAAATGCATACGTTGAAATACCATGAGCCTAAAAAGTCACATGTCGGTGAAAATGGCTCCCTGTCTATGGAATGTTCTCTCCAGGGAAGTTTGTCTGGCACCTTCATTATACACGTTTAGGCGCCAGGCAAAAACATTCCTTTTTAACCAGGCCTTTGATTGATCTTATTGGCATCCAACACGCTTTTAGAATGTGGCTCTTTGGGGATTTTTTTTTTAAATGGGTTATTGTTTTTGGTTTGATTTTATATGTTGTGGTCTTGTTTATGAACTGCCCTGAGACCTCCGGATATAGGGCAGTGAATATTGAATACTGAATAATAATAAATAAATAAATAAATAAATAAATAAATAAATAAATAAAATAACACAAAAATGCACTTCATTAGGGGAAACATCTTTGCACAAAATGCATATTTGGCAAAGTTGCAAACAAGCATGCCAAATTACAGAAATGCACACCCAAAATAGTGGTGCATTTGCATCGGGAAATGCAGAGAACTAAACTGAAGACTGGGAAAATATTGGAAGACTGGAAGACATAGAGAAGCAAAAGGTGACATCTAAGAGGGTTGGTGGTCACCCTCCTTGGAGGACTTCAAGCTGAGGTCAGATAGTCATTGGTTGGGGATGCTCTAGCACTGGACTGCCTGCCTCTTGAGGGAGCTTGGACTGGACCTCTCCACCTCTATGGTTCAAGGATGCTATGAGCCATCTCTGATACAGACTTAAAAAAACACGCTCCAAATGCTTTAGGCTCTGGGAGGTGGCGATCCACTGTGGCCTTAGGTCTCAGCCTCATTTCAGCAAGAGGGTGGTACAGAGAGAAAGAGAGAGGAAAACGGAGAGAGGAGCTATACAGTCCCGCAATGCTTCAAACTCTGCCACTTTTGGTTCTGGTTCTGCCCTCCACCACTCGCCATCAGTTGCAGCCCCAAATAGACATCTCCCATGGCTCAACAGACCCTTCCTAACCCTTTCAGGATGCTCCAACCCCTTATCATTTTGGTCACCGTTTCCCTGGCATGTTTCTATGGGGCATGCTGTCCTGCCAGCAGCCTCCCACCCAGGAAATGACCCAACTGAGGTCTTCTTAAGCTCTGGCAATGCTGCAACATCCAGAATTCTCCAAGTGTTACCCGTGTCCATCTGCCTGCATTATTCGCTTAAGTGCCCTTCCTTTATTTTATTTTTTTCTAAACCTGCACAAAATCCCTGACAGAGGCAAATTGCCCATGCTGGAGCTCTGCCAAGGATCTCTTTGGCATTTGGGATGAAGTGGAATGATACTGCTCATCTTTTAAAGAGCATTCGGGGGGGGGGCGCAGCTGAAACTGCCAGAAAAGGAAACCAGCAATCCAGAGGTTTTGATTTAATTAGCAACTTGTTCATGTGACTCTTCATTTTAGGGATACATCGTCCCAGTTAAATTACAAGGTAAATCTCAGCAAAGAACTCTTTAAGAAGGCGAGTGCTATTCCTGGCACGGGCTTGTTTCTGTCAACTCCAACCCAACCACTGGCACATTGCTCAGCTTTTCTGTTCCTCGGTCTATTACATTCCACAGTTGCCCTGTTTACCCTTGCGACGAATTCTTCTGCATTTGGGATGGGCAAATCAGTCGTTTTTGGTTTCTGGCTGGTTCCAATCTGAAGTTCAGTTCTCAACATTTCCATATCAGTTTGTGATTTATTTATTTTTAAGTCTCATAAAAATTCATCAGCAATTTCTCCTCATATGCACATTTTTGCAAAGCAGTCTGCCGCCCCCCACCACACAGAATACATTTCCATGGCTAGCTTGTTCTGGTCCATGCCTTTCTGTACACATGACCTGTGAATTAAGTTAGTTCCATTACCTGTGAATTAAGTTACTGGCCTCGGCCCAGTATACCTGAAGGAGCGTCTCCACCCCCATCATTCAGCCCGGACAGTGAGGTCCAGCTCCAAGGGCCTTCTGGTGGTTCCCTCACTGCCAGAAGTGAGGTCACAGGGAACCAGGCAGAGGGCCTTCTTGGTGGTGGTGCCTCCCCTGTGGAACACCCTCCCATCAGAGGTCAAGGAAATAAGCAACTATCTGACTTTTAGAAGACATCTGAAGGCAGCCCTGTTTAGGGAAGCTTTTAATGTTTGATGTTTTATCATGTTTTTAACATTCTGTTGGGAGCTGCCCAGAGTGACTGGGGAAGCCTGGCCAGATGGGTGGGGTATATATTATTATGACACACACACCAAGCCCCAGCAGGGCACTAAGATAATTTTAGACTCTGCACTTAAATAATCTTATTGGGAGGGGAGGGTTCTTTAGGTGGGGGAAGCTCCTCCTCACAGGCTTATTGGTGTGGTGTAGTGGTTAAGAGCAGTGGACTCGTAATCTGGTGAACTGGGTTCGATTCCCCGCTCCTCCACATGCAGCTGCTGGGTGACCATGGGTTAGTCACACTTCTCTGAAGTCTCTCAGCCTCACTCACCTCACAGAGTGTTTGTTGTGAGAGAGGACAGGAAAGGAGAATGTTAGCCGCTATGAGACTCCTTCGGGTAGTGATAAAGCGAGAAATGAAATCCAAACTACTTCTTCTTCTTCTTCTTCTTCTTCTTCTTCATGAAGCCCACAAGCACACCTCCTGTGGCCTGCAAGACCATTTTGGCCTTTACGGTGTGGGTGGTCATGTGAACAACTTTGCTCACTTCAAAACATTGAAAGCCAGTCTTGGCTGCTGTTAAAGGACTGCCCTGCTCATTCCGCTGAGTGGAGCCCTGGACGTCTGCCCCAAAGTCCTGCCCTGAAGGCACAACTGCACAGCCCTGAAAGCTGCCAACCGTCAGCTCTACTAATGCCTCTCAGAAAATCCCAGCTGAAAGCGGATTTGTCAGCTGTTGATGGAGGGTTTTATTGCCAGCTTGCCGGTGGATCCTGGTGACATTCCAGGGGAGCATTCATGTGGCTACGGTGCTCAACCCTTTAGATATGGCTTGTATAAAGATGTATGTGTGTGTAACTGCAGGTTTCTTGTCCCTCCATAACCACCGTGCCATTCCGAGCCTTTCCCAAGGGGCTGGAAAACATTTTGCAGTCAGCCCTGAATGCAACTGACTTAGCATCAAAAGCTGTGGTCAGGCCACATCCTGCCCTAAGGCCCAGAGGCCTCGGAGACAGCAGCCTAGCATGAAAAGGAGGGAGAGGCAAATTGCTCTGTGAAATCCACCACATATTAAGGCATGCTGGGTTGGGGCTCCTCTTCAGAATGAAGGGGACCGGCAGGATAGGGTAGAGGGAACCAAAGGCAGCTGATCCTGCCTACGCCAGTTCTTGGAGCCCTGAAATGAACTGCACAAAAAGCCCCTCAAGATTGGGGAGTTATCACGCAGAGAGCCTAACTGCAAGTTAGCAATTGTATTGAAGGTTTCCCTGCTCAAAATAAGTACAGTGGTACCTCGGGTTAAGAACTTAATTCATTCCGGAGGTCCGGTCTTAACCTGAAACTGTTCTTAACCTGAGGTACCACTTTAGCTAATGAGGCCTCCCGCTGCCACCGCCGAGCAATTTCTGTTCTCATTCTGAAGCAAAGTTCTTAACCTGAGGTACTATTTCTGGGTTAGCGGAGTCTGTAACCTGAAGCATCTGTAACCTGAAGCATCTGTAACCCGAGGTACCACTGTATCAGGTGCTTCGTTAGAGGAGAGGGGGAGTGTCTCATTGGCAACAACGGGAGATTATTTCTGAATGCTAATTTCCATGGCAAGGGTTTTTTTTTACCAAGATGTCAGCCAGGGAGGGAAGCCTTGAGCTAGTGCTGTGCTGATTCCCACACATCCCATTTTCTAAAAAATGTGAATCATGGGGAGAACGGAACGTCTCCATTTCTCTTTCCCCCTTCCACCCACTGTTTTCCTTCCTTCCTTAGGGTTCTCACATTATCGCGATAAAACAGTGCAGCCCCTTCTTTCCTTCCCTGCCCTCTCCCCTGGCTCCCCTCCCTCTGTTCTCACTCCCTGTTTGTTGTTGTCACTGCTGCATTTTCATTTCTGATGTTCAGTCGTGAGCATGTTCTGGAGTGCCCAGGCTCACGGGCTCAGATAAGGGATAAATGAGTGTCAATGTGTTGCTTGGCTCTGAGATTAACAACTGTTAGGGTTGCAGAGGTTTCCATCTCTCCATTGTGCCTCCCACTTCTTCCAGTTGTGGTGTTATCCAACCAAGCAAAAATACCCAGGAAGGGGCAGAGCAGGACTAGGAAAAGGGGGGGTGGCCTGTGGGGGAGGGGGAGTCCCGTGGGTCAGATAGAGAGGTCTGGAAAGCCTCATTTGGGCTTCAGACCTGAGTTTCTCTGTTATAGTTCAACAGCAGAAAATATGCTGTGCACATAGATGATCTCAGGTTCAACGTCCTACTTCAGAGACTCAGACAGCAGACTGGGCAAGACTCTGGAGATGTGCTCCCAGTTAGAGGAGCCAGGCACTGGAGATGGGGCCAAAGATTTGACCACGTATAAGGCAACTTCTTAGGGATGTGGGTGGCGCTGTGGTCTAAACCACTGAGCCTAGGGCTTGCCGATAGAAGCTTGGCAGTTCGAATCCCCGCAATGGGGTGAGCTCCCATTGCTCGGTCCCAGCTCCTGCCAACCTAGCAGTTCAAAAGCATGTCAAAGTACAAGTAGATAAATAGGTACCACTCCAGCGGGAAGGTAAATGGCATTTCTGTGCACTGCTCTGGTTCACCAGAAGTGGCTTAGTCATGCTGGCCACATGACCCGGAAGCTGTACGCCGGCTCCCTCAGCGATTAAAGCGAGAAGAGTGCCGCAACCCCAGAGTCGGTCATGACTGGACCTAATGGTCAGGGGTCCCTTTACCTTTAAGGCAACTTCTTAGGGATGTGGGTGGCGCTGTGGTCTAAACCACAGAGCCTAGGGTTTGCCAATCAGAAGGTCCGCAGTTCAAATCCCCGCAACGGGGTGAGCTCCTGTTGCTCAGTCCCAGCTCCTGCCAACCTAGCAGTTCAAAAGCACGTCAAAGTGCAAGTAGATAAATAGGTACTGCTCCAGCGGGAAGGTAAACAGCGTTTCCGTGCGCTGCTCTGGTTTGCCAGAAGCGGCTTAGTCATGCTGGCCACATGACCCGGACGCTGTACGCCGGCTCCCTCGGCCAATAAAGCGAGATGAGCGACGCAACCCCAGAGTCGTCCGTGATTGGACTTAACTGTCAGGGATCCTTTACCTTTAAGGCAACTTCTTACACTTTGCACTACAACAACACTAGACTCTCTGTCATACCAGGGAAGCAGATCGTATACCCGATTCCCCGCTCCTGAAGAGGAGATGTGGCTTGGAGCTGGAAGGCCAGGCAGCTGGCAAGCCAGACCGGCTGAGGCTTGTTAAACATGTCTTAAGCTGGCAGGCAGTTGTCCCGCCTAGGCTCCAAATGGAGCTGTAATTATCTGAGTGGGATCAATGAGCTTCCCGTAAAATCAGCAACTCCATGTCCCAGCCCCAATTACAAAAGTGTAAGGAGTCGGTCTTGCGGGGAGAGCTGTCCCCAAACTGCAGAGGCAGCAGTTACAGCGCATTAGCTAATTGCAGCCAGCGAGGCTTCGGCTGGCAGAAGGATGGGGCTGGAGGCTTCCTGTTAAGTGCAGTTCCCACAAGACCAGGGTGGGGAAAGGGGCCGCATGCCCAGGAGGTCCTTCAACCCACCCTGGGGCAAGGGGGAGAGCAGAGCCAGCCTGGGCTGCGTGACACAGACCTTCACGTTGTGAACCAAAGGCATCAAAGCAAATCAGGAAGCGCAAGCGGCTCGTGCATCCATCATATCCGGATGTTGTGCCAAGCAGTGCAATGGGGTAGTAACCCTGCCCAGGGCCAGCCCACTTCTGCAGAACTTGGGGAGAGAATTTCTTAGGGGGTTGTACCAAGTGCAGGAGCCAGTGTGGGCAGGCAAAGTTAGTTCCTGTGAATGCTGAATACCTAGGTATTTGGTTAAATTGCAAACTTCAATTATTTGGCTTGTCTTATAGTGGAACTATTGATTTGCTGTTATTTCCTGGACCTGTTGTTGTAGTTTTTTAAGGATTTTGTATTTTTGTCTACTCCAGTATAACCTTATTGCTTTGTTCCATTCTTGCCCACTCTGGGATAAAAAAAATACTCAATGAAGTATGAAAATGAAATACTTCATATGAAAATACTTCATATGAATAACAATAAATAAAAATAAAGTTTTGTGTTTTTGGTCTCCCATAATCAAAGGACGCAGGGACGCAGGTGGCACTGTGGGTTAAACCACAGAGCCTAGGACTTGCCGATCAGAAGGTTGGCGGTTCGAATCCCCACGAAGGGGTGAGCTCCCATTGCTCGGTCCCTGCTCCTGCCAACCTAGCAGTTCGAAAACACGTCAAAGTGCAAGTAGATAAATAGGTACCGTTCCAGTGGGGAGGTAAACGGCGTTTCCGTGTGCTGCTCTGGTTCGCCAGAAGTGGCTTAGTCATGCTGGCCACATGACCCGGAAGCTGTACGCCGGCTCCCTTGGCCAATAAAGCGAGATGAGCGCTGCAACCCCAGAGTCGGTCACGACTGGACCTAATGGTCAGGGGTCCCTTTACCTTTACCTAATCAAAGGATGGGTGAAATAGGCAATGGATTTTGCCCTAAGAAAACATTTATCTGTCCAAGTCGTTTATGGCAAAGTTTTTTAAGGCTCTGCCATGAATTGGATATTCAAATTACTCCCCCACCTCCTCCAGATACTGTTCCAAAGAGGAACTTGTGCACATCCCATGCAGAGAGATGCACAAGTCTCTTCCATGTCAGAAGAACATCCGTGCATTGTGGAACTGAGATTTTCTCCTTTGCAGAAAAGCACATGTAGCATACATGAACCACCTTTACGTGTTTTCAGGGAATGTGCAGGGGGCCACCTCCCTGGGGCTATTAGGCTTGGCTAGAAGACAGAACAGAAACCAACACAGAACTGGTTGAAACAAATCAGGACACAGAGCTAAGACAACATATTTGTGCAATAATCCAAGCACCGTGGTTTGAATTGGGGTTCCAGAGACACTGTGCTTTCTTTGAATGGAGGAGGAGAGAGGAAGAGAAAGAAGAAAAGCAGCAAACCCACCCCTGAACTTTTCTTCCAATTTTACTGCTCTTCTAAAATCATCCCTCTGGTTTCAGGTTCCATTTTTACCCTCCTTGCCACTCTAAAAATTCAGGATTTCAAATTTTCGGGCCCTAGAGGAGTTCTCAAACTTTTTTCTCTGGGCCACACTTCCAGAATAAAAGTGTGCTCATGCCACACCAATTCTTTTTCATGTAAGAAATACACTGGAAAACAAAAATAAACAACTCCTAGCAATGCTTGATTAATAACATAGAACAGAAGTACTTTATAATCTGATCATGGGACCTCAAGAAAGCATAAAGCAATGCAGCTACATAAGAACGCAAATCATTCCCATACACTTGATGCTCTTGCTCTCATTTTGAAAAGGTATCTATCCATATTCTGCAATATATACTGAAATGTTCAAATGTTTCAAACCTCCTTTAATGGTTGAATTATCCAATCCTTCAAGGACCTATAATATTTTGAGGTTAAGCCATCTGGCCCTGGAGATTTGCCCAACTGCATGTTCTGAATGGCACCTTCCACCTCCTGTTCTGTTATTTTGTAGTTCAACATTAACTTATTTTCTTGGGAGATTTTTTGAAGTCCATTTGTTTTTTAAAAATTTGTCTAAATCGCACTCTTTCTGTGGCCCTTGTGTATATAGCTGTTTAAAGTACCTCTGGAAGCATTTTCTAATTTCCACTGGATTCTGGATGTTCTTTCCTTCCACTTCCAAGTTGGTAATGGTGTTAAGTTTTTGTCTTTTTTTCATTTGCCAAGCTAACAGTTTTCCACATTTATTAGCCGATTCAAATGTCCTTTGTTTCATCTGTTTAAATTTCCATTCTATTTCCTGATTCATCATCTTCATATATTGAACTTGGTATAACTTTATTTCTCTCAGAATCTCTTGTGACTTTGGTTTCACTCTCAGTTTCTTCTCCCCCTCTTTTATTTTTTCCAAAATTTTATCTTTTTTCTCATTTTGAGTTCTCTTCTTTATTGCATTCTGTTGAATTAGAAACCCTCTCATAACTGCTTTGCTTGCGTTCCAGATTACTCTTTTTTCGATGGTAGTGTTCATATTTATCTCAAAGTAGTCTCTCAAGGTTTTTTGGGCCTTCTTGGTAACTTCTTGATCTCTAAACAAGGTGTCATTCATCCTCCATCTAAAGAAGCCGGTAGGTGTTAATTTCATCTCCATTTTCACAGCATTATGGTCGGAGCAGGTTTTAGGGCAAATTTCCACTTTTTGAGTCTTAGGTGCCAGTCCTCTAGTAATCCAGATTTGGTCAATTCTTGTCCATGTCATTTTGGCTTCAGAGAAGAAGGTTCCCTCCCTAGCCAAGGGATTCTTTCTTCTCCACATGTCACTCAAATCCATATTGTCAGTCTTCTCAAATGAGGTTTTTGGCAGTCTGCCATCTTTGGTAACTACCTGTCTCTGCGACTTGTCCATGTTTGTGGATACCACTCCATTCATATCTCCCATCATGATAATGTTGTAATCCATATAGTCTAACAATGTCTCATGCAACTTCTTAAAAAATTCAGATTTCCCCTCATTTGGTGCATATATTCCTACTATCAGAAATTTTTCTCCTTGTGTTTGGATTTTAATTGCCACATATCTTCCTTGGTCATCTTTAAAAATAAATTTCGGTGATAGGCTCTCTTTCGCATAAATTACAACTCCTCTCTTTTAACCTTGTCCGATGAGATAAACTCTTTACCCAATCTTTTATTAATCAATACTTTCCTATGGAGCCTTATCACATGTGTTTCCTGCAAACAAATCAAGTCCAATTGTTCCTTTTCAATAAATGAAAGACTTTTTTCCTTTTCTCCGGGGAATTAAATCCATGAATATTCCAACTTAATAGTTGCAGGGACATGGTGTATTTATTTTACTTTTCCTCCAACTGCACCAAGTAATTGTTCTTGTTCTGTTGGTGGTATCACCTTCTCTAACTTGTCCAATCCCAAAGGTAGTGATACTATGTCCTGTGTTCCTGGTTTTAAAGCTCTTGGCTCTTTTTCAGTTTCTTTTTGCAAATCTTCTTCGTGATCTTTCAGAAATTTTTCTTTATCTTCCACTGATCTTATTTTAAACTTTTTCCCTTTAAAAGTAAAAGATAGGCCTTGAGGGAATTCCCACCTAAAAATGGTTCTGTTTGCTCTTAGCAGGGCCACCAAGTCTCCGTAGTTGGACCTAAGATCCAAAAGATGTTTAGGGATATCTTTAAATATCTCCACTCTTGATTCCTTTATTTCCAAGGTCTTCTGGAAGTGCAGGCTCAATATTCTGTCTCTCTCCTCTCTTGATCGGAGGGTAATCAAACAGTCTCTCACCCTGTTCTTTCTCCCCCCTCTTCCAAGTCTGAAAGCACTTACTATCTTGAAGTCTAAATTGTCTGGGTCTAGGTCCCAAAAGTCTGTAAATTCCTGCGTAAGAAAGTCACTCAAGTTGTCTTTCTCAAGTTCAGGTACAGCCCTGATCCTTAGATTATCTGTTTTTCTTTTAATTCGATCATAGACAGCAATGACTTATGATCCTCCAGCTGCCTACATAATGGTTTGTAACGAAATTTTGGAGGGGGGAAAAGCGCCAGAGTCGTGGAAGGAAGCTTATATTACACTAATATTACACTAATACCGAAAAATGAGTCTGAAAAGACACAACTTAAGAACTACCGCCCCATATCCCTGCTTAATGTGGATTATAAAATTTTTGCAGATATTTTGGCTAAAAGGTTAAAAAAAGTATTAGTGGAGGAGATACATAAAGACCAAGCTGGCTTTCTCCCGGGTAGACACTTGTCTGACAATACGAGGAATATAATCAACATTTTGGAGATGCTACAAGTGAATATTAATACTAAAGCTGTTTTAATTTTTGTAGATGCGGAGAAAGCCTTTGATAATATTTCTTGGAGTTTCATGAAGAAAAATCTTCAGGGGATGGGGGTTGGTCAAGGGTTTGAAAATGGTATAAGTGCAATTTACTCAGAACAAAAGGCCAAACTAATAGTTAACAATGTGGTGACAGAGGAATTCAAGATAGAGAAAGGGACACGACAAGGCTGCCCAATTTCCCCATTGGTTTTTATTTCGGTCCTGGAGGTTCTGCTAAATATGATCAGAAGGGACCATCTGATTAAAGGTATACAGGTCGGAGCTAAACAGTACAAATTGAAAGCTTTTGCAGATGATTTAGTATTGACGTTACAGGAGCCAGAATCTAGTACTAAAAGAGTATTAGAATTGATTCAGGAATTTGGTCATGTGGCAGGATTTAAGTTGAACAAGTTAAAAACTAAGGTGCTTGAGAAAAATTTAACACCGATTGAGAAAGAGAGGTTTCAGAAGGAGACAGGTTTAACACTGGTTAAGAAAGTAAAATACTTGGGGGTTAATATGACCGCTAAGAATTTAAACCTATTTAAAGACAATTATGAGAAATGTTGGTCAGAAGTGAAAAAGGATCTAGAGATATGGTCAAACTTGAAGCTTTCCTTGTTAGGTCGAATTGCTGTTATAAAGATGAATGTATTGCCAAGAATGTTATTTCTGTTTCAATCACTGCAAACCTTAGACAAAATGGACTGTTTCAAGAAGTGGCAGAGAGACATTTCTACATTTGTCTGGCAGGGCAAGAAGCCCAGAATAAAATTTAAAATATTAACTGATGCAAAGGATAGAGGTGGATTTGCCCTGCCAGACCTTAAACTTTATTATGAATCAGCAGCATTCTGCTGGTTGAAAGAATGGCTGCTTCTTGAGAACACAGACATTTTGGATTTAGAAGGTTTTAATAATGTTTTTGGGTGGCATGCATATTTGTGGTATGACAAGGTTAAAGCACATAAAGCATTTAAAAACCACATTGTCAGGAAAGCATTGTTAAATGTCTGGATAAGATATAAGGACCTACTTGAAAATAAAACCCCAAGGTGGTTGTCACCGATGGAAGCAAAGGCTCAGAAAAGGCTCAATATGGAGGCCAAATGGCCGAAATATTGGGAAATTTTGGAACAAGAAGGAGACAAATTGAAATTGCAGAGTTTTGAGAAATTAAAAGACAAAGTGCGAGACTGGCTTCATTATTATCAGATAATGGAGGCATATAATTTGGATAAGAAAATTGGCTTCCAGGTGGAAAAATCAAAATTGGAAACAGAACTGTTAGAACCCAAAACTAAGATTTTGTCAAAAATGTATAACTTGCTGTTGAAATGGAATACTCAGGATGAAACGGTGAAATCTGCTATGATTAAATGGGCACAAGATCTTGGACATAATATTATGTTTGCTGACTGGGAACAGTTGTGGACCACAGGTATGAAATTTACGGCATGTAATGCCCTAAGAGAGAATATTATGAAAATGATTTACAGGTGGTACATGACACCAGTCAAGCTTGCAAAAATCTACCATTTGCCCGATAATAAATGTTGGAAATGTAAAGAAAACGAAGGTACATTCTTTCACCTTTGGTGGACATGCCCAAGGATTAAGGCTTTCTGGGAGATGATATATAATGAATTGAAAAAGGTATTTAAATATACCTTCTTGAAGAAACCAGAGGCCTTTCTCCTAGGCATAGTCGGCCAATTGGTGCCAAAGAAGGACAGAACTTTTTTTATGTATGCCACAACAGCAGCAAGAATTCTCATTGCAAAGTATTGGAAGACACAAGATCTACCCACCTTGGAAGAATGGCAGATGAAGGTGATGGACTATATGGAATTGGCGGAAATGACTGGCAGAATCCGAGACCAGGGAGAAGAGTCGATGGAAGAAGATTGGAAAAAGTTTAAAGACTATCTACAGAAATATTGCAAAATTAATGAATGTTAGAATGATGTTGGATAGAAACTAAGAAACTAAGATGTTGGATAGAAACATTATGAAATGTTATAAGGGAATATGAAAAAATGGTTTATTAATAGGTAAAAATCTAAAATTACAATATTTTATGATTAATGATTAGGATACATAAAGAGGGGAGGGATTTGTTGAACTAATAACTGAACTGGAATACAAAAAAGGGAGGTGTGAGGAGGTCCTGGAAATAAGCAAATGAAGGATAAGTAATGGAAGGAAGGAATTGTTTTTAACTATTTTTACTTTGTATTTTTTCTTTTTTCTTTTTTTTGTCTTGTAATATTCTGAAAATCTTAATAAATATCTTATTAAAAAAAAATGAAATGTTCAAATGTTTCTTTGAATTTCCGTGAGCCTTCCCATCACAATTGCCATCCTCTCCTGCCACAACAATGTTGCATGCCACACACTTTGAGAACCATTGCCCTGGATAGATCACTGGAGACTTAAGGTGTCTGTATAATTTTTGCCTTGCTTAAAATCTGCAAACAAATTGTAAGTGGAGACAAACGGCAGGTGCTGCTACAAGGCAGAAGATACCCAAGCAAGCAATTGGACCAGCTCCTCAAGATTGCACCCCTCATTTCAGCTGCCTCTGGGTAACGCTCTCATCTCTTTCTCTTTCACATTTCAACTGCAAAACTGCGAACTGCAGCTTCTTACATACATAACACATCCACCCTCTTCTCTTAGCTGCAGGTGTGTCACCTCCTCTGAGCTCTGCTGGGTGTCTCATTCAAAAACAGAGCTACCCAAACTATCAGGGACCATCTCCGAACCATTAGCTCCCATTCTGGTCTATTTACGCTGGTTAATCCATGTAACCAACAATAGCCAAAGTAACCACTGCACCATCATTGCCATCATCCTTGTGCTCTGTTTGCGTCCTTCCCAAAGACTTCTGGCTGAGCACTGTGTGAGACAAACTGCTGAATTAGACTGACCTTTGCTCTGATCCAGAACAGAAAAACTGGCTTAATTGGACATTAGAGCAGGCAAGTTATGCATCCCGAAATCTGATTATGGACATACTATTTCAAAGTGGAGCAGAGAGGTCAACTCTTTAACAGCTCAAACAGCTAATGTAAGTAAAAGAATAAGCCTTTCAAAGTTATTAGCACACAGAGGACCAACAAACAAGAACTATTAACCTTAAAATTGCACCACTAGGCAATAACATATAGTAATAACGTAGCTTTCCTTCTGTTTCCAGTATTCAGACTCTGAGGGCCAGTTTAGCTTCTTGAAAACCACAAGATTGTAATATGAAACAATGTTCCTCATAACATGCTTACCATGTTCTCGCCATTCCCTCTATTCCCTCTATTTCCAATGTTCAGGGTGTGAGTGCCGTTGCTTAGGTAGCCAAAATGGCAGCACCCACACAAGGGATAAAGGGGTCAGTACTCAGAGGAATCATGAGGTTTGCAGAAGCACAAAAAGTATTTTGAAGAGGAGGGTCTTGGTTGGGGTCTCTCGAAAACAGCCCAATGAGGAGGCCACTGAACACTAACAGGATATTGGAGCAGGAGATGGAAAACCAAATGGAAAAATGGAGTGGAGTCTCTTGCAACATGGCTATACTGTAGTTCTTTCTAAGAATCCACAGTGCTTCCTGGAGATCAACTCCATCATGTTCACAATAGCTTGGCAGAGCAGCCCGAAGGAAGGGACCGAGAATTAAGAGACAATGACTTACCAAAGGTCAGTGGATTCATCATGCCTGTGGGGGGATTGACACCTTAGTCAATACATTACATTACACTGCATTGGTCAGGGACAATGAGGTCAAGGGAAGGAGCCAACGAGTGCTGTCATCAACTGGCAGACTTGGAAATAAATCCCAGTGAAAGCAAGCTTTTGAGTATGTGTGATGAGGACTGGGCTGTTAAGTTACCTCTTTGGGGTATTCAGAGGGATGCTTGTGTCTCTTGCAACAGCTAATGTCAGGGTAGGAGGAGAGAACGACGGACTAGGAGCAGAGCCACCATCTACACTGTCCTTGAGACGCTACATTGTGTGGACTGTGTTGCTCTTACCTTTGATGCTCTGCATCCTCACTGAGCTCTAGGTATTCGGCCACCTCCTCAGGGGTCAGAACCGTCTCCCCATCATCATTGAGAGATACAGAGATTGAGGCTGCAGAAAGACGGCTGTAGGGCAGTGTGGGGAAGGTATGGCTTTCTCCCAGGGACTCACTGGTTGCCGGCAAGGAATCTTTGTCTTGTTGCTGAAGGACCAAGTCCATGGGAGGATCCAGGTAGCAAGTGCAGGTACACCTGTTCAAGCACAGAAATAATACCAGGTGTGCTATGAGTGTCTCCACCCAATAACTTTTCTATCTCTTGGTTTTAGCCTGGTATAAAAGCTATGGAAAATATCAGAAAACAGCCATCCCTTGGCTGCATTCCCATCATGCCCCAGATGCAGGCTTTGATACAAATATATGATTATCTGAAGCTATACAATAGTTCATCTTCATCCTTGGTCTGACTGCAATATAAGCACACTCGGAGGCAAGAGGCTGGAGAAAAAGGTTATTCAGCTGTGCTGCTTAGAGGAATGGTTCCTGGTTGACCTGCTAAAAAAACAGAAGTGTCATCTCTATCCTCCATTCCTGATCCTATTCTAAATCAAGCAGGAGATCAGCCTTTCCTGCTCATCAGAACAGGGACATGTGGAGGGACAGAGTTGAAGCAACCTTTTGCAGGTGGATTCAAATTTCTTCTAGCTCTGGTGCCATAAATCTGGTGTTGCACCAAAGGGATATTTGGTGAGGCCCTTTGGCAAGGGACCAGGAGAGAATGGCAAGACTATGTACAGGCAGCATGTTCTGAAACCTGAGAAGTTCAGAAAAGATCTGTGAGTTATTTCCCAGGGGAAATCATTGTTTCTCTGGGTTCTTTCCGATCTGCCCTATCCCATAATCCCAACTTTTACCACTTTATTTGGGCAGAGGTTCTAGACCTGCCTATCTTCAGCAAGGTCACTGCATCATATGCCCTCTTCAGACTATACCCCCAAACAAAATATGCTGGGTTTGCATGCCAGTTCCAACACCAGGAACTAGAAGCAAAATCTTAAATGGCCAGTCAGTGTGCCACAATGACATCTCCCTTAGATGTCATTGAGAAGCAGATGGCTTCTCAACTGCAGACATGCCTGGCAAAACCAATGGGTTGGGGAACATCAGGGGTGGGGAACCTCTGGCCCAGGAGGACAATTCAGCCAAGCAACTATGACATCAGGTGTCAGGAGCTGGAATCAGGCATAGGTCAGCAGTAAAACAGTAAAGCATCTGATGTCTGTAAAGTTAACTCTTTATTCAAAGAAACAAAAACAGCTCAGGTCTAGAGGTCACAGCAACCCTTCCCAGTAGGTCTTGCCCAATGAGGCAGCTGCAAGGACTGAAGGTCCCCATCTTCCCACTGCTCTCTAAGGCTCCTCCCCAGGTTCCTTCCCCAGCAGCCTAAAGCCCTGTTGTCTCTCATTGCTCTACTCTCTTCATTCGTCTCTGTGTTGTAGAAGACCAGGGAGGAGGGAAGCTGGTTTCAGCAGGAGCGGGGGACTCCCTGGCTTTTCAGCAGCCTGTCTCACCTCTGTCTCCTGCCTCCCCTCCTCTCCTGCCTCTGATTCTGAACTGCTCTCTGCCACAGCCTCTTCCTGCTCACTGAACCCTGTTGCCTCTTCAATGTCCGACACCTCCTCCTTCCAGTCTGCTCCCTCTTCTCTCTCTGACCATGCATCGTAATCCCACTACCAATCCCCTGGCTCTGAGCCTTCTTCCCAATGGGGTTCCCTTAGGGGTTCCCCAGCTGGTGCCTCCAACCACTCCTCTACATCCAGCCAGTCCATGAGATCAGATGTGGGGCAGGTAAAGGTCTGGTTCCATCAAAGGTGGAGTTGCAGGCACTGCTGCCCCGTGAAGAGGGATTCGGCTGATCATTGGGTCTTGCCAAGTCCCTTGCAAAGCGCTTCAGATGATAGTTGGGTCTCATGGAACATGTTGCAAGGGGCTTTGCAGGGCCCAGCGACCGGCTGACTGCCGGAGTGCCAGGTGTTGTAAAGCTCTTTGCAAAGCATTCTGCAAGGCACTTGACATCATTGTGGGCACTTGATATCACTGTGATGTCAGACAACTGGTAGATGGGCAGCTTGACCCCTGAGGTGTGTAGAGGATAACAATTTGACCCACCAGTCAGATCCAGGTCCTACCCCTGGGCAACACTGATGGAAGCCCAAAACGTTTGCAGGCAAGTGCTGCCCACCTCTGCCCGCATCCCAGTATAGCAGTCTAGATTATGGCTGTTTGCAGTTTGCCCAGTACGCAAAAGCAGGCTATGACTGGGGAGCTCCCTCCTCCTTGGCACAGCGCCAGATTTCTAAGTGACTCTCCGGGTCGTGTCCATCTCTCACACCTCTGCCAGGATGTTGGAGTGGTTTCAATAAATGAACCGAGCCCATTTCCGTGCAGAGCGCTCCTCCATCACTTACAGAACAATTCCTCAGTCCCGCTCCTACACCACCCCCGCCTCTGCTCAGCTAGTGACAGCACTCACGTCTTGCATGTAAATGGATGGAGTCTGCCACCTGCCACCTGCGTTTTGGATCCACTTTCTCCTACTTTGACAAGGTGTGAGACAGGAGGAGGCAGTGAAAAGGGGGAGGGAGGAGGAAACTGCTCAGCCTCTGTATGATGTTCTGAGCTACCGTTTGCAAAGGGCTGAACTTGCACACATCTGTATGCCTCTACCACAAATAGGGATGCTGGGAGCACGGGGAATCTGTTGTTGTTGTTTTTTCCAGTTTCTCTCGGATTCTCTTTTTTCCAATCTTAAATTCAGCTTTTCACATTTTTTACACCAGTTTGCAATTTTTTAAAAAAGGCCTTGTGAAAATTCATCAGCATTTTGACATTGAGGGGGCTGAAGACACCTCAGCCCTATAGAGTTGGTGCCTATAGATTGGCCACTGTGGGAATAGGATGCTGGACTAGATGGGCCTTTGGCCTGATCCAGCAACCTGGCTGATATGTTGTGAGACATAGTTTATTTAAACATATATACAGCTTGAGCAACATGTACTGTTTTCCCATCTTATATTTAGGTTAACAGCACCAGAGGGTTCCTGCAGAAGGGAACTCAGCTGTATCTATGTCTCTGCCATTCCTCTCAAAACTGCTGGCTTTTTCCCTTTGATTTCTGCTTGTACACACATCTGGTTCTGCCCCTTCCCTGTCTAGTGAGAAGGGAAAAGAATGAGTCATCTCTACCCTTCATTACACCTACTTGAGACACCTTTGCTCCCACTGTCACATCACCTGAATATTCCAGGCTTTCAACAGTCTTTCGATGAGTTTTATGAGATCTGGATTCAGGGCAACCCACATTGACAGCCAGGGGTGAGGGAGAAATTTAACCCAATGGTGAATCTATCAACTTCACATTTTCCAAAACATTTTCACAAACCAAAACACAGCCATCCAAAATTCACACCTATGTGAATTTTGCCATTCAGTTGCCCAAACAATGTTTGCAAAAATGTATATACAGTGGTACCTCAGGTTAAGTACTTAATTCGTTCCGGAAGTCCTTTCTTAACCTGAAACTGTTCTTCACCTGAAGCACCACTTTAGCTAATGGGGCCTGCTGCTGCTGCCGCCGCACCACCAGAGCCCGATTTCTGTTCTTATCCTGAAGCAAAGTTCTTAACCTGAAGCACTATTTCTGGGTTAGCGGAGTGTGTAACCTGAAGCGTATGTAACCTGAAGCGTATGTAACCCGAGGTACCACTGTACTAGAGGAAAGCATGTATAACAATGGATATCTTAGTGGAAATGACATGCATAAGTGCCTTATATTGAAGGGAAATATGTACACATTAGTCAAAACTGCATACAGTGGTACCTCAGGTTAAGTACTTAATTCGTTCCGGAGGTCCGTTCTTAACCTGAAACTGTTCTTAACCTGAAGCGCCACTTTAGCTAATGGGGCCTCCTGCTGCTGCTGTGCTACTGGAGCATGATTTCTGTTCTCATCCTGAAGCAAAGTTCTTAACCCGAGGTACTATTTCTGGGTTAGCGGAGTCTGTAACCTGAACCATCTGTAACCTGAAGCGTATGTAACCCGAGGTACCACTGTACACACAAAAAAGTGTTTATCAGGATAAATTCACACTAAAATGCAGGTAGATTTCCATGAGATTTTTTTTTAAATTGCTGCAGAAATGTGGAGAACTGCATTTGAGACTGAGAAAATGAGAACCTGAGAGAAGCAAAATTTACAGCTCCTTCCATCCCCACTGACAGCTCTACTTACAGAATTCTCATTGAAAACCCATAATATCCACATATGCCTCTAACACTCCACCGTCTGGGGTTGGGGGGTGGACCTGAATAGTACATGTTAACTTTAAATACTAGTGCTAGAAAGCCCTACTCCACATTAGATAGATGCTGCTGGACGAGGGAGACTCTTGGGAGCTGGTGTGTTGCCCTCTAGAGGTTGCTGGACTCCCATTAACCCTGACTGCAGTGAAAGCTGGCCCATTAAGGCAGATGGGGCATGGCCCCAACAACCTTGGACTTGATTCCTCCAAGTCCTCCTGCCTTCTTACTTACAACTGGCCCTGGCCATCAGCCTCCTCCTCCTCCATCTCAGTGTGTCCCTTGGAGAACTCAGCAGAGATCAGGATGGAGACACGAATGTATGAGCTCTGCCTGTGGTTGCCTTGACCTTCTGTTGGCTACTGTACCAGTCCTAAAAGGGAACTGGCCACCACTGCCTAGCCTGCTTGGTCAATGGTCAGGGATGATGGGAGCTGGAATCCAACCACACATGGAAGACACCATGTTGGCTACCCCTTGGAGTAGATACTCAACCATTTTGGACTAGATAAACCAGTGGTCTGATTTAACGTAAATTGGCTTAATGTGCTACTAAGAGTACATTCTGATAAAGGCGAAAGTCATCAAGCAATTTGGAGGGTTATTTGTGAGGTTATTTCAAACCCCAGTGCCTCTTTGTTAAGGTCAAAGGCACTCTGCCCAAAGGTGCCTCCCTCTCGTTGACCAGTCATGGGCTCTTTGTTCAATTCAACATCTATCTGTTCATTCATTCATACTCATTTTTGCTTCCCTCAGAGCCAGTCACAAGACTTTCAGCTCTGGAAGTCAGAGCCCAAAGCTTTGGGGGAATGCAAGAGGCTGTGGCCTGTTTCAAATGCTTTTTAAAAAAGGAAGAAGATTAACCAATGCTGAATCTGCTTTGGTAGTACTTGCTCCTGCGTTAAGTAGTCCATTTGTACGCTGTTGGCATGCCAGCAGTTCTTTACAGAAGTTCTTAATCTCCCTGCAACTCCCAGCAGCAGAACTCTGGCCAACTGTGTTTCCCCTGTGTTTCCCCTTTGTACGACAAAGGCTGTCCTCTTAGGAGCCATTTAAGGACTCCTATAAAGCCATTAAGTTGCTCTTTGTTTCATTACGAGAACATCTGAATTAACTGAGCAGCAAGGGAAATGTGGTTACATGCATACATTTCCAACAGGTGGGTTAAAAAACAAACTTGACTCTGCTGTAAGGGGCAATTCGCTGTGAGCAAAGGCTGGGATGTCTGACTGCCAGGGTTTTCATCAGGTCACAACCCTCACCAGGTCTGCTTTGAGTCCTCCTTGAGTGCTTTTCACTGGCTGGAATGAGTCCTTGAACTAGACCAGTGGTGTCCAAACTTTTTTCAAAGAGGGCCAGATTTGATGAAGTGAAGGGCCGTGAGGGCTGGCCAAAGGGCCAACCAAAGTTGTTGAATTTTTTTGGGGGGGCGGATTTGTTGTTGTTGTTGTTTTAGGATTTTACCCCAGGAAATAAACTGCCACGGGGCTGATTAAACTGACCGGCGGGCCGCATTAGGCCCCTGAAATGGACTTTGGACATGCCTGAACTAGACTAATGCCTCCTGCTTGCCTGATGTGGGTATGGGGTATCTGGATATAGATGCCTCTGAATGTTCACATGCTTAAGAATGTAGCCAATCACACCAAGGTAAGACTTGCATTTGCTGCTCCACCCATTTTTCTCTCTGGCTGTGCCCACCACTGGCATGGGGAGCCTAGGAGGCTGAACAAAATAGGATGGCCCCATTTTCATTGGGGAAATGTTGGAGGATATGAATTAGGGTGTCCCTATTTTCATTGGAGAAACATTGGAGGGTATGGAATAGGATGTCCCTATTTTTATTGGAGAAAGGTTGGGGTGTGTGGAACAGGATGTCCCTATTTCACTGGATAAATGTTGGAGGATATGGAACAGGATGGCCCCATTTTCATTGGGGAAATGTCGAAGGATATGAAATAGGGTGTCCCTATTTTCATTGGAGAAACATTGGAGGGTATGGAATAGGATGTCCTTATTTCATTGGAGAAATGTTGGAGGGTATGGAACAGGATGTCCCTATTTCATTGGAGAAATAAATGTTGGAGGGTATGGCATAGGACGTCCCTATTTTCATTGGAGAAACATTGGAGGATATGAAATAGGATGTCCCTATTTTTATTGGAGAAAGGTTGGGGGGTATGGAACAGGATGCCTCCATTTCACTGGAGAAATGTTGGAGGGTATGGAACACGATGTCCCCATTTCATTGGGGAAATGTTGGGAGGGTATGGAATAGGATGCCCCTATTTTCATTTCAGAAACGTTGGAGGGTATGAAAAATGTTCCCTACCCTGAGTAGCAATGCATGGACACTAGCATCTTGTTCTTAACCAGCTACAGAAAACATGGCCTAGAAGCAGAAGTATCTTCCTCAGCTCCTGATGGCTAAATAGTCAAGGATCACCACTAAGAACCTAGGAAGCTGCAGACCATTGGTCCCTCAACCTCAGCATTGCCTACACTGACTGGCAGCTGCTTTCCAGGGTTTCAGGAAATGGGGAAACGGGCAAGGTTTCCCAGCCCTGTCCGAAGGCTGCCATTACGGTCCTCCCATCACTAGGAGGAAAAGCACTTATTCGACTTGAGCATGTGGCACATGCCAGTAGTGATATGAGGCAGTGCATGAAACGTATTTGCAGCCTCTTCTCTCCTGCAAAACCTGCCCCGATCTCCTCTGCAACCAAATGTATTTCCAATAGAGCGGCCAATTATGGTGTAATTGCCCATAAATTTAGAATGACACCGATATTAGTTCATGCACAGATCCAAGGACAACGTTTTCTCTTCATAAATGTGGGATTCAGCGGGCAGCGAAAAGGACAGAGTCAGCTGATATTGCCCTAATGGATTGATTTACGTTCCTGGAATGATAATTGTCCATTTACTTAAATAGCTGGGCACTTGTTCAGAGAGGCCCGCTCTATTAAGTGGAAAACTCTCTCTTCCAGCAAAGCATGGATTCTCAGCATGATTTGTAGCTTTTTAAGTGCCAAGTAGGTAGAAAGTATGGCTGGAATTCGTTCCCACCAGAACCACCAGCAAAGATGATCCATCATACCAGTGCCTGAGGATAGTATGCAAAAGCAGGTAGGCTTCTCTTCTCGGTGCCGGGAGGCGGGGACTGGGAAATTTATCTGAAGCACCTGGTGGCACTGGAAGATGAGTCAGCATGGAGCAGATCTTGATACAGCTGCAATGCTCCACCCATCAAAAGGTGCACAGATACAGGAAGGAATTCCTGGAGCCAGGCAGAGCCTGCCCAGGCTCCATCACTACAGCGAATTGTGTGAGTCACAGTCTTGTGAGCTCAGGGCATAACTGTAAAAGGACCCCTGACCATTAGGTCCAGTCGCAGACGACTCTGGGGTTGCGGCGCTCATCTCGCTTTATTGGCCGAGGGAGCCTGTGTACAGCTTCCGGGTCATGTGGCCAGCAGAACCAGAGCAGCACACGGAAACGCCGTTTACCTTCCCGCCGAAGCGGTACCTATTTATCTACTTGCACTTTGATGTGCTTTCGAACTGCTAGGTGGGCAGGAGCAGGGACTGAGCAATGGGAGCTCACCCTGTTGCGGGGATTCAAACTGCCAACCCTCTGATCGGCAAGCCCTAGGCTCTGTGGCTTAACCCACAGCGCCACCTGTACATAACTGTACTTGATGCTAATTGCATCGCTTGCTAGCATATCTTTGGCTTTTCTTTATTCAGTTACAGGTAGAGATACCCTCTTTTTTATCAGGACCCTAGTGCACAAGATGGGAAGTTTAGGCTCTTCCCCCTTATGCTACAGGTAGGTGTTTTTTTGGGGGGGGTAGCTCCCATAGCTGTCAATGGGAACTCTGTCTTTTTTTCTAGACTTAATTGCAGCACTCTATTGGGGCTGCTAGAAGGAAGGATTAAAAGTTCCCTCTTTCCTTTCTGTGGACCTGATAATATCAACTCCCTCCCCGCATCTGCAATTACAGAAAGATGGGATGGCACTGATGGGATTGCGAGCAAATCAAATGGCACCGTGTGAACTTAGGATCTCAAATAGCAAGTTCTGGACCCCAACAAAACATTATGCAAGTAGCCAGGGCTGTATATCAGGGGAACAGCAGTCTCCTGACAACTCCCAGCATCCTTAACAGACTACAGTTCCCACGATTCCTTGGTGGAAGCCACGAGTATTTAAATTGGCATGATACTGCTCTAAATGTATAATGCAGATGGGGCCTTAGCAGTGCATTTATTTTGCTTTAGGTTGTTCTACTGTGCTTCTCCAATGCTGCCACGTTGTTGCTGCCAGGGGCAGGCAAAAAAAAAATAACCAGAGCATCTGTGGTACAAAACAGGGCTTCAGCAAGAAGTTACCGGATATGCACGGATTGGAAGCAAAGCTGTGTGGCCTCCTCAAAACTTTTGCAGGCATCAACAGTATCAGAAGAAGAATCACATGCGGCCACCCCAAGAGCACCAAAAGCACAAATAATCATGTATGCAAAATGAAAATGATGACTGGAGGGACTCTATGGTAAATCACAAAGGCATTTCAGATCTGCTCTTACACTGGCTGGGTGCTGTGATCTTGGGGAGCTTGAAAACCCGGAGGGACGGGAGGAGGAGGAGGCAACAAACCGGCGACGTTCTGTGAGGCACTGCATTTTGAGAACTTTGGGGAGCTGTACGTTTTCAGCACCTTTTTCATCTCCCCTGTGGAGGAACACAAGGAAAAGAAACAGTTAGTCATTTCTGACTCAGCCCACAACCCTACAACAGTTTTCAGATCCATGGAGGTAGACTCCTCAATTAGCCAAAATCATGTTTCACCCAGGGGGTTATTAGGTTGTTTTTGTTTTGATTATATCTTTTGTGCTTTCACATTGTGATTATATCTTGTGAACCATCCTGAGACTTGTATAGGACAGTATACAAATTCAATAAAATTATTATTATTATTATTATTATTATTATTATTATTATTATTTCACCAGCACACCTAATATGAACAATGACAATTCCTTGTTTCATGTTTTAAATTAGCGCAATTCTCATGGGTTAGGGCAGCGGTGGGTAGTTTTCAGGCTTTTGGGATCTAGTTCGCTTTTTACTAGAACCTCAAGATTTACCAACCAAAACCAAGCTCAAAAGATATACTATTAGAATAAAATAACTGGGTTCCTCTGAGCCTAGGAACTGGTTCTTGTCTGGCAATAAATCTAGATCCACCAGATTTATTGGAAACTGGTACCAATGGAGCCATCCCAGCCCTAATTTGAGCTGAAGTGTGCATTTGGCATTAAGTCATCTTAGGAGCCATATTGTGCCATCATAGGCTCTACAGTCCTTGCATCCAATATGGGGAAGAAAAGAGCAATCTCTCTCCCTCTCTCTCTGGCAGAAGCAAGGCCATCAGCAGAATTGCATCATTGGCCCTCTTATAGGAAACTAGAAATAATGTTCTCCTTGAAAGTCTCATTAGCAGCATCCCCCAAGCCTTGCATATGACAGCCAGATCCAATTCAGATTAGGGAAAACTTAATGTGTCCATCAGGGGGAAAGGGAAAGGGAAAAAAGACCAAGATAAACATTAACTGCCTGACAGGATCTCTATGGACAAATTGATCAGGCACTTAGTTTCCTGAGCTGCAGGGATGTGGAAAGGAGATTAAGGCAATAATGCTACCCAACGTCTATCACAACCAACAGGAACGTTCCCTCAAATTTCGCTGTTTTTTTCACAGGTCACAGCAGCAAAGAGGGTGTCCAGGTCGACATTTGTTTGCGAGTTCTGCTAATGTTATTCATAGATGCATGAGGAGGGCAGGAGAGAGAGAAGGAGTCCATGCTACAATTTATTATCCATCACTATTTTTTTGCTGCTCTCTCTCTCTCTCTCTCTCTCTCTCTCTCTCTCACACACACACACACACACACACACACACTTCTCAGTCACATCAGTTTCCCACATTATTGACCTCACCTCCAAGACATATTGTGTCAAGAATAAACATTTGCGTTCTGTACAGCACCTAGCACCTAGCTGAAAGGAATCAGGTTCCAGTTGCTGGCAGTCACACACGGCGAAAGTGCTGTTGCAGTCTGGTCCTTCTTATAAGCCTCCCACAGGCACCTGGAACTAGATGGGCCTTTGGTCTCCTCCAGCAGAGCTCATATTATGCTCTTCTCATCTCACATGTAATGACTTATGGCCTTTTAGGCCCCAAGCACAGGTGCATTTTAAACACTTTAATTATTGCTCAGAAATCTTCTTGGATCAATGTGTTGCCACCACCCACAAGTCGTGCTATTCCTCCTTGAATTGCCACAGCATCCATCCCACTTGGGGCAGAAGGGATCCTGCCTCTCCCCTACCTCAGAGGCGGACTCACAGTGTCCTGCAATTCCACAAGAAACCTTCAGGCTTAACCTGTTATCATTGTCTTCACTGCCTCCCCATCTGTTCTTCGCAAGGTCAAGGGAAAGCCTTATCAATTCCAACCGACAGGAGAGACGCTGAATGGCAAAGGAAAACTACATGGGTTAAAGTCAGGGGTCGGCAACCTAAGGCCCATGGGCCACAACTAGTCGTTTAACCGGCCCACGAGCCGCCCCCCAAACCAAGCTGCCCACTAAGTGAGTCCCAGCATGCTGCGCTAAACCAGCACAGCACGGAGACTCACTTCCGCGGCGCTGGAAATCATGTCTGCGCAGATGCAGATGCTGGAAATCACAGGCACGCACGCTCATGCGCATGCACATGCGCAGTCCAGCCCACAGAGAGATCTCTGCTGGAGTGAACTGGCCCAGGTGAGGTAAACCTTGCCGAGGCCTGGTTAAACTGATGAGGTTTTCCCACCACATCTCAAGTTGGACAAGAACATAGGAAGTCGCCTTATATTGAATCAGGTCCAAAGCCAGCTCAAGACATTTTGCTGCCTGATGCAAAGGGACAAGATGGTGCCACCTGTTCCACCCAAGGGCAGCAGGCTAGTTTAGCGGGTGCAGGTCAATCAGTGTGGCACAAATAGCTCTGTCCTCTGATAGAGGGGAATGCTTCGCCCCAGAATCTGCCACCAGAGGAGATTGGCTCACTCTGCCTAATGGTAGGGCCAACTCTATTCAGACCATTTGTCCGTCTCTCTCTGCACTGTCAACAATGACTAGCACTAGCTTCTAATGCAACTATTTTTTTACCCCAACTGTCAGATCCCAAAGATTAAGCTCGGGACCTTTTGCATGCAAAGCAAGGGCCCTACCACTGAGCTTAAATTAAACTGTGAAAAAGCTATTTCCAAATCTGTACAACTCTATGGGGAAGAACAGCAGCAGGAGCCGAAAAATGCACATCAGAACAAATTAGTTTACAGGTGACTAAACCTCCCCACCACACACAAAAACCCCCCCACAAAAAACCAAGAAGGTTGAAATGTAATTGAAATAGCCCCATGCCATTAAGCGATCTGAACACTGAAAAGAAACACATTTAAAACCACATTCTTGTCTTTCACACTTGCTCACCAACAGCAGAAGGCAAGCTTTTAAAACCAGACTTTAAGTGGTATGTATGAACTCTACGCTGCTAGCAATCAGAGAACTAACTTTTGGCATCTTGTTATATTTCGGTTCTCCCTGGACTGTAACATTGGGCGATGCTGCGGCCAGTGATTGTAGAGTCCAGTGGGGAGATGGGCTTGGGGCAAATTGCATGATTCATATACTTCCCCCACGTAATGTAAAATATTGATCTTGAAAATGGGCGGACTGGGGACAAGCATTCGGTTTAGCTTTCATTCCCAACCTGCTCCTTTTCTGTGTGGGGGCATCTCTGCCCACCCGCCACCACTTAGGGAGGAATCTTCAAAACAAGCAAGCTCCCACCTGCAACCTGAAAACTGGTATAATCGACGAGAGGCTTCATCACTTGCAGATTCTAGGGTCCCCAACTACACATACATTTAAAACAGTACCTTACCGCTTTAAACAGTCAAGACACACATACACCCTAGGAATCGTGGGAACTGTAGTTTCTTAAGGGAGCTGACAGTTTCTAGGAGACCCCTATTCCTCTTACACAACTACAATTCCCAGAGTTCCTCAGGTAAGGTTTTTAAAAAAAGGTAAAGGACCCCTGAACGGTTTACTCCAGTCAAAGGCGACTATGGGTTTGCGGTGCTCATCTCGCTTTCAGGCCAAGGGAGTCGGTGTTTGTGTGCAAGCAGCTTTCTGGGTCATGTGCCCAGCATGACTAAACAGCTTCTGGTTCAAAAGAGCACCAGGACGGAAGCCGGAGCGCACGGAAATGCTGTTTACCTTCCTGCTGCAGCGGTACCTATTGATCTACTTGTGCTGGTATGCTTTCAAACTACTAGGTTGGCAGAAGCTGGGACAGAGCAACGGGAACTCAACCTGTCACGGGGATTAGAACTACCGACCTTCTGATCGGCAAGCCCAAGAGGCTCAGTAGTTTATACCACAGCACCACCCACGTCCCTAGATCCCAAGGAAGACTGATTGACTGTTAAACCACTATGGCAACTGTAGCTCTCTGAGTGGAACAGGGGTCTTCCAAACAACTATTGGTACCCATATCAAACTACAGTACCCAGTATCCTTTGGGGGGAACCCACGACTGTTTAAAGTGGTCTGGTACTGCTTTGAATGTATAGCGTGGCAGGGCCTGAGTTGAAGATATAAGCTGGCCTTACACAGTTCAGGACCTCAATACCTCCAGGATCACCTCTCCCCATATAAACTGACCTGGACCCTGTGCTTGTCATGTGAGGCCCTTCTCTATGTCCCCCATCCCAGGGAGGGCAGCAACAAGAGAACAGGCCTTTTCTGTGGTGGCTCCTCAGTTGTGGAATGCCCTTTCCTGATACATTCCTCTTTATCCAGGCCTATGGCTATGAAATAATCTATGGCCTGTGAAAGTGTGGGGGAGAGAACTGTTTATTATTATTATTATTATTATTATTATTATTATTATTAATACCCCACCCATCTGGTTGGGTTTCCACAGCCACTCTGGGTGGTTGTTTGTAGTGACTATTTTTAGTATTAGACTACTTTAGCATTAGTCAGTATGCTTTTTATCATGCTTTTATTATTATGTTTTTTATCATTGATGCCCTGTAATGTATTTTTAATGTTGTACACCGCCCTGGGATCCTTTGATAGAGGGTGGTATACAAGTGAAATAATAATAATAATAATAATAATAATAATAATAATAATAATGGCTTCCAGGCCAGGCAGCTGTTCATGCAACAAAAAAACCCTGTCGTAATCCATACATTGACAGAAACCCTCCGATTCCTCTCTTGTCCCCCCTCCACAATGTCCAATTTACCCACATAGCCTCTTCCTTGCAGACCCTGCCTCATGAATAACTCAGAAGGATTTATGGGCATGGGGCACCAGGGAGAGGGTGCGGTGGAGGCCGAGCACACAGTTTGCAAGGAGAGGCGTCCTCGGCAGTCCCGCTGCCTCATTAAGCTTTTGAAAGGGGCTTCAAAGAAGAAGTCTCTGTCCTCGAGAGCCAGCTTGCCGGCTGGAGGCTCATCTGGCAACGAGGCTCCCTTAATAAAAACAATGCAGGCAAAGCTCAGAGGCACATCCGGGAGAGAGCAGAGATTTACCACCAGAGCTGGCCATAAACACACAGTTCAGGCTCAGACTAATAGTCTTATCTCTAGCTCTGGGAGCCCTCGAAAGCCAAACATCTTGGAACGGGGCAGGCATCCCCTAAGGAGGTGCGGGCAATTGCTAGGCGATGTGTACAAGCTCAGTCCCTCATCCTTCCGGCTCCTGACTGTATTTATTTAAACGATTTCAATGCCACTGTTCAGCGAGGATCAAAGGAGAGAGAAACTGTGGCTCAGAGCTCCTTGTACATGCTTGGCACATGGAGTTGGCCCAGCAGACGGCACCATGGCAGGGGGCGAGGGAGGAATAGATGAAGGCAGGGACTGGTGCCCAAATGGTAAAGGTAAAGGGATCCCTGACCATTAGGTCCAGTCGTGGCCGACTCTGGGGTTGCGGCGCTCATCTCGCTTTATTGGCCGAGGGAGCCGGCGTACAGCTTCCGGGTCATGTGGTCAGCATGACTAAGCTGCTTCTGGCGAACCAGAGCAGCGCACAAAAGCGCCATTTACCTTCCCACCGGAGTGGTACCTATTTATCTACTTGCACTTTTATGTGCTTTTGAACTGCAAGGTGGGCAGGAGCAGGGACCGAGCAACGGGAGCTCACCCCGTCATGGGGATTCGAACCGCCGACCTTCTGATCGGCAAGTCCTAGGCACTGTGATTTAACCCACAGCGCCACCTACGTCCCTGGTGCAACAAGGCTTTTTAAAGGGTTAGGAACACGGGGAGCTGCCTTCATAGCAAGTCAGAGTATTAGCCCATCTTGCTCAGTATAATAAGTGACTCTCCAGGGTTTCAGACAGGGAATGTTCCCAGGCCTACCTGAAGATGCTCAGGGTTGAACCAGGGACCTTCAGAATGCAAGGCAGAAACTCTGCCACTGGGTTGTGGCCCTCCCCGTACACGTTGGTTCTTAGCAGACCCAGGTCCCTAACAGACCATCAGTCAGGTCTGGGTCCATGGGCCAGGACTTTTTCTAAGCTGGAACTCAGTTCCGGCACCTCTCGGGTGAGCGCCATTGCCGTTATAAGAGAACAAGGGACGTGTTCATGGGGAGTTCCAGCACCTTATTTTCTAGAAAAATAGCACTGCATGGAACATATGGAACACCCCTCTTTTGAATGCCCCCTCCCCCAGGGTGCAGCACAGTGCTAAATGTGTCATAGCAGGCATGGGGCAGTGATGGTGCTTTTCATAGATAAGGGAGGAGAGGCTCAATAATTTCCTTCCAAGCCACGGTGCCATTAAAAATCACACACAAGCAGACACTTATTAGCGTTAAAGGAAAATCTCCCATTGGCAGAAGCAACCAAGATCATTCAATGACGCATGTGTTCAAAACTGGAGCAGTGCCCTTTGAAATTAGCCGCCCAAAGGTCCCAGGATGGCAGAATATGAGCATCCCATTACAAAGGATGCAAGGTACTACAGGCCAAAGCACAAGGAGACCTCAGGTCCGAAATGAGAGCGGGGCACCAGAAAGCAAAAGCATTAGCAATCAACTGTTCTCCAAAGAAAAGCTCCATAACTCCAGAGCTAACACGAAGCTTTGCTGCCCTCTCCTGGGATGTTAAGAGAGATGCTATACAATCCGAAGTAGAGGCTTAAACAGGAACGTCCATGCTATTGCCCACCTCTGCCAGGGAAAGCCTTATGCTCATGAGGGATTTCTCAGTGCATAGATAAAGTAGGAAATTCCCCTCTGCAAGGTGTGGTGATGGCTTTAAGGGGAGAATAGGCAAATTCAGGGAGGATGTGTTTTATCAATGGCTACGGGTCGTGGGCACCATGCCTCTGAATTGCAGTTCCTGGGGAACAGGAGTCGGAGAAGGCTTCTCAGAGACATGCGGGTGGCTGCTGTGAGAAACAGGATGGTGGTGGACCTTTGGTTTCATCCAGCAGGATTCTTCTGGGCAATCTTTTGAGGGTCACATGCGAGAGGCAAAACGATATGTGTACGTCTATCTTTGTACATTAGGCTAGTGTCTACAGTCACATACACACTATCCTACAACCAGAGAAGCAAAAGTTCACGGACACATTCCAGCTGGCAAAAACACCCAAGATGTGAAGTAGGACCCCTGAGGGATGTGGCCAGGAAGGAATTTCAAGGGGCAGATTGAAAGCCCTGGAGGGGTACATTTACCCTACCCCTGAGCTGGGCCTGAGATTCCCCACCTCCTCCCATTCTTCCATAGTGTTAATTTCTATTACACCCACTCATGGGATCGGTTCCACAGAAATTGATGTAGATTAACCTGCGGGTGGCGCTGTGGGTTAAACCACAGAGCCTAGGACTTGCCGATCAGAAGGTCGGCGGTTCAAATCCCCGCGACGGGGTGAACTCCTGTTGCTCAGTCCCAGCTCCTGTCAACCTAGCAGTTCGAAAGCACGTCAAAGTGCAAGTAGATAAATAGGTACTGCTCTAGCAGGAAGGTAAACGGCGTTTCTGTGCGCTGCTCTGGTTTGCCAGAAGTGGCTTAGTCATGCTGGCCACATGACCCAGAAGCTGTACGCTGGCTCCCTCGGCCAATAAAGCGATATGAGCGCCGCAACCTCAGGGGTCAGGGGTCCCTTTACCTTTACCTTTAACCCATCCAAGCACAGTTGCTGTGGACAGCTTTCAGGAAACGGGAGCTTTGAACTGGAGCAAGATTGACTTTGTTTTCCACCTTTCAGGACTGCATCCTTAAAAACTACATCCTTAAAAACCAGGGGCTTTTCCAAACTCAAAACTATGTTTTTAAAGTACAGCTGTTTTATAAATAACTTTCCCATATTTTCGACAGAACTACATCTTGAGGTCAGGTGGACAGTGTGTCGGATCTACTATAATCCTGAGATCTCTCAACCAGAACCAAGGACAGAAGGCATCCTGTTAGAATTAAGGAAGTTGGTGCCTCTGAGCACATTCTGAGCCTAGGAATTTGTTTTTCAGCTCCAGAGCTGAACTGAGCTTACAGTCCTTTCATTACTGATTTTAGCTTTCTTCATTTCTACAGCCCAATTTAGGCTGGAAAAGTCATTTAGTTGTTACTATTGTTAAGGGAGTTAGAAACCATTGCCAATCTACAGCAAATCACCCTGGGATCTGCCCGTAGATTCTGATCTACTTTCTATGCAACTGTACCCAAAGTAATAGGTGCATCATGGGAAGGGGGTTTTCAGCTACCTCGCCCCCTGCCTTTGAAAGCCTTTTAAGAAGCTGCTTCAGAAGAGCGACTGTCAGCAACACTATGGAAGGTTTTCTAGGACCTGCTAAGCTCCCTTGTTATTTTTGCTACTACCAGGAAGTGCAAAGTTGTTATTATAATCTTGTTATATTTATAGAACTGAAAAGTTGTTTCCTTATACATTGTTATATTTGCTATTATGTTGTCATTTCATTATATTATTAAGAAATGGTTCTTGCAATGGTTGATGTTGAGATGTCTCCATGTTTTCTTTGTCACAAGCCATATTGAACATGGTTCTATTTATAAATTTATAAGCTGTTGATAAACTGGAAGTTGAGGAATGAGGAAATTAAAGATGTTATGAGAAAATGGGACCGAGACCTGTATGATTGAATTGGAGAAATGGAAAGAGCTCTGGACAAAAAACTTAAAATTTACGGCCTGCTACTTAATAAGGGAAAATTTTATGAAAATGAAATGCAGGTGGTATCTAACCCCTGCTAAGTTGGCTAAAATAAATAAATCTCACAACAATAATTGTTGGAGGTGTAAAAACCAAATAGGAACTTTTTATCACATGTGGTGGTTGTGCCCAGAGATAAAAAAAAATCTGGGACATGACTTACAAGGAAATAAAAAAGTTATTGAAAATCACATTCTGCAAGTGTTAGAAGAGATAGAGCAATTTGGACAAGTTGCCGGTTTCAAATTAAATAAGAGTAAAACGAAAATAATGGTTAAAAATATGGACCAAGAGATAATAGAAAGAATTCAGCAACAAACAGATATGGAAGTGGTTAAGTTAAATATCTTGGGATTATATTAACTCCCAAGAGTATTGATCTTTTTCAAAATAATTATGTACCAGTTTGGAACAAGATTAGGAAGGACCTGGAAGTGTGGGGAAGAATGAAGTTGTCATTTTGGGGAAGAATTGCAACGGTAAAAATGAATGTACTACCAAAAATGTTGTTTTTATTTCAATCAATACCAATAATTAAAGGTGTGGCGATATTTAAAGAATGGCAAAGAGTATTATCAAGATATGTCTGGCAGGGCAAGAAGCCTAGAATAAAATTTAAGATTTTAACGGATGCAAAAGATAGAGGAGGCTTTGCCCTGCCAGACCTAAAGTTATATTTCGAGGCTGCATGTCTTTGCTGGGTGAAAGAATGGATAAAGTTGGAAAATTCAGAACTTTTGGATAGAAGGATATGATAATAGATTTGGTTGGCACGCATATTTATGGTATGAGAAAAAAAGAGTGCATAAAGGTTTTGAAAATCACATTTTCCGAGGTCCGCTGATTGAAGTATGGAATAGGTACAAAAATTTATTAGAGTTTAAAACTCCATTTTGGCTGTCGCCATTGGAGGTAATGAGTGTTAAGAAGATCAATATGACGGGGAGTTGGATTACATATGAGAATTTAATTATAAAAGAAGGAAATAAATCGAAATTGAAACCATATGATGAAGTTAAAGAATATGTGTTTGATTGGTTACATTACTTCCAAGTGAATGCGATGTTTAAAAAAGAGATGCTGGAAAGAGGTTTTCAAGATGAAAAATCTAGATTTCAAAAAGAAATTGTGAATAATGATGTTAAAATTTTATCTAAAATTTGATTTGATTGATTGCAAAATTGATTTAGATTTATTGCGGCCATTGGCCCATATCGAAAACAATACATCAGAATTTATCCATAAACAATACAATTTAAACAGTTCCAAGTTGAAACACCCTTATAAAACCAATTTTACTTTAGTTAAGTAAACACTATACACAATAAGCTCCTCTATGTAAACCGCAATTCCGATCCATCAGATTTTGGGGGGTATACGTCTTAGTTCTGGCACTTATTGATGGTTCTTAAGTTTGGCTAAGCTGTCAGAAACATACAGTGATCCATTTCTCCTCTTTTGAAATAAAACATTAATCAGGAATCTAGCGATTGCAAGGGATCTACTTGTATCTTCGTCGTTTAATAAGTATATTATTTGGGCTTCCTGAGGACTGTCAGCAATTTTCGATAAATATGGGGCCAGAAACTTGGACCGTGAAGCCGAATGTAATGGACAACAGAAGATTATATGATATAATGATTCTATAGATCCACTTTTACAGTCACAGAGGAGTGAGATCTGTCCGTTGGAGAGTCTGTTACCCAACACGTTTGATGGGAAAGCATTGAATCTAGCCATTATAAAGGCATACCTGTGCGTCACCACAGATAAGGTAGTTAAGTAAGATGGAAGTTTCGTTGGTGGTGTTAAGCCAAGGTTTATCGGCGAACAGGTGCCACCACCTGTCGCAATATTAAATTGTAAGTCCATCTCCTCTAATTTGTGAGTTATAATTCTTTTGGCCGAAGTTAAATCCAATTTTAATAGTTCAGATGGAGATAGTCCTAGAGACACAAGTTTCCCATGTATTATTTTTGCCCAGGGGCTAGGGAAGTCATCTCTCCAGAGGCATTGTATCAAGTGGAGATTTGGAAGTTTATGCCATAAAGCCAACCAGTAACAGAGGATGCATTTCCATAATGTGGTTTCTAGAGATGTAACATTTAGTTCCAGTCGTATAGCAGTATTGCTTACACACCTGGGTAATTTTAACAACCTTCTTAAAAGCTGGTTTTGGATTACCTCCAAATGGGTTAGATTAGCAAAGGACCCCCATAATGGGACTGCATATGCTATTGTTGCAATCACCTTTGCCTTGAAAACTTTTAACACTGATGGAATATGGAAAGCCCCATCTGAAAAGAAAACGCAATAGCGCATAGGAAAGGGCTTTAGCTCTGTTTAATACATATGCAACATGGACCTTCCAGCCCATGTTGTGTTGGAGAAAGACTCCCAAGTACTGAAATTTAAAGACTTGGTCAATAGCTTTTCCGTCTATTCTCCAATTATAGGTTTTTCGACTCTTGGTGAAAATTAGGACTTTGGACTTAACATGGTTAATTGTAAGAAAATTTGATTTGCAGTAGACATCGAAAATTTTTAATGCCCTCCTAAGGCCGACTCTTGAAAAGGATAGGATCACTGCGTCGTCTGCGTAGAGTAGAAGAGGGCAACGATATTGGGCAAGACGAGGGGCGTGGATCGTTTCTTGAGCCTCTATCAGAGGCGCCCTCATATCACTTATAAATAGATTAAAAAGGGTCGGAGCAAGGATACATCCTTGGCGAACACCTCTATTGATAGCTACTGAGTTTGAGAGGTCGCCTGCCGGAGTGATTCTCACCCTCGCGGCCGATCCGTCGTGCAATTTAGTTATTAGCCACAAAAGTCTTTTGTCTATTCCCCATCGGGCTAATTTTCCCCAAAGCAATCCTCTGGGGATGCTGTCAAAAGTGGCCTTTAAATCAATAAAGGCCGCACAAAGTTGGCCTCTATTTGGGGAGGAGTATTTCCGGGCAAGGTGGTATAAAACTAAGACCTGATCAACCGCTGACTGATTCGGTCTAAAACCAGCCTGTTCAGGCCCAATCAGGTTGTTCTCTTCGGCCCACTTAGTAAGCTTAGTTAACAAGAACCGTGCATATATTTTCCCAATTAATGACAATAAACTGATATTCCTGTAATTTCCGGGTCATCTGTCGAGCCTTTTTATGAATTGGAACAATAATCGCATCCTTCCATATTCTTGGTACCTTCCCACTGTTGTTTACGGCATCAAAGGTAGCGGCCAGGATTTTCGCCCACCAGTCAGCATGAAGTTTTATAGCTTCTGCCGGGACTAGATCAGGACCGGGGGCTTTTCCGCTTTTAAGATTAGAAATAAGTCCGTGGATTTCTTCCGGGTCAGTGGGTGGCCAAAGAGGGAGCTGCTCATAGACTCCATCAATTGTATTAATATTAAGGTCTGGTAAGGCAAAATAATTCCTTAGAAAGGATTCCCAAATTGGGGCAGGAATAACTGTTAAAGGGTATCTTTTAGATTTTCTGTTAACCAACAGCCAGAATTTTCGGGAATTACGGGTACTTGAGGCAGCTATAAGTGCTTGCCAGCGGTTCAATTGCCATTCCTGTTTGGCCTTTTTCTGCACATATTTGTAAGCTGATTTTGCCTGATAGTACTCCTTGGGAAGCGTAATCGCCCCTGAGGATTTGTAATCATTATAAATAGCACAAAGATGTTGTTTGGCTTGTTTGCAATTACAGTTAAACCACGGTGCACCTATCTTGGGGTGGGCCCAATTTGCCTAGTGGGTTGGGACAGAAAAGAATGACGTAAGGTCATTCAACAGATTGGCAAATAGATTAATAGTTTGATCGTGATCATATGAAGTTATGCCAAGGGCTGAATAGGTTTGTATGATCTCCTGCTGAAAAAATTCAGAATATTTTTGAGCCTGCGTTACAGACCACTTTCAAAAAGAAATTGTGAATAATGATGTTAAAATTTTATCTAAAATGTATAAATTATTACTTGAGTGGCATACTAAGGATGAAGAGGTTAAAGTTGCAATGATTCAGTGGGCCAAAGACTTTGGTTATAATATTCAATTTGATGATTGGATAAGATTGTGGAAAGAAGGAATGAAATTTACTGCATGTACTACAATAAAAGAAAATGTTATGAAAATGTTATACAGATGGTATGTTACACCAGTAAAACTTGGAAAGATGTATAAAGTTAGTAATAAATGTTGGAAATGTCAGGAGAAAGAAGGAACATTCTATCATATGTGGTGGGAATGTAAAAAAATGAAAGGTTTCTGAGAAATGATTTATAATGAATTGAAAAAAATGTTGAAATATACCTTTGTTAAGAAACCAGAAACCTTTCTGTTAGGAATACTAAGAAATGACATAAAAAAGAAGGATGAGAAGTTGTTTTTATATGCAGTAACAGCGGCAAGAATTTTGGTGGCACAAAAATGGAAACAGGAAGAAATCCCGACGAAAGAAGAATGGAGAATGAAGTTGATGGAATACGCAGAATTAGACAAGCTAACGGGGAGAATTCGGAACCGGCGAGACCAGAGATTTACCGAAGACTGGAATAATTTTACAGAGTATATTAAAAATATATGTGAAGGCCAATTAACGTTTGTAGGTTTTCAAGAAGCTCTGTGATAATAATGGAAAGAAATATTGTTTTATAATAATTGTTAAGATTAATTTGGTTAAAAAAAAAAACAGATGGAAGAAATGTGATTAACTGTGATAACATGAAAAATTTCCAGATAGACTGAAAGAAGTCTGAAAGTGGAAAGATTAGAATTGGATGTATATTTCGAATGGAATGTTTTTCCTTTATTGTTATATTTGAAAATTTTATAAATAAAAAAATTTAAAAAAATGAAAATCACATTCTGCAAAAAACCAGAAGCATTCCTTTTGGGAATCATGACAGTCAATATCATATCCCTAAAGATAAAATAAGATTATTCCTTTATGCAATATCAGCAGCAAGGGTCTTGGTAGCTAAATATTGGAAAGAAAATCATATACCCACCAAAGAATGGTTATGCAAGCTGACCGAGTACTTGGAACTCACAAAGCTAACAGATGTATTAAGACACAAATCTAATACAATAGTTAAGAAAGAATGGGGTCATTTAAACAAAGACCTGATGAATCAAGGTTCAGCACCTAAGATCTGGTTGTGCCTAGAATAACACTGCAAAAGCAATAGTGTCCTGATATGAAGATGAGGAACCAATGGAAATACAGGAAAGTATCTTTACTAAGAACAATGAACTGTTGTGGTATTGGCAGAAGTCTTTATTTTTTGTTTTGTAGGTAGCTTTGTATGTAGTTCTCTGTGTTTTAATTTAAGAATCTGTTTGTAAAATATTAGTCTAACAATGAGTGATTTACTGTTATCCTACACACACACACACACACACACACACACACACACACTTTTTTTCCTCCTTTCCCCCCTTCTATATTGTAATTTTACTTTTCCTTATTAATTTTTTATTTTTTTATTTACTTAATCTGTTTGACAACTGTAAGTTTTGTTCTAATTGCTTGTGTATGCAACATAATTCAATAATAAAAAAGAAAGAACATGGTTCTTTTTGTATGAAAATGAAAGAAGGAAGGAAGGGTAGCAGCCTAAGCTGGTCCCACTGAACTCACTAAGTGAGCATGCACAGGTCTGCACTGTTAGTCTGGATCCAACCCTAGGTTTCTAAGAACATTGCCTGTATTTGAGTTTCTTCCTGATGCTCTGTTTTGCCCCTTGCTGCTTCTCCTACCATGAGATCTCCGGTGCTTCCCAGAGCTGATACGAGAGCTTGTCTGGCTGCCCTGGCTGCTCCAGTCTGCTGAAAAACTAGATGGCTGCGTGGGAGTGCTGTGTGCTTGTTGTAGCTCTGGAAGAGATAAAGACATTGACATGTGCAAGTCAGATCAGCCTTGATTCTCATTTCAACTAACAAAGGAGATAATTCTGGCACACTATATAGTCTTCTTTCTCGATAAGAAGTGCCACTTTCAATTTTTAAAATTGTTTTAGGCAACTGAGCCTGTAGTATTTCCCATCCAAAATTTTCTTTCAATCCTTTTGTTAGTGCATTTGTATTGTTGCAATGACTGGACAACCATCTTTCACTAGGAAGATTGCATGTTAATGGATCAAAATGACTGGTTGATGATTTATCGGTGGGGGCTGATGGTTGGGAGATCTTTGTGTGTGGAAAAAACTGCATTTTTACTGAAGACTTAAGGTGGTTTCAGAAGTGTGGGCTGTGTTTTTTAACTTATTACCAGTGCTTTTTTAGAAAGGAAGGAAGAAAGGAAGGTAGGTAGGTCCAGGTACCTTGAAGTTGCTACAGTAAGTGTCACACTTTTACCCCTCAGAAAAAAAACACTGCTTATTACAAAAAAGAGGATATCTGTTTGCATAAAATTGGCACATGCCAATTTAATATGTATAGAAACAAATTTAGAAATAATAATAATAATAATAATAATAATAATAATAATAATAATAATTTATTTATATCCTCCTCCCCCCCCCCCAGCCGAAGCCGGGCTCAGAGCAGCTAACAGCAGTAAAATATTACAACATTCTAAAATCATTTCATTATAAAATCAGTTCAAATCAAATTAATGGCAACCATTGGCTAGAGTTCTGTGAGGATTGCCAAAGGAGAGGGTCAGGCTGTGCCCTGGCCAAAGGCCTGGTGGAACAGCTCTGTCTTGCAGTCCCTGAGGAAATATGTCAAGTCCCGCAGGGCCCTAGTCTCTTGTGACAGAGCGTTCCACCAGATGGAAGCCACAGCCGAAAAAGCCCTGGCTCTGGTTCAGGCCAGCCTAACCTCCCTGTGGCCCAGGACCTCCAAGATGTTTTTGTTTGAAGACCGTAAGGTCCTCCGTGGGACATACCAGGAGAGGCAGTCCCGTAGGTACAAAATAATAACTGTCAGTCGCCTGCCCAGGAGCTACCTAATGACAGGCACTTTTGAGGCCCCTGCTATCTCTTATTACAGCTCTTTATCTCGGAAAACCTTTCTAATAGAGAAGGGATTGGGAGCCTGTGGCCTTTCCAAAGGTCTACAACTCCCATCATCCACAATGACCAATGGCGATACTGGCTGGGGCTGATGGGAATTGGAGGCCCACGACATCTGGAGGGCCAAATCTTCTCCATCTTTGTAACAGAGGATGTAGGAACAGATGGCAGTGCCGGCCCAGGACATTTTGCTGCTTGCGGCAAAAGTGAAAATGCTGCCCACCCCCGGCTGCCACTTGTCCTCCACCCTAGTGCCCCCCTGATGTTGCCACTGATGACAATGACTCCTCCGCTGTGCCCTGCCCACCACCTCTGCTGCCTGAGGTGGCCCAGGGATGCCCCAGCATGCTGAAGGTAAAGGTAAAGGGACCCCTGACCATTAGGTCCAGTTGTGGTCAACTCTGGGGTTGCGGTGCTCATCTGGCCGATGGAACCAGTACAGCTTCTGGGTCATGTGGCCAGCATGACTAAGCCGCTTCTGGCAAACCAGAACAGCGCACGGAAATGCTGTTTACCTTCCCGCCGGAGCGGTACCTATTTATCTACTTGCACTTTGACGTCCTTTCGAACTGCTAGGTTGCAGGGACCAAGCAACGGGAGCTCACCCTGTCATGGGGATTTGAACCGCCAACCTTCTGATTGGCAAGTCCTAGGCTCTGTAGTTTAACCCACAGCACCACCCGTGTCCCTATGCTGAAGGTAGGAGGGGAGAAAAAAGGGGGCTGGAGAGGAGGCCAGTTGATGGACCAGTGATATAGGAGGAAGGGGCCTTCAGTGCAAATTGAAACCTTCCAGGGAATTAGAGAGGTTTTTCCATAATTGGTTCTGGAGGCCTGATTTGAATGCAAAGGCCAAAGTTGTGGAGGACCACACGGATACCGAGTGATGGGGGTGCCCCTCAGAGCTGCCAGGCTTGTTTCCCAGCAACCCCACCCGCCTCGTCCTCAGCAGGGAAGGCCACCCTCTCTGCATCGCTCCCGGCAATTAGCAGCTTCAGCAAGCAAATTAGGTTTTCTATTAGATTCCGCAAAAGTCGCGGCATTCAATTTGTACCTGAACTTTGGAGATGATTCAATTAGGGCCTCCTGAGAACCTCAGCCTCCCTGGAGGGAGGGCAGGGAGATGCTGGCATCATGCAGAGGAGGGGCTGAGCTAAGGCTGTTCCCCCACCCCCAGGAATCCGTATGACATTTAGAGGTGGACAAATCCCTTATCTCAAGACTCAGGACATTGGAAGCTGCTTTATTCTGACGTTTGGTCTCTCTAGCCAGGGATGGGGAAATCTGTGGTCCTCCAGATGTCGTTGGATTCCTACTCCCAACATCCTTGACCATTGGCCATGCTGGCTGGAGATAATGGCAGCTGGAGTCAAAAACTTCTGGGGGCCCCAGACTGGGAAGATCTGTTCTATGGCAATACAGTGGTACCTTGGTTTAAGAACAGCCCTGTTTACGAACAATTTGGCTTACAAACTCCGCAAAACTGGAAGTTGTGTCCCGGTTTGCGAACTTTACCTCGATCTAAGAATGGAATCCGAACGGTAGAATCTGAACTGGCGGTGGGAGGCCTCATTAGGGAAATCGTGCCTTGGTTTAAGAACGGTTTCGGTTTAAGAATGGACTTCCGGAACGGATTAAGTTTGTAAACCGAGGTACCACTGTACTCCTGATGCTCATGATTGTGGCTACCATTGCCAAATCAGGGAGTTCCCATGAGGAGCAACCCTATGCAAGTCTAGGCATGTCTGCTCAGATGGTCACATCCCATGGAATTCAGTGGATTCAGGGAGTCTGTATAGGATGGGAACCGAAGTTCTAAGGCTGAGATGGGGAACAACAATCGGGGGGATGGGGGTGGGAATTGTACTCCAACAACATTGCCAGGGCGGAAGACAAGTTCTCTTTCCCCGGGCTCTACTGAGAAACATTAACAATGTGTAGAGTGGGAAGAATGTGGAGTGGGCCAATAGCAAAATTCAGAAAGGAGTCAGCATGCCAGGGGACTGGGGGGGGGGGCGGCAGCTTACTTACACACCCTTTCCCCTCTCTGCAGTTCATTCATCACACATTCACAAAGCCCAGCCTTACACCTTTAGAACTATCATCTTTATTGTTTGATTCATATACTGCCCTCGACCAAAAGATCCCAGGGTGGTGTACAACATTAAGAACACATTTTCAACTGATTTTTTCAAGTGTGTGTGTGTTTAAAAAATGTTTTTAACTGTTTTCATGTGTTTTTTGTGGTGGTGGTATTTGGCTACTTCTGTTTATATTTTGATTGTGTATTTTGTGTTTTTATGTTGTAATTTTATCTTGTGAACCACCCTGAGACTTACGGGTATAGGGTGGTATATTATTATTATTATTATTATTATTATTATTATTCAGTGCTTTTTTTCTTAAAAAATGTTTAGAGGTACTCTCATTCTCCTACTCATATTGAAATACTTTCCCTCAATGAGGCCAAACTTAGATTCACAGAATGTTTAGGGGTATGCATACCCCTACGTACCCCCAGAAAAAAATGCACTGATAATAATAATAAAAAATAACAATAATAATAATAATAATTAGGAGCATCAATAATAAAAATATAAACATAATAAAAAGCATAATGACAGTAAGGTAAAGGTAAAGGGACCCCTGACCATTAGGTCCAGTCGTGGCCGACTCTGGGGTTGCGGCGCTCATATCGCTTTATTGGCCGAGGGAGCCGGCATACAGCTTCCGGGTCATGTGGCCAGCATGACTAAGCCGCTTCTGGTGAACCAGAGCAGAGCACGGAAACGCCATTTACCTTCCCGCCGGAGCGGTACCTATTTATCTACTTGCACTTTGACGTGCTTTCGAACTGCTAGGTTGGCAGGAGCTGGGACCGAGCAACGGGAGCTCACCCCGTCGTGGGGATTCGAACCACCGACCTTCTGATTGGCAAGTCCTAGGCTCTGTGGTTTAACCCACAGTGCCACCCTACACTAACTAAACGGATTGTAACCTAAGCTTTTGTGTACCAGAATCCACTTGAGATGCATGCTGTGATCATCAGGTGACAGATATCCATCTATCTATATCTTGAATGTAAAGAGCAGGGTGTCCAAAAGGGCAGGAGATGCAAGGAGAGACAATGTTAACACTCCACAGACCCGGTAACACTTTGTGCACAGTGCAGTCAGCTCAAGTTCCATCAAAACTCTGCTCCTAATAAAGACTAGTGATCTTTAAGGTGCCACAACTCATTTTCACATTTGCTGCCACAGAGCTCCCCCTCTGGAGCGGAAATATTGATAGCTAGAGACCTACTGTTGGTTGTTATTTAGAGCCACTATCTCAGATTCAGCCCTCCTTACGTCTCTGCACCCTTCGGGTTTCCCGCTGCCACAGATGTGATGCCTTTCTCTATGTCATCCCTGCGTCTAACTCCCTAAGTAATCTTATAGTCTCCACAAGACACCCTCTCCACAGGGAAATTCGTTTCAGGCAGTAAACCTGAAATTAACATTAGCGGAACAGCTTTGCAGTAAAATCAACTGCCGAGAGAACTTGTAGATTCTTGTTCCTTGGAAGAAAAGGTTTCTGCTAGGGATGTGAGACTACGACTCCGTGGTAGACCATTACCCTTGAATGTAGAAGGTCCCCAGTTCATTCCCTGGCATCTCCAAGCAGCTCTGGGAGAGATACCTGTCTGAAATCCTAGAATGCTGCTAACCTGCCATTCTCCAGACGTCATTGGAATCCAACTTTCATTAATGCCAGCCAGCCCAGCCAATGGTTTAGGACAGCCATAGGCAACCTTGGCCCTCCAGATGTTTTGGGACCACAACTCCTGTGATCCCTAGCTAACAGGACCAGTGGTCAGGGATGATGGGAATTGTAGTCCCAAAACATTTGGAGGGCTGAGGTTGCCTATGCCTGGTTTAGGAGGATGGGAGCTGTCATCCAGACCTACACTGGCTCCCAGTACATTTCCGAGCACAATTCTAAGTGTTGGTGCTGACCTTGAAAGCCCTAACTGGCCTCGGTCCAGTATACCTGAAGGAGCATCTCCACCCCCATTGTTCTGCCCGGACACTGAGGTCCAGCGCCGAGGGCCTTATGGCGGTTCCCTCGCTGCGAGAAGCCAAGTTACAGGGAACCAGGCAGAGGGCCTTCTCGGTAGCGGCACCCGCCCTGTGGAACGCCCTCCCACCAGATGTCAAAGAAAACAACAACTACCAGACTTTTAGAAGACATCTGAAGGCAGCCCTGTTTAGGGGAGCTTTTAATGTTTCATGGACTATTATATTTTAATATTCTGTTGGAAGCCGCCCAGAGTGGCTGGGGAAACCCAGCCAGATGGGTGGGGTACAAATAATAAATTATTATTATTATACTATTATCCAACAAATTGTACAGGCTCATAGGTTATCTGTCTCTGGTGTAGACAACAGCGAAGAGGATGGCTCAATGGTCAGACTTGGTATAAGGCAGCTTCCTATGTGGCCTAGGACTTCCTCCAGAAACAAGGGTCCAGTTAAGTAACCTACTGCTTCTCTTTCATCCAGAAAGAGATGGGGCTCTTGCAACTTTTAACAGCTGCATGACACAATTAATCAGGCAAAGCTGTCCTAGCAGTCAGATGCAGTGAAGGCCCTCCTTCGTGTGCCTCCTCCTCAAGAGGTCTGGAGGGTGGCAACACGAGAATGGGCCTTCTCTGCAATGGCTCCCCATCTGTGGAATGCTCTCCCCAGGGAAGTTCGCCTGGTACCTTCACTATACACCTTTAGGTGCCAGGCAAAAATGTTCATTTTTAACCAGGCCTTTGGTTGATCTGTTTGACATCCTATACCCTTTTAAAAGGGACACGGGTGGCGCTGTGGGTTAAACCACAGAGCCTAGGGCTTGCCAATCAGAAGGTCAGTGGTTCGAATCCCCACGACGGGGTGAGCTCCTGTTGCTCGGTCCCTGCTCCTGCCAACCTAGCAGTTCAAAACAACATCAAACTGCAAGTAGATAAATAGGTACCGCTCTGGCGGGAAGGTAAACGGCATTTCCGTGCACTGCTCTGGTTCACCAGAAGTGGCATAGTCATGCTGGCCACATGACCCGGAAGCTGTATGCCTGCTCCCTTGGCCAATGAAGCAAGATGAGCGCTGCAACCCCAGAGTCGGCCACGACTGGACCTAATGGTCAGGGGTCCCTTTATCTTTACCTTTACCCTTTTAAAATGTGGCTTTTTGCGTGGGGGAGTGTTATTTCATTGTTGATTTTATTCTGATTATATATGTTGTGATCTTTTCTGTGAACTGCCCTGAGATCTCTGGGTATAGGGTGGTATATAAATAAAAATAAGAATAAGGATAAGGATAAGGATGGAAGCTTTTAATGTTTAATAGGTTATTGTATTTTAATATTCTGTTGGAAACCACCCAGAGTGGCTGGGGAAACCCAGCCAGGTGGGCAGGGTATAAACAATAAATTATTATTATTATTATTATTATTATTATTATTATTAAAATGGGAAGAAGCATCATCTGCCAAACTACTAATGGTGATGCAGCTGTTCAAAGCTCATGAGTTCTGCCAGAAAATTTTTTGCCAACCTTACTTTCCCAACTCTTTATATATTATATATATTATGATGTCATAGGCAACTCCCAGACGAGAGAGAGAGAGAGAGAGAGAGAGAGAGAGAGATGATGATGATGATGATGATGATGATGTCTTACCTTTCTTGCTATTTTTATCCCAGGATCCCTGAGGTATAAGATTTGGAGACAGGGAGCCCTTTGCCTTCCGTGGCCCTGGACGTGCTGCTCCCCTAGTACTGGCCAGCCAGGGGTTCGGGCTGTAGTGGGGCATGAACATCTGGTCCCCATTTTGCACTAGTTCCACGGCATGCAGGCTGGGGCTGGGAAGGTGAGGCAGTGGGGCATTGTAGAAAGTTTTCAGGTCCTTCACGGGAAGATCTACATAGAGTGCCCCATATAGGCTGCTGCTCCTACTATCAGCCACCAAAGGAACAGTTTGGATACGGGAACCTTGGCTCTGCCTGTCGAAGGATGCTGCTGTGGGGAGGGGGGGCAAGGAAAAGGCAAAAAGGAGGGGTCAGTCAAGGATGGAGCAACCTACTTAGTTCATTACCGTTTTGCATGTGTTGATTCATAAGTCCATTTTGCCCCTTTACTGCAATAATCTGATTTTTTTTAAAAAGGAATCTACAGAAAGATCGTATTTAATATGTATACTTAAATGTCCTTAAATGCATTTTTAAATGTCTCTCATAGTATGCATTTCCAAAAGTTTATTTTATCCTTATAGTACACATTTTACCATATTGGCCTGAATATAAGCCATACCCGCAAATAAGCCACACCTTTAAAATTTGGTGGGAGGAGGAGTCAATACCTGAATATAAGCCGCTCCCTTAAAATTGGGTTACAGGTTGAAAATCGCTGTGGTTGATAGAATTGTAACTCCAAGCCAATTTAAGCCTTTGATCTTGCAAGCCTGCAAAAGTTACCGTACAATCGCTAAAATTGCAAATCGCTGTTCAGTTGAATACAATTCCTCAGGTGCTCACACCCGTAAATGACAAACGAACAGTCTCAAATCAGCAATAAAACATTTTTTTTGTTCCGTTTTACCATATGTCTGTTTCAGCAGCGATATCGTAAAAGCCGATTTTTGTAAGTTCATGAATTTATGCTGCACTTTAACTTTTCACGGTCGGAATTTGGGGAGAAAGTGAGGCTTATATTCGGGCCAATGCAGTATATGCATTTTGATAGGTACCTCAAAATTCAGAGACGTGCAAAATCCAAATAACTCTAGAATGCATGGATGGGCAGGTTCCCAGAGACAAGATTGCAGCTACCTTGGCTCCTTCTCCAGCCCTGATTCTTCCAGTATGGCTGCTGAAATAAGCTATGGTTTGGCTCAGTGTGTCATCCAAATCAGGGATCATGGTTTGTTTCACTCCAGAAAAACCATGAGCTGTAACCATGCTTTGTTCCTGGGTTTACAATACATGGTTTGTCTGGAGTGAGATCCCCAGTTCAGACAACATGCTAAGCCAAACCATGGTTAAGCGCAGCAGTAGTGCAGCAGGAAGAGGATGGGGAGGAACCAACTCCAGGAACCCTCACATTCACATGTCTGCACTAAGCTCGCATTGCATGCAAACCAGCTCACTGAATGAATGAATGAAATAATACTGTCAGTGGATGAAGGTGGCAATGAGCTAAGAGTGGAGGTTTGCAAGGACCCCTTTGCTTCTTTCAACAATAATATAATTCTTTATTATGGCTGCAGATCAATAAAATTAAGTACAGAAATAAAACATACAGCTTGTTAAAACAATTGAAAACAGATGGGATACTATTATACTTTCCCCCCATCTCTCAAGCCAACAGACAATTTCTCCTGATCTGTATTGAAGTCAGATTTTTTTTTTTTACAACCTTCCCAGTAGCATACGAGTGAGCATCCCTTAAGCAGATGGAGACCAGATCTTCAGATCTTCCTGGGAGAGTGCTTAATAAAAGGAGAATCATCCGCTCTCTCTACACTCTCTATACAGATTGCAGTACAGAAGAACAGGGTCAACAGGTCCTATTGCTCCAACTCCACACAAACCAACTGTTCATAAACCCAAGGCTTGGTGAATCGTCCACTTAACAGTGCAAAAGGCAACTCGCTGAAATGAGCAACGATAAATGCTCCCCTATACTTGGGCAAAAACCATATTATAATAAACGATATTAAAACCAGATGCACAGTTCCACCCAAAATTATGCACCTTACTTGTAAGAACAATATTCTTGGGCTATCTTGCTAAATGTTCTCCAGGGTGGTCGATGTGTGAAATTCTCTAACAACTTAAGGAGCAGAAAAATTCTCAATAAATGGATCAGATTGCAAATTTCAGAGAAATTTCAGCAAGCTCTAAGCAAAACTAAACCACCACCTGCTGTTCGCAAGGGACACTTACTAGATTTGTGGGATTCCTGGTTATCTTTGGGTTCAGTCCACAGGAGCTGACTGCTCAAGCTGCTGCTGGTGCTGTAGTTCTTGGAGCCTGAAGTTGACTTCCATGTGTTGGAAAGCCAGGGAGAATCGCTACAGTCTACCCTACAGTCAAAGGGGAAATAGGAACACTTTCATAGATGCGAATCTCGGTAGTGTGGCAGACAGACTCACTGACTAAACAGACAGACAGAAGTCTATGAAATCAGAGAAGGACATGACATGACTCTATTAGTAGCTTGGGCATTCAAACCTGGCAGGTGTCTTCATTTGCACACACAGGACTAGTGAGCTGCAGAAGTATATACCTCACACCCCCTTTACAAGAAGACTAAACATATATAGAGACTCTTTAGAGACTCTTGAGAGTCCCATGGACTGCAGGAAGATCAAACCTATCCATTCTTAAGGAAGTCAGCCCTGAGTGCTCACTGGGACAGATCCTGAAGCTGAGGCTCCAATACTTTGGCCACCTCATGAGAAGATAAGACTCCCTGGGAAAGACCCTGATGTTGGGAAAGATTGTGGGAACAAGAAGAAGGGGACGACGGAGGACGAGATGGTTGGACAGTGTTCTTGAAGCGACTAACATGACTCTGACCAAACTGCGGGAGGCAGTGGAAGACAGGAGTGCCTGGTGTGCTCTGGTCCATGGGGTCACGGAGAGTCAGACACGACTAAACAACAGCAAAACATATATAAAGAACTGCAGTGATTTTGTTCTGGTTTTGCATGACAAGGACAGGACATAAAGAAGTGAAATCGCTATTTAATTCTGGGTCACAGTGGTGGCGGGTGATAACTTGCCCCCCGATTGCCATCAAACATTCCACGACATTTAACTATTTTGCTAGAGCTGTCTTGCCCAGATATAAATATGCATGCATCCCTAGAGAGAGGGTGAACGGCAGCATACCTGTGTTTGATGATGGTGTCATCACTGGCGTTTCTATACAAACCTGGAGAGAGTGAGGTGCATGGCAAAATAGCATTAGGCAGGCAAACCTGTCTTCACTGACAATTCATTTCATGACTCCCTGCCACACTGCATAAAGCCTCTTCCTAGGGCCAAACTAGTAAGACCACAACTTAACTCCTGACCTGGGATCAAGTGACCTCTTGGTGTGTTTACTGTATTCAGTTGCTTGGGGGGCGGTGTTCAAGAAAGCAATGCCCCCCCCACATACAATCACATGCGATGCACATGATGTGACATTTTTTTCATGCATCCCTGCTTAGAATAGAGCAGGGTTCCCTACGCCTCCCCAGCAATCTCTGTATAACTCTTGGAAATCTTCCCAGGCCAAAACACTTCTCCCCAGGCTACATCCCTGCTTCACACCCTCCTTGAGTGTTTTTGACCACCTGGGATACATTCCTTGGACCCTGATAACACCTATTGCTTGCCAGGACGGATGATAGGAGAGGGTTGTGTTGACTGTATGTAGAAACTAGTCTATTGTACAATGGTAAAGGTAAAGGTAAAGGGACCCCTGACCATCAGGTCCAGTCGTGGCCGACTCTGCGGTTGCGGCGCTCATCTCGCTTTATTGGCCGAGGGAGCCGGCGTACAGCTTCCGGGTCATGTGGCCAGCAGGACTAAGCCACTTCTGGCGAACCAGAGCAGCGCACGGAAATGCCGTTTACCTTCCCGCCGGAGCGGTACCTATTTATCTACTTGCACTTTGACGTGCTTTCGAACTGCTAGGTTGGCAGGAGCAGGGACCAAGCAACGGGAGCTCACCCCGTTGCGGGGATTCGAACCGCCAACCTTCTGATCAGCAAGTCCTAGGCTCTGTGGTTTAACCCACAGCGCCACCCACGTCCCTTTTATTGTACAATGGTAAAGGTTGCATAATAGCTACACCTACTTTAGTCTCCGGCTCTGCCTATCACTGAAACGTGGGCCTCAGAAGGTTGCCAGGAAGGAAATGGGGCCCTCAGACTGAAAAAGGTTCCCCACCACAGGCAGAGAGTCCTGTTCAGACTGACACCCTACACTGAGCCCATTTACCCACCTGGGACCCAGTGCAATGAGTCAGAACACTGCCCTTTCTATAAGCCTAAAGCCAGACTCTATCTGCTTCTCTTACCTTCACCTAGGGCATATGGACGTCTCCGGCCATACTGCCTGGCTTGCTGCTGGCAAACATAAACCGTGAACGCCATCAGCATGACCCAGAGTGCCGAGCCCACACTGGCAATGAAGACAGGTTGACGCACCACTTCCAGGATGTAGTTGGCGGAATGGAAGTCCGGGGTCTTGGCCATCTTTTCAACTGTCGGCTCTGGAACGAAGAAGAAGAAGAAGAGTTTGGATTTGATATCCCGCTTTATCACTACCCTAAGGAGTCTCAAAGCGGCTAACATTCTCCTTTTCCTTCCTCCCCCACAACAAACACTCTGTGAGGTAAATGGGGCTGAGAGACTTCAGAGAAGTGTGACTAGCCCAAGGTCACCCAGCAGCTGCATGTGGAGGAGCGGGGAATCGAACCCTGTTCACCAGATTATGAGTCTACCACTCTTAACCACTACACCACACTGGCTCTCAGTGGAACAAGGTGTGATGGTGAACTTAAGCCACAGAAGAATGAAGAAGGTTTGGGCTGTGTGTACGCACAGTAGATGAACCCTGGCCTCACGGACAACATCTTCAGTGGGAGGCGCAGCTACAGCTGAGTGGCAGGGCACATGCTGGAGTGATGCCAGATGCCCATGGCAGCTGGAGGGGAAGAGGACCAACAGCAGGTGGAGCCAGAGCCAATGACAGGCAGAGCCAACTTATCCCAGTTTTGCTCCCCATCCTCCTCCCTACAAGGACCACACTGAGACTAAGGAGGAGGAAGCTACAGCCCTGTTAAGGATCCTTGTTTTAATGTACATTGAAATGAGAAATAAATCTATAATGTGCCAGGATTGTACTGTGAAGCATGGCTGGAAATTTCCACTGAAGCTGATAACAGGTCAATCATTAAGTGGGGCTGTATCTCTGCTGGCTCAGTCACAAGGTGTTTAGCTCAGAATTACATGAAAAGGACTGTAGTGCAGGTTTATGCATATGTTAATCTGGAGGCATTCAACTTGGGTGAGATGCTCTCTTTGTTGTTGTTTGTATACTGCCCTATACCCATAGATCTCAGGGCGGTTCACAACATAGAATTGCAAAATAAAAACACACATTATTATTATTATTATTATTATTATTATTATTATTATAAAAAACAAAGACAAGCCAATAATCCCTCCTTTCACAGTCCATTTAAAAGGGCATGGAATGTCAATTGGCCAAAGGCCTGGTTACATGGAATGTTTTCACCTGGCACCTAAAGGTGTATAACAGGCATAGGCAAACTCTGGCCCTCCAGATGTTTGGAACTACAATTCCCAACATCCCTAGCTAAAAGGACCAGTGGTCAGGGATGATGGGAACTGTAGTCTCGAAACATCTGGAGGGTTGGAGTTTGCCTATGCCTGGTGTATAATGAAGGCACCAGGTAAGCCTCCCTGGGGAGAGTGTTCCCCAAACAGGGAGCCACTGCAGAAAAGGCCTGTTCTCATGCTGCCACCCTCCGGACCTCTCATGGAGGAGGCACATGAAGAAAGGCCTCAGAGGATGATTTCAGGGTCCGAGTAGGTTCATATGGGGAGAGGTGGTATTGCAGTTGTGTGAATCTCTGAGGCTAATGGAGGCTGCAATGGAGAAGAGAAAGAGCTTTGATTTTTAGCTCAGCCTGCAAGATATTTATAATCTAAGATATTATGCCTTATGCTGTGATCAGTATACGAAATTATGCAACTAAGTGGATGTAACTTTTATTTGTTCTGAGTTGTTTTGAAGTTAAGTTCTGTAAGGCTGGATTTAGACGCATCAAAGAAGCGTTTCAGTTAAACACGTTGTACATTTCATAAAGGGAACTCACGTTGACAAAAGACGGATCTCCACAGTGCCATCTGGTGTCACAGTGTTATAACGCATATAAACCTGTTTTTCTTTACTAATGTAAGTAAAGCTTTTGAACCGTATTTTTGGACTGATAGCCCTCTCTTCCATGTATTGGCATCATCCTCTTTTAAAGCCATCCTCTTTTGGTGGCCATCACTGGCACTGCTACAAGTCCCATCTACCGGAGCCAGCATAGTAAATGGTCAGGAATGATGGGAGTTGTAGTCCAACAGCATCTAGATTGCCACAGGTGTCCCCACCCTTGTACTAAGAGATCAGCTACAAAATAGCACCTCTGACCTACAGCACTGCAAACAGGATTACTGGGCACTCCAATTCCAGCTCCATTGACTGCTGCTACCTGGACGCAGTATTTTTGCCCATTAGCCAGGCCTGTCACTTCTAGGCTGTGTGTTTCTCCACCCACGGTTCTGTTACAGCCTGAGTGAGTTTCATTGCCCAGGAACCAGACCTGCAAACACAAGGCGAGAGAAGAAAAACGTCAGCCTGTCTCACACAGAGCAGCACAAGACGGCAATTTCTGCAGAACAGAAGCACACATGAGAGGAACCAAATATATCCTGCACAGAGTCACACATCTAGCAAAGCAGTAAGAGATAGATGCAATGTTGGGGAAAGATGCCAAATAACAGGGGGTGGCTAAGGCTAAGTTTTTTTCCAGTCTGTGGGCTGCATTTCTGATGGGGGGGGCACACATGCCAGTAGTGTGTGAAGCCAAATGAATTGATTGATTGATTGATTTTATTATTGATTTATTATTATATTATTTATTATTATAAAAATTATTTATTTTTATTATTTATTTTATTATTTATTACTCATCTGTCTGGGTTGCCGCAGCCGCTTTGGGCAGCTTCCAGCAAAATATAAAAACATAACAAAACATCAAACATTAAAAACTTCCCAATACAGGGCTGCCTTCAGGTGTCTTCTAAAAGTTGTATTGTTATTTATCTCCTTGACAGCTCATGGGAGGGCATTCCACAGGGAGGGTGCCACTGCTGAGAAGGCCCTCTGCCTGATTCCCTGTAGCTTCACTTCTCGCAGTGAGGAAACCACCAGAAGGCCCTCAGAGCTGGACCTCAGTATCCAGCTGAACAATGTGGGTGGAGACACTCCTTCAGGTATACTGGGCCGAGGCCATTTAGGGCTTTAAAGGTCAGCACCAACACTTTGAACTGAGACAAGAGATGAGGCAGGCTGCTGGAGAATCCGGGGAGTTGAAGTATAAACAGATCTAGCTCTGAAGAGGACTGTATACTATACAGAAACTCACAACCCCACCTTTTGTTTTTAAATCCCCAAATTAGAAAGAGCATAAATTCCAGTTCCCCTGAAATGATTTCTGACCCACAGGGGAAAAGGGACAGGTTGGTAGCACACCCTCGCAGCTCAGCCATGCCTGTGCAGACACATTTTCTAAGCAGGGAAGCGTTTTCCCAACTAAGTCCTTTTCCATACTTTCTAACTAAAGAGTATACTGTGTGTCTGTCCCTTAGTTAGAAAGTATGGTGAGGGACTTGGTCATGGAAGAAGGGCTGGGTTTAAGAATGGGGGAAGGCGAGGATTGGAAGTCAAGCACTTTGAATTTTGCTCGGAAACTTACTGGGAGCCAGTGAAGATCCCAGTTTAGGCAAAAGTGGGCAGGGCAAGGAATGTAAAGTTTTATCTCTGTAAAGTAGACTAGTTTCTACAAACACACACATGCCCCTGCCTTGCCTCCACCCAGACAGGCAAGAAGCAAAGTTAGAATTCAAGGACACATTCTAGCCAAGTAAAGACACTTGAGGGGTGAAGCAGTACCAGTGAGGGGTGAGACCTGCTGAGAATTCTGAGGGCCAGGTCGAGATGTCAGGAGGGCCACATTTGACCCCCAGGCTTGTGATTCCCTAACCTGCCATGGAACGTAAGTCCAGAGTCAGTGCACCTGCCGTACATGTATAATATACAAGGAGCATGACAGCAGGCAAAAGAGAAAACAAGCCTTGAAATGGCAAAGTAAGAACCAGATGAGGTGTGGGTAACCTCTGGCCCTTCAGATGCTGCTGAACTTCATCTCCCACCTTCCCTGTCCTTTGACCATGCTTCTTAGGGCTGATGGGAGCTGTAGTTCAGAAACACCTGGAAGGCCAAAGATTCCTCATGCCTGTAATTATTTCAGGAAACATAAAGAAACGTAACTGCATGCCACTCAAGCACATCTCTAGTTTCCCCAGTTTCCTCAAGTACAACAGCTGGATAATCCTGAAGGGTTGCAACCATAGTTTTAGTTTGATCCACCCCCATGAAATGCTCTATTCCACCAGACCTTGGTGGAATACCACTTAATCACCCTTCCTCCAGATTCCTTCTGTCCATCACCATCAACCAGATATTGTGGTACCCAAATGGCACCAATTCCATTCCTCCTTACCTGGTAACCTTTGATGATACCATTGTGCATGTCTTGTGGAGGGGGCTCCCAGCGGATGATCACAGTGCCATTCACATCTTGAAATGTGGTGATGCTGATGCTTTCAGGGGAAGCACCGGGCACTGGGAAGAAAGGAAAGGATAGGGTTGCTGAGATATTTTTTAGGAAAAGAAGGAGCAACAATTACTGGTGCAACAGGCCTCACGCCACATGCTATTATCTACTCTGCCACCTCCTGCCTCCTCCATACAACTCAACAGCTCAAAATCAGAAGTTCAGGACTGAGGGATCCCAATCCTTTGCATGCCTGGTGGATCTCAAAGAGTTCTCCAAGAGGGGTGGTGAAATTAGCCTTGGGCTGGCACTATCAGCAGATGACTAGAGAGCATGGGATGGGGAAAAGTTCACATTTGAATTATGTGCTCTTAATTTCATTTCATGACAACAAGGCAGAGTTCATATGCTGTTGCTCAGTGCTGCCTGGGTTTTGCAAAGGTGCAAGAGCACAGAAGAATCCTACTGGCCTCCAAGGGCTAGGTCAAAGCTTAGCCACATGCTTTGTAGACAGAAGGTCCTGGGTGGGTTCAGTCTTCAGTTAATGGAGCCTCAGGTATCACAGCTAGAAAAGGTCCTGTGCCTGGCACCTTAGAGAACTGTGTCCAGCCAGGTGAGACAATAATAGGGGAAACGGATCAATGGCCAAGTGAACCTGTGGCCCTCCAAATGTTAGATTCTAACTCCCATCACCCCAGATCATGCTGGCTGGGGCAGTTGGAGTCTAAAACATCCAGAGGGTGTCAGTCGTCAGAGGAGCCAAATCCTCACGACAGGTTGCCAGGAATGGATAAGACAAGGGAAAGTCCCTACCAACTGCTTTTTAATCAATATTCACAGAGAGAGGCTTGGAAATGCAGCCTTTTGGAATAATGGTGTTTCCCGAGTGAGTCTCCACCCCCTCCCTCTCTCCCTTCATGCGTCATCACTATGGGTGCTGAGAACTGCCCTCTGCCTTTGAGCTCTTTGCTCTCCTACTTTCAATGTTTGCCAGGTTCTGAAAGAGGGGGGATTGGGAATGCTTTCTAAAGACACTGTATCTGTCAGCTGTCACCCCTCTGGTGCTTCTTCTACTTCCTCTCCCATTATCTCCCAGCTTTCCCCCTCATCTTCCTCTGAGCGGTGATCTCTCTCAAACCCCTGTTGTAATTCTGAACTGTCTTCTTCTCTGGAAGGGTCAGGCTGGGGAGGCGGCCTCCACCATTCCTCCTCTGCGCAGTGCCTGACAGAGGGCCACACATGCCCAATATAACTCATTTCTTTATGTTCACATGCACCCCACTGCCTAAGGAAAGTAAACTGCTAGGCACAGATCGCACCACATCACTGCCGCTAGAGCAGGAATGAGGAACCTGTTGCCCTCTAGATGCCTTGAAGGACTGCAACTAGGTGTAGCCCTGCTCTAGATGTATGTCTGCTCAACTACAACTTCCATTGTCCCCGGCCATTAGGATGTGGTGACTGGGACTGATGGGAGTTGGAGTCCAACAATGTATGGAGGGCCAGTGGTTCTCCACCCATGTTCCAGAATATTTAGTGTTCAAAAAGAGGAAGTGCTGAAGGGTCGTACCTTCTTCTGGGATCCAGAGGTCCCTTACGTTGCTGTCCAAGCCATAAACCTTCCCTGAATATGGTTGCACCTTGAACTCATACTTATAGCCTCTCTCAAGCCCTGGGACGATGGTACGGTGGTTGCTTTGGACGTGCCATTCAGCCCAGTGTGTGGTCACAGGCAACAGGGAGCGATAGAACACCACATAGCCATCTATGCGCTGGGAAGAGGAGACAACCTTCAAGACAATAGGTGGGAAATCTGGGTTAACCTCTGGCTCAGAGTAGGAATGGAGAAAATTTGCCAGTTTAAGCTTATCTCCATTTCTCATTCTTCCAACCTTAAATTCACTTTCCCTGACTCTCTCGGCTTGCAATTTCTTCCTTTAAAAACATCTACACAAAACTGCACACAATGCATGCATTTAGTTATGCAGTTTTGACTAATATACACATTTTTGCAAGCATTTCCCTCCAATGTAATGTCATTTTCTTCGATATCATGTGCCTTTTCATGCACACTTTTTGGCTGGAGAATGATGTCATAGAATTTGGAGGCGTGTGTGGGTTTTGAAGGATGGCTGCCTTTCAGTTGACTTGTTGGTTCACAAAATGTGAATTAAGCAGGCTTGCTTTAAAAGGCAACGTGGGTAGATTTCTCTCCCAACCCTAAATCAGAGAGAACTGTGATATCTGCAGAAACCACAGCATTGTTCGGGTCAAGCGACTCTTGAAGATATAGATGAGGTCCCTGAGGAACACAAAAGCTATGGAACAAAGTGGGAGTAGACAAAAGCCAAACGGAATCTTCACCCCAAATTAAATTAAATTAAAATTCTGCAAGCTTTTGCAATTCAACTCTGAACAGCCAGCTCAATTCAGCTCAAAATTTGGATTTTGAACAACATTCATGAACAGATTAAAACAGCAGTGTTCAATAAATCCCTGCATTTTACAGCTTCTTTCTCCCTTTCATCCCCACCTCTGCTGCTGCAGGAAGTGGGAGAAATATGTCTGCATTTTACAGGCTTCCTTTGGCTGTGTGTGCCTATTCCCTGAAAACAATGTAACTCCCACCTGTCAGCTGATAAGATAAATCTTGGGTTAAAGCCTCCTGGGAACAGGCATCCACACCTGATGCAGATCCAAAACCTGTCTTGCTGAAGTCACGTCAGCTGATTGAGAGGTGGGCATGATTTGGGGAAATCACCTTGTGGGCCCAATTGGAATGGCCCATGGGTTTAGAGCATGCTGCCCCCATCTGTGTGCTCTGTTACACCTTTGTTATATCTAATTCACCTTCCAGTGCAGGTGGGCTGCTGGCGTGGAGGGGACAGCTGTGACGTTTGCCAGGTAAACCTTTGCCTCCATCGGCTCCTTCAGTACATCTTTTGGCCTGTCCTGCTTGCTCTGGCCAGTGTCCAGGGGATCTAAAAGCCAAAAAAACCAGACTCAAAGGTGTATCCTTGGAGAACCTGGACTTTACCCAAATTGAGAGGTGATAAGATCAGTCCTTTTGGAGTCACCCCTTCCTTTGCTTTATGCTTAAGTTTGTGCTGCTTTCTTACAGGATATGGTGACCAACGCAGCTCACAATAAATGAAGGCTGGCAACATCAATCCTGCCATTGTGGGAATCGCTTGCAGGCGACCCCCAGTGCCTGGAGACAGAAAGTCCGGTTGTGCATCCATAGCAATGACCAGAGGAGGAATGACCGCTGGGAGGAGCTCAGAGAGAAGAAACTGCTTGGTGCATCTGCAGCAACACAACTGGATGCCTTCACCCAGAGCTGCCATCTACGGAGGGCCATGGGGGCCAGGGAGCCTCCAATATTTTCAAGAACCCTACCCCCAATTTTATGGCAATCCTCAACAGGACACGCCAGAATGAAGATGCTTAGCTCTGCCATGTCCATTTGAGGATCACCAGGGCAACGGCAATGTGTTCCTTTCACAAAGGTAAGGTGCCTGGCGGTGGGAGAGTGGGCTGAGTTGGCCTGGCCGGGTTGGGGGGAGGTGTTGCATATCAACTTCATGCTCAAGCGAAGGACCAACCCAATGTTGGTCACAACTCAGTGCCTATGCCTTCATCTGTCCCCACTGCAACAAGACATGTCTCTCCAGCCACAGCAGGCGCTGCAACCTTCCAACAGTTTGACTTCACCCTCAAAGGTACACTCCTCCATAATCTCCCAAGGCAGAGGGATGCCAGCAACAGCAATTATCAAAATACATCATTGTGGCTTTCCTAGTTGTTGTTAAAAAAGGTAAAGGGACCCCTGGCCATTAGGTCCAGTCGTGACCGACTCTGGGGTTGCGGCACTCATCTCGCTTTATTGGCCGAGGGATCCGGCATACAGCTTCCGGGTCATGTGGCCAGCATGACCAAGCCGCCTCTGGCAAACCAGAGCAGCACACGGAAACGCCATTTACCTTCCCGCTTATTACCTTCCGGTACCTATTTATCTGCTTGCACTTAGACGTGCTTTCAAACTGCTAGGTTGGCAGGAGCAGGGACCGAGCAACGGGAGCTCACCCTGTCATGGGGATTCAAACTGACGACCTTCTGATCAGTAAGTCCTAGGCTCTGTAGTTTAACCCACAGCGCCACCTGCGTCCCTTCGCCACCTGCTTTAGGCTACAGCAAAAAGGTGAGGAACCTTTTTCAGACATATGGACATCTTCCAACAGTGGGCAACCTGTTGAAGATCTCATGCCAGTGGTGTGTAGAGCCAAAGGTAAGAAGTGTGGCCAGAGGCAAAAAGCCAATGGTACCAAAAGCGAAGACAGCAAAGCATTTGTCCCAGAGCCTCACACCCAAGTAACCATTACATGGTGTGTGTTTTTTGGCATTTGGTTAATTTCCCAACTTGTTTTTTATGCACATTGAAGCAAATTGTGACATCCTCTCTCAGCTTGGAGCTGCAAAAGAAATGTGATTTGGCAAAAAACATAAATGTTCTTGTTAACTGATTTTGTCACATGCTTAACATCGACTGTTTCCCCCCCTCAATTCTTCTGTGCGTTTCACAGAAAAGGAGTAGAAAAACATTTGTTAAATTAAAAAAAGAAAACACCTCTCACTTTTTCTCTTCCTTCCGGAGGTGGGCATGCGCTCCTATTTTGTTTTCATGTGCTGTTCTTTTTTCACAGCTGCATAATGTTATGACTTGGGGGGTGGGGGACGAGGCTGTATGCTGAGACCCTTCGAATGCCTGGCTGTTCCTCCCCTTCTAATTCTTGGAATAGCCAGGCTAGCTTCCTGGTGAGGTCATTCTTCCTTCAGGCAAACCAGGGCCATTGTCCTAGCTGGCCAGGTCAAGCCCTCGAGGAGCAAGCCTGGTCACAGGGGGAGTGGCTTGGGAAGTGGGTGTGGCCTGGACAGGGTCCCAAGGGCCAAATATTTATATTGATAAGAGCCGCTTACCCTGCACAGTTAAAGATGCTTTGGCAGAGATGGTTCCCACCTCGTTGCGAGCAGTACAGACATATTTCCCAGCGTCGTTCATCGTCAAGTGCTGAATCTGAAGGACGTTTTCTCTGTTTACTTCATACCTGTGGGGAGCAGCGGTACGGAACCCACAGTCAGTGACCGAGGCTTTGTTCGCAAATGCATGTTCATCCCTAAACACAGATGCAGTGTCCGGAATAGGGCCTGCATGTGTGAAAGAGTCATCACAAGTCCGCTCACCCCTTTTAGGTGTGGTGGCATTGCAGGACGGCAGAGGCTCTTCCAAGGCCCCAACGAGGGGGTAGCATCATCACAGCCCCATATGGATAGGGGGCACTGGCATAAGCCCGCGCCTCCTATCAGAGATCGGATCCTAGCCTGCATCCCAGATTGGCAAATGGGGATGCAGGCTAGGACACGGGCTGGACCATGGGGAGGAGTCAATGGGGTGGGAAGGCTGTTAGAATTCCTGCTCCGTGATTGCAGTCATGGGATTGTTGTCTTTCACATGACGGTGTATGTTTTGACTCCACAAAGTGGGAAGTGACGGAAACAGGATGTTTGTGTTACTGTGTTCCGTGAAGTGGGACTATTGTCCTTTGTTCATTCTCTTTGCTGTCTGATGCTAGAGAGGGAGGGAGCCATGTTGCAGTGCTCTGTGTGCATTTATACGTCAATAAAGTAGATTAGCCAAAATGCTGAGTTGCTGAGTTCTGTTACACAAGCTGCGAAGACTCTGCAGATCCCTAAGTATGCCAATGTCTGTTGGCATCGGTCACTGTGATGTTCGGGCTGAAGAAAACTTTTGAAGCTCCCGAACAATCAACCAGGAGGGAGAGAACATGCCAGTCGGGCTTGTGTCTCTACAAGGGTCCTACTCGAGTGTAGGATGAGCTCCTGACAAAGGCTTCCCTCGGGTCCATTCCCTGGGAATTTAAACAGCCCTCACCTGGGGCCCTATCTGCTTTCCCCTTGTCAGGTTTCCCACCCACCCTCCCTTGGTTCAAGCTGATGTTTAAGGACTGTGGCTACGGCGGTTGCCGTTTTATGGGACCAGGTAGGAATTTGTCCACTGGGCCAATTGGCTCCAACCCGGTGGTTTTGCCTACTTCATAGCAATCATCCCAACTTGGTTGGGCATTGGGGCAACCTGGATGGAGGGGAGGCTGTAGTCTCCGCCTGCCCCTCCAAATGCTGGGGTATCCCACTAAAGGGATCCAGGGGGAGTGGCCATGTCTGTGTGCCCAGGGGGGGCCAGGGCCGAAGGCACTCCCCCAGACGGCAGTCTCTGCAGGGGTCACCCTATTTTATGTAAGTCTTAGGACACCCCTACCCACCCAGATTAACCTATGTATCACTTCCAGTGGGCAGGACAGAAGCATTTTGATTGCCCCATGCCCAAGCCAAACCTCTTTCATCTGTATTCAATAAAGTTATGGCCTGTTGCGATCCGAACCAGTCTATGTTGTCCCTTATTTGTCTGAGGGTTGGGGGCAGAGGAGCACAATGCCTGGAACCCACAGTAGCAAATGCCAAGGACTCTGTTCTGATGTCATGCTACTCTTAGCACCGTATGTTCCAGGGGAGGCCATTCACACATCCAGCTCAAGGCAAGCTCCGTATCGCTCTGATGGTAATGTTAAGTGATGAGATAAAACATTGGAGGAGCCTTGCAAATTGGCCCTGGATAGCTCAGTTGGCTAGAGAGTGGTGCTGATAACACCAAGGTTGCAGGTTCGATCCCTGTATGGGACAGATGCATATTCCTGCATTGCAGAGGGTTGGACGAGATGAACCCTTCCAATTCTGTGAGAAGCTACTAGTCTGATGATGATGATGATTCTTTTTTAAAAGACCAACTTGCAATAAAAAAACTAATAGCCTGCGAAGAGGCGAGTAGTCAGCATAGCCGTACACAGAAGAAAGAAAGACTGATCTGTCCAACGCTAACTGACCCAGAAGCTGGACCCAGCAATGAGTTTGGCTTCTCCTATTTCCACAGTTTACCATTGCCACCCGGACTGATAGCAGTAGGTGAGGAAATCAAGGAGAGGCAATCTTCAATGGATACGAGCCGTAACAGTTCTAGGATCATCATGCCTCCCAATAAGAATCGCTAGTGGGAGAAGACCATGGTCTTCATATCCTGCTTATATCCTTTCTAGGGACAGGTGGTTGGCTGCTGAGGGAATCACAGAGGCAGAATGCCTTTGAATGCCAGTTACTGGGGAGAGAACTATGGTGTTCATCTTCTGCTTGCAAGCTTCCCATGGGCATCTTGTTGGCCACTGTGGAGAACAGGGTGCTAGATGGGCCTTTGGTCTGATCCTGCAGCCAGGCTCTTCTTAAGTTCTGCCTTTGTTCCTCTAAGCTGTCTGGCAATAGCTAGGTAACTTAAAAGCAAAACCTGAGGAATAAATCTGCAGTGGGAGCAGCATCAACCATTTATAAACACCAACTTTGAGACCTATTCTGACATTTGAATGGCATATATTAATCTGCAAGTGTAATTTAAGATGGATGTTTATTGTATTGCTAATGCAGGGGCCAAACTTTTCTGTTGTTGTTTTCCCCCCTGTCTCTTTTCTCTTCTTCTGTCTTTAATAAATTCACAATTAAAAAATCAATTAAAAACACACACAATTTGAGCTTCCTTTCACAAGCTGCAATGCCGTGGCCAAGCAGAGAGTGACAGCCAGAGAAATCCTCTGAATCTAACAGGTATCCTCACCTTCCAGAGGGAAGCTCTCCCGTTTCCTTGTTCCACTGAATGGCGGGCGTTGGGTCTCCATGGACTCCACACATGAACAGGACGGTGCTACCAAGCTTGGCCACGACATCATTAGGCCTCCGAGTGAATACTGGCTTTTCTTGGATAGGAGAAGCAGACAATCTAATCAAACCGAATAGTCCCTTAGGGTTATGGAAGCTCTCACTAGCAGAGTGGGTTTTATGGGGTCGGAGCCCACCAACATCTGCTCAGAGTAGACTCCTTGAAAGTAATGGGTCTAAATTGGCCATGTCTCTTAATTTCAAGGGGTCTACTCTGAGTAGGGGGTCACCGGTGGCGCTGTGGGTTAAACCACAGAGCCTAGGACTTGCCAATCAGAAGGTCAGCGGTTCGAATTCCCGCGACAGGGTGAGCTCTTGTTGCTCGGTCCCTGCTCCTGCCAACCTAGCAGTTCGAAAGCACGTCAAAGTGCAAGTAGATACATAGGTACCACTCTGGCGTGAAGGTAAAGGGCATTTCCGTGCGCTGCGCTGGTTTGCCAGAAGCGGCTTAGTCATGCTGGCCACATGACCCAGAAGCTGTATGCCTGCTCCCTTGGCCAATAAAGCGAGATGAGAGCAGCAACCCCAGAGTCATTCACGACTGGACCTAATGGTCAGGGATCCCTTTACCTTTTACTCTGAGTAGGACGAGCACTGGATACAGCACACGGAGTCCAGCCACCCAAAGACATAGCTGCTTTTCAGCAAGATGACCCACCTCTCTGTCCATCCATGCTTTCATATTAATGCTCTTTCCCACACTTCCTAGTGATGGAACCAGTAAAAAGGAACTCAAAGGAACATAGGAAGCTCCTTTATACCAATTCAAACCATTGGTCCATCTAGGTCAGTATTGTCTGCCGGTGGACACTGACTTTCCAGAGTTTCAGACATGGGACATACCCAGTCCTACCTGGTGTCAGGCTTCAGGGAATCGCCTTCCTCTCCCTTTAGGCAGCAGATAACCAGAAGAAAGGAAGGGAGTATTCTTACCCATTAGAAACTAATAAACACAGCGAGAGAACAAAGAATCCCTGTCCTAGGAATGGCGGTGCCCCCAATTAAGGGTATCACCCACTTCCTCCCTAGTCACCCACATCACTACTGTGTCTTGTACCCTAAGCTCGTAACCTCTGTAATTTCTGTGCTGCCACCTTATTAGCTTTTCTTGACTTGGGCTGAGCGGATGAACTCTTTCCAGAGACAGTGAATCTGTTAACTCTCTCTCTCCCAGTGCATCTTCTCCTAGCTGTTCCCCATCCAGTATTTCCCAGCTTTTGCCTTCTGAACTATGTCCCTCTGCAAACCACTGTTCCAAATCTATACTGTCCTCCTGCTCCTGGGAAGATTCAGGATCCTGATCAGGAGCAGGGGGAGCGGGAAGCTCCCACCATTCCTCCTCAGTGCAGCCCTCCTCAGTGCCGTCCCTGACACCTGGGGACTGAACCTGGGACCTTCTGCTTGCAAGACAGGTGTTCTGCCACCGAATTATGGTTTTTCATATTCAGTTCATATTCTGGATCTGAATACGCTAAATGATCCAGCTGCTTATAATGATGCCACATCCCCAAAGAAAGTGTTGTTCATCATAATAATAATAATAATAATAATAATAATAATAATAATAATTTATTATTTATACCCCGCCCATCTGGTTGGGTTTCCCCAGCCACTCTGGGCGGCTTCCAACAAAATATTAAGATACAATAGTCTGTCAAACATTAAAAGCTTCCCTAAACAGGACTGCCTTCAGATGTCTTCAGAATCACTTCCCCTTTCAAAAAATTAACTTTCTAATATGTTTCCCATTGGCTAAGTAAATACCTTGGTCCTGCCAGCTTCAGTACGATGCACAAATTCAATACCTGATGGTGGTGGAAATGATGGGAAACAGATACCATGATAATTCAACAGTTATGGTTGAGCAATGCTCTCGTTCTCTCCATAAGCACTTCTGTGCTCTGCGCAGTTAGGTGAAGCTCATGTCTATATATTTTGCCAATCAGCCCCAATGTGGCACTTATCTGTGGTGTAGAGATTCTCACCAGCTGATGGAACACCCGCCAAGGGCATAGCTCAACTTGGTGGGGAAAGATGGGAGGAGCAATCCCTGTTCCCTTCCTTACCCAAAATGGAGACCAAGGCAGCTCTGCTTGCTCGCTCTCCTACTTGATTGGTGGCCATGCAGACATATGCTCCCGCGTCGCTCTTCAAAGCATGCGCTACCAAAAGCTTTGTGTTGGTCACCTGTCGAAATGGGGTGAGGTAGGGGAGAAAGAATATGTTGGAGCTCCATTAGTATTTCCTTGTCCCTTTTGATGTGTGGCATAATGGTTAGGGTGTTGGACCTGGGAGACCAGAGTTCAAATCCCCACTCAGCCTTGAAGCTCAGTCGCCTTGAAGCAGTCACCAACTCTTAGCCTAATCTTCCTCACAGAGTTGTTGTGAGGATGAAATGGGGAGGAGGAGAATTGTGTACCCCACCTTGAGTTCCTTGGAAGAAGGTGATATATAAATGTATTAATAAAAATATATAAAAAATATTGTCATATTGTCTGGGAGTCTGTGAAGTGCCTTTTTGCTAGGTAAAACGAGGACAGCTGGCTTAGCAAGATGGCTCAGCAACTTCTCTACACATTCTGCAAAGCATAAATACACACACACACACACACACACAATATGACATCACAACATCACACAATACATAATTGTGCAAAATAACTTCAACATAGCAATGACAACACAATGCACAGTACAATTCCCAAGCCCACTAAGTACATCCACTTAGAGGCTTTATTTTCAGAGAAAATATAGCTAAGTTCCTCACTGTAGCCATCAAAAATGGGAAACTGGGATACAACTGTTAAAGAGAAGATGAATTCCAAGCCAAAGTTGTCTGTAGTTTAAAATTAGTTTTGATAATGGGGTTGTTGTTGTTGTTGTTTTGTTAAAAATAAAAGGCAGAATCTGTGTGTATGTATATTGCCCTTTTATCCTCTCTACTGTGGTTGTTGCGGCTACATTCCCATCTTAAAGCACATGTCTTCCACCCCCAAATCCTGGGAACAATAGTTCTCAGAGCTACAATTCCTGGCACCCTTAACAAACTATAGTTCCCAGGATTCTTTGGGGGGATGGCCACATGCTTTAAAAGATGTGGTGCAATTGTGACTTTGATAACTATACACTGTATCTGATATGGGCTGCATTTATTGATTGATGATTGATATCATTTATATCCCACCCCCTTCTCCAAAGAGTTCAAGGTGGCACAAATGGTTCTTCCCCTTCTCATTTAACCCCCACAACAACCCTGTGAGGTCAGCTAGGCTGAGAGATAGTGTCTGGACCAAGGTCACCCAGTGAGCTTCATGGCTGAGTGAATATTTGAACCTTGATCTCCCAGGTCCCACTCTAGCCACTACACCACAGAGGCTCTTAAAAAAACCACAAAAAGCATTGCTACTAGATGTATTGTTTTTGATGACCTCATAATGACCATTTTCCTCATTTATGGGGACGCCGTTCTTTTTCCACGAAATGGTTGGCTCAGGGTGTCCTCTAGGGGGCAAGCATTCCAGCACCAATTGTTCTCCAGTTGTCACCACCAAGTTGCTGGGATGAAGCCGAAACTCTTCTTGCAGAGCTACAAGAAAACACAAATATATCCTAAATAAAATTCCCGTATGGGGTAAGCAACAGTTCCCAGTATTCTTTGGGGGAAACAATTTGCTTTAACTGCACATATGTCAAGGTGGCCTACAATTTTGCAACTGAATTTGTCAGTATGTGTTTGAATCCCACCTGAAAAGAACAACCGTCTAGAACAGTGGAGTCCAAACTTTTTTCAAAGAGGGCCAGATCTGATGAAGTGAAGGGCCATGAGGGCTGACCAAAGGGCCAACCCAAGTTGCTAACCTTTTTTTAGGATTGAAGTTTTTGAGCTTTTCTAATGATTTTACCCCAAAGTTGTTGAGCCTTTTTTTAGGATTGAAGTCGTTGAGGTATTTTTTTGGATTTTACTCCAGGAAATAAACTGCCACAGGGCATAGCTGTCAACTTTTCCCTTTTTTAAAGGGAAATTCCCTTATTCCGAATAGGATTCCTCACAAGAAAAGGGAAAGGTTGACAGCTATGCCACAGGGGCTGGATTAAACTGACCAGTGGTCCGGATTAGGATTAGGATTAAGTCCCTGAAATGGACTTTGGACATGTCTGGTCTAGAAACACCCTAAATTAGCCACATCAGTAGAGGGTAGCCCCGCACTGGACTACCGATCACGTAATAAGAAAAAATAGAAGTCTAAGGTGCAAAAAGTTGTTCATTGTACATTAGGTAGTAAAGGGGGATAAGTGTAAGAATCCTTCTTTTGCCCTCTGGTGCTGACTGTGTTTATGCAAAGGAGCAGGACATGCAGCGTGGTTTTTAATTACTCAGTCATTTCCAGAGGTTGCATTTCGTAAGCAGAATCAAGCACGGATCCAGCTGCCTTTCTGTTCCACCTGACAAAATTAATCTGTTCAGTTTGGAGGCTAAACTTCCATGTTCTAACACCAAGGAAGGATGACGCAGTTAAAAGGATCGCTCCTTAAGCAGTTTAATTCCTTACAAATTAAGGGCAAGAGCCAATAATAGATAAACGTGCTAAAAACAACAACTTCAATAAGGAAACTATCAATTGAACAAATTTCCAACCCCAAAGTCATTGGATGTTGTGAGGGGTAGGGATACTTAAAACAGGAAAAGCTGAACCAGCAGAATCAATCATAAACCATACTAAACTTAAAAGTGAGTTTATTTGGTGCAGCCACTCTGTTGTAACGGCAATAAAGCACATCCCATTAATTTCAATTAGTGTGTTGAGCACATGTTTAACTCTCTCCCATCAACGTCAATGGTGCTTACTTCACTTGCGCTCGATGATTGTACCCTAAGATTTTTACCACTCTTCAAAGGCTTTGAATTGCCTTTCACATGTTTACTGCATCAAGAGAGCGCTGCAGTATAAATTCCTTAATTCTGGTTTGTATTTTACCATTACTTTGTGGATTCTAAAACACACACACACACACACATCTAATTAATGTGTTTTTAATCGTTTTCAATGATGGAGTGTAGCTACATAAACAGAGGAGATGGAGCTTAAATAGGCGCCCAAGTCAATGATGATGATGATGATGATGATAATGATGATATAGATGTAAGGAATTCAATTAACATTGCCATCCTGGGCATGCCATTGTCAGAGAAGCCATAACGAGTAGGGTTGCCATAACTTGAAGAGCAAAAAAGAGGACAGCCTGAGCCGCTGTCAGCACACGTGCATCTTTCCCCAGCTTGGGCCAAGCCCGAGCAAAAAAAAACCCCAATAAATGAATAAATAACACCGCCCCACCCCTCCAAAACCTGACATTTCCTTTAAAATGTAAAAATCCCCCCGGATGGGCATGTTGGCCTCCCAAAAGAGGACATGTCCTGGATTTCCCAGACGTATGGCAACCCAAATGCTCAGCTCAGTGGGGCTTCTTCCCAGGAACATGTGCATTGAATTGCAGCATCAATTGCCTGCAAGTGTGTAGTGTGGAGCTAGTGTGTGTTCAACCTTGGTACGAGGCCAAGCAGCTGAGAAAACTCTGCAACACACACACACACACACACACACACACACACACACACACACTATTCCACAACAGTTGCTAGCCCAGAAAAAGCATACTACAGTAGTGCCTCGCAAGACGAAATTAATTCATTCCGCGAGTTTTGTCGTCTTGCGATTTTTTTCGTCTTGCGAAGCACGGTGTCGGGAAAGTTTTGGAAAAGCTTCAAAAATCACCAAAGTCTTTAAAACCTCAAAAGGCTACCACACCGCTGTTCTATGAGTTGCTTCTCGAAGTCAAGTCGCAACTGTATTAACGGTGTTAAGAAAAGGAAACAAACTTGCAAGACGTTTCTGTCTTGCGAAGCAAGCCCATAGGGAAAATCGTCTTGCGAAGCAGCTCAAAAAACAAAAAACCCTTTCGTCTAGAGAGTTTTTTGTCTTGCGAGGCATTCGTCTTGCGAGGTACCACTGTAGCTCACATGCTCAGGTGCACGAAAGGCAGGAGTGGGGAATTTTTTATCCTTTGGATGTTGCTGAACTACATCAATGCACCCTAGCAAGCATGTTTCCTCGCCCTCACTTTTTGCAAAAAAGAAAGAAAGAAAGAAAGAAAGAAAGAAAGAAAGAAAGAAAGAAAGAAGATGCTGTGCTAGATGAGCCTTTAGAGGCTTCTCAAAATTATCATTTTTCCAAGTGTCAGTCTGCTGGACTGTACAAGTAGCCATTTAATGTCATCTGTTGTCCCACTTCACTCAAAGCACCATCAGCTGCTGCTCTTTTGAACAATACAAAAGACCACCAAGGCCACCAAAAAGAGGCCTGTTGTCCAAAAGCCCCCCAACTTCAACACTGCAGGTTGCATCTGATGCTGATGCTACTCAGAGCAGACTCATAGAAATGAATGAACCTAAGTGAATCAGGTCCATTAACTTCAGGGTGCCTACTCTGAGTAGGAAACTTGCATTGCATATGCCTCCATTTCCCAAAGAGACCAGCCACAAAGGTGGACGTAGGGCAGCGCCACCAGTTCTGCCACACTGGGTACTGAGCCTTGGGGGCGCCGCAGGGTGCTGCAACTATGACGTCATGAATTGAACAGAACAAAAGGGGAGAGAAAGGGTTGCTGAATTTTAGGCTCGCACAGGGTGCCGCTGAACTTTGAAAGACCAAAGTCCACCCTTGCAAGGTAGATACCTTCAAGAAACCCACAAGCAGAACATGAAGGGAGTAGCAGTTCTCATTTCTTAGTACAGAAAGTATTGATCTGATGTGTAGAGATCTTTCCTATTCTACTTGGTTCAAGTAGTTCTGGATTCTGGAAAGTTTTCTTTCCATATGAAAGAAACAGGCAGAAGGTTCTTGTTTGGGTTATTTCTTCTGAGAAGCTGAGTAAAGCTGGTTTAAACTGGTTCTCTTATCTTACTGTCAAGGCCATGCTGACTATAATAATAAGGCCAGAAGGAGCCTGGGCTCTCAGCTTACTCTTTCTGTCTCTTTGTTGTGGTGTGCTGTTCTGTACGCTATAGTGTTAAGGTTTAGTCTTATTATAAGTCATTGTAAGTTTTATTGTAAGTGCTGCAACTGTGCCAATCCTGAATGTACTGTCATACCTTGGTTCTCGAATGCCTTGGTACTCGGACGTTTTGGCTCCTGAATGCTGCAAACCAGAAGTGAGTGTTCCTGTTTGCAAACGTTTTTCATCTGATGCGACTTCCGTGGCTTCCGATTGAGTGCAGGAAGCTCCTGCAGGCAATCAGAAGCCGTGCCTTGGTTTTCAAACTGTTTCAGGAGTCGAATGGCCACCCGGAACAGATTACATTCAACAACCAAGGTATGACTGTATTGGATTTGTGACCATTGTGCTCATTTGCCTTCAGTAAAGCTCTGCTGGATGAAGTACAACTGCCTCCGGTCTATTTTTTGGAAACTCTGCACCGCGTTTAAGTTTTTTCCTCCTTCGGACCAGCAAAGCTCAGTTGGCCAACAGGGAGAAGTCCTTGCCTGCTGTTACTGCCCATCAACCGGTACTATTCACAGATACAATGCCACTGAACCTGGAGTTTCCATTTAGCCATCAACGCTAATAGCCATTGATGGGATTATCCTCCATATATTTGTCCAATCTCCTTTTGAAACCATCTAAGCTAGCAACCATCACCCCATCCTGTGGCAACAAAATGAGAACTAGCGTGGCTATTTATGGGAAGCCGTCTTCCTGCAGTTCCTTCTGCTTCAAATATAACAATTGCCTTGACAACCCGAACTGGGAACACAATCAGAAGGGAGAAACCCACAGAGAGAGAGAGAGGCAGCCTTTTCCCCTTGCCTTCCAGTCTTCTGCCTGCTTCCTGCATTCATCCCTCCTGAAGGATGTGACTCCTTTGTAATATAATCAAAAGTCCAGGAGATGAGTCAACTTCTTACAAGCAGCAACCTGCTGAGACCGTACCTTAGGATGTTATTGCTAGATATTTTTAGACGGTTAAACAAAATAATCCTTAATTGTTTCCAAAAGTCTCCCGCCCCACGTTTCCCAGCGCAGACCAAGAGAAAAGATTAGGCTGTATTGCAGCGACTGCGCTGTAACAAAGAAATAGGTCAATTCTACTGCCGAAGAAGGATGGTAGAGGACTATGGATGGTGGAGAAATTTGGTTGATCTCCATTTAAATGGGAACCAACCTAACTGACACTTCCCAATGCAATCTGCTAACCAAAAAGCAGCCATTCTTGAAAATTCGCACTTTCCTGAATTTTGCATTGAAATTCTCCAAACAAATAATGCACCAAAAAAAGGATGTCTATTGGGGAAAGTGTGTTCAAAAATGAGCATATTAATGAAGATAAGACATAAAATGAATTCATATCAGGAAATAATCAGAAACTATGGGGAAATTGTGCACGAGAATGTGCATATTATGCGAAAATTGCTCTAAAATGCTACTTAAAAATAAAATCACAAACTGATGCAGAAATGTAGAGACCTGAACTTGCAACTGGGAAAAATGAGAAATTGAGAGAAGCCAAAATTAACAGATGTGCCCATACAGGAGGGGGTTATATTTGCTGTAGAAATGAGAAAAGCGTCTCAACATCTGGGAGGGAGACAATTTTTTTTTTTTAATGATATTTATTGAAAATTTTTAGAATTACAAAAGAGAACAAAGCAGAAAAAGAGAAAGAAAAAACAAAGAAAAAACAAACCACATCAAACAATACAAATTCAAAAAACAAAAATACACCACAAACACTCAAAAACAAATCCATCATTCTCAAATCCTCAACTGTCATTACCTTCTTTCTTTGACCTCCTCCTCCTCCCTTTTTGTATCCTAGTTGTTAATTGTCGCAGCAAATCCTTTCCATATTTCATAATATTCTGTCATTACATTACCTTAATCTATTTTAATCTTATCTTACTATAAAAAAATTAAAGCTTAAAACTTAAATCTTATTTTTACCAACTTCTCATAACCATAATATTCTTACATAATTCTTTAAACATTTTTGCTAAAGCCAAGTAATTTCATTCCAACATTTTTCTAACATTCATCAATTTTATATAACAATCCTAGTAGTAAAAAAATAAAATAAAAACAATCCAATCTTCATCCAGCGTCCCTTCCTCCTTATTATCCCATCGATCTAGCGCATTAACCTGGTAACCTTGTATCCGATGCCCTTAAGTCTCTTCCATGTCCCTTCCGCAGCTCTTCTTCAAATTTATAACTGTATTTTCCTTTGGAACTCCAGTTTAACAATGTTTTTGACCCTTCTCGACAAATCAGCCCCTTTTCCATAGTCCACACTAAACTCCATGTGGTATTTAAGAACATGTTTCAAAATCCCTCCAAAATTAAGAGCCCCCACAACCCCAAACATCTCACGGCCCATTGCCAGACTTGAAAGGTCCAAACATCCCTGCATAGGGGGGTCTATCCAACCCCCCATTTCCAAACCAAACCAAACTTTATCTTTCCAAATCTGGCTTTTTCCAAGTTCATTTGTCAAGTCCAAAAGCTCATGTTCCTGCTGGGCCACAGCTCCCTTCATCTCTGGCGCCCAAGATTCAGTAACATCCTCTTCCCTCATCTGTTCTGTCAGGGCACACTCCTGATTTAATTCCTGGGTGGACTCCATATAATTTCCCACTGCCTGTTCAAAATTTCTGATCGCGTCAGTCATCAAATCCGTCTTCTCATGTAGCTGTTCCAGTAGGGCATTTGTTTTACAGAAAGCACGCAACAGAGCTTCTGAATACATTGTCCTGCAAGGTCAGAAGTCTATTCCCACAATTGTAATCTGTAACAGCTGCAAGCTCCCCGGAGTTGGTTACAGTTTCACAGACTCCCTCTAGGGGGAAAACTTCTATTTGTTCTTTCTTTTAAAGACAAGTCTAACAACAAAGTTTCCTTTTTCAGATATTTTGTCAATATTTGTTCCTTTAAAATGCGAAGGGGAACAATGGAATCAATGTTTCTCTTCTTATAGCTATCTGTCAAAAAGTTTGTCTCTGGTCAATGAGCTTCAAAAAACGTCAGTCCTGACACCCCGCTCCAGGATCAGGACGGTGGAAAGTTACTTTACTTTACACTCACTTCTGCAGGTTTAAACAGTCCGAAAAAATCCCCCCTCTTCTCCTGCTTCCAAAGGGGGGTTCAACAATTTTAAATGATGAAAGTTAATCTTTTACAAGCGATTTTCTGAGCTCTAGTTTGCCATGTCTTTGCTTTAATCTATCTACAAAGAAACGGAAGGCTGACTTCCTGTTTAGACCTTCCCGTTTCAGTGCCAAATTGAGGTAAACTTTTAAGTCCAATTTTCCTTTCTGCTCGCAAGTCCTTATTTAAAGTCCAATTGTCCGAAATTTAAGTACTCACGGGTGATTATTTTAGAAGCCAAATTGTCCCAGGAAAAGGCAGCGCTCTCCGGCAACGGCTGTGCGGCTTCGCTCCACGGAAGAAGCAGTTGACTCTCAGCACCGCGCCACTTCCCCCTCTTCGCTCCGGAGCCCGTTAGTGGGTTCTTTTGCGGGTTGGGGGGCGCTAAAGGTGCCCGCCGAGTCCCATGGTCACAGGCTTCATCTGCCTGTGATTTTTGAAAGGGTCCCCGCTTCGCCATAGCGGAAAAGACCCGTTTCGCGTGGAGCTAGTCCCTCCAGATCAGAGGGAGTCCGCCATTGCCGATGGCGCCACCCCGGAAGTGGGAGGGAGACAAATTTAGCTGCCCCTGACCATATGGGAATGTAAATATAACTTCCTAGTGCATAAGTCAATACACAAATATTTTACAGGGAGTTTTGATCCACAACTGCTATTTTAGCTAGTAAACTCAGAAGAAGTATGATCTAGACTCTGTTAACATTATAAGTGGAACCTATTACAAAACATCCCAGTGTGGAGTGTTTCTTGTTTAGGGATTCAGTCAACTGGCCATGCTAGCTTCCAAGATATTCCACCCCATTCCTCCTCCATCCAAGTTTTTCATTATTCCCTTTCAACAGTTAGTCAACATTGCATGGCCATCGACTGTCTTCAGTCCCCAGTGGGACGTTTATGGTGGTTCCCCAGCACCAGCTTTTAGGTTTTGCCCCCTAAAGATTTTGTGTAACAATACCTCTTGTGCTGGAGGTGTTGGGAGAACTGAGATCACGGTTAGTGAATGATGGCTTCCCACTTTGCTGCATATGTATGAGCAAGCTGAGGATTTTAATTGGCTTTTGTGATCATAGGGTATGGGAAAAGAAGATAGTACTTTCTTAAAGTCAATCAGTCTGGAACAAAAGCTTGTGTCTGCAATGCTGGTCTTTTCAATCACAAGAATTTCTTTTTTTATTCTGTATATTTAACAAACAAACAGAGGAAACTGCCTTGTACAAACCACTGGGCTATGGGACCTCCCTCTACAAAAATAAGACTATATATCCAGCCAGCCCACTATTGTCTACTGTGACTGCCAGCATCTTTCCAGTGACTCAGACAGGGAAAGGTCCTCCCATTACCTGTTACCTGACCCTTGTAACTGGAGATGTCAGGAACTGAACCTGGGACATTAAGAGATGCTCTGTCCCTGAGCCAGGTTTTTTTTCTAAGCTACAATCATGATATTAATCAATTCAAAATGTTTCAGTCAGCTAAAATGTTGTCCCCTTTTAAAATAAATGTGTTGGCTCATTAAATGGTATGAAACACACAGATTTGCTATTTGAAATGGTCCAGTGAGGAGCATTTTACCTCCTCACTCTGCACGATGGGCTGATCTGACACAAAGCAAAAACACCAAAGCAACACCAGCCTCCTACTGACTTTGTTTCAGAGACCCACACAGAGGCAGTTGGGGGGCAGAGAGCAGAGGAAAAACTGCGACCATGTCTGGAATTGGCTTGCCCGAGCGCATGTTTCGCATCGCTCCATGGCAATGCAAGACCCAATGCACATCCGAGGAGGGGAACTATTTGCTTGCACGTGCTCGAACAGCGAGTCCATGTGGCGCACTTAATTTAGTGTTGCTAACAGAAGCATCTCCCAAACCATCTTCGCCTGCATGAATATTTATAGCTGCCAAACACCACTGCGAACCTTCACACTGGGCCACGAGAGCCGGATGGAGCCTGATTGTTAATGAAGTGTTAATTGGAGGGTCTCCCAGCCTGAATATTAAAAAGGGTTTTTAATTGTGCCAATAATTAGCACTGTGAAATCCTGCAAGAGAGACGTTGTGGGCTTAAAGGTGCGGAAGATGGTGTGGTCCGGGGCATGCCTGAGATGGGGCATTTGATATCTCTATACTACCCCTGGGGATGCAGAACATGGAATATAGGAGTAATGAGAGTAGCTAGAAAGTCAAAAGTATTTATAAAAACAAAACACACACACACGGCAGAACTTTTCTTAATTGTTGCTCTCAGTATACATATATTTAATTGTATTTATTTATGGATGAATGGCATTATTACTCTCTGCTTCCTGAATACAAGAGGCAAAATGTCGTCCCCTGATCCCCAATCCTAGTTCAGCACACTAAACTAATTGGATGGGATCAACAGCGTTGAATTCACTGGGTGACATTGAACCAGCCCTTTTCTCTCAGTTTTCTCATCTGTAAAATGGGAGCAGTTGAGGCCTTGGCTCACGACTGCTGTGAGAGGAAAATGTGAGGCAAGGAGCACTGAAAGTGATATTAGCATGAGTTTAACAACGTGGACATTCACTGCTAGCTGTTTGGCAATAATTTAGTGGCTGATCTCTGATCACAACAATAAAGATTGGTTGGTTGGTAGGTAGGTATCAAAGAACTAATTCAAACAAACAGTCCTCCAGGGACTGTGGATCATTTCATTTTGTAGGTGGGAGGTGTATATTTGAAAGTTCTCCCATGTTAAAAGCTCCCTGCATGTGAAAATCGAGTACAGGAGGGACAGTTTGTCCTGAGGACTTTTCTCTTACATGGTAGCTTTCCATGCACAGGTAAAGGTTTGCTTGTAAGAATGTAAGAACACAACAATAACTTGTTAGATCTGGCCAGTGGCACACCTAGCTGAGCAACCTATACTCACAGTGGCCAACAAGATGTCTCTTTTAAGTTGCTCACCATCATTGCCTCCTGTGGGAGCCAATCCCAAGTTTAACTAGGTACTGTGTGAAGTTCTTTCTTTTGTCCGCCCTGTTTCTTAAGGTAAAGGGACCCCTGACCATTAGGTCCACTCGTGGCCTAATGCGGTGCTCATCTCACTTTATTGGCCAAGGGAGCCGGCGTACTGCTTCCGGGTCATGTGGCCAGCATGACTAAGCCGCTTCTGGTGAACCAGAGCAGTGCACAGAAACGCCGTTTACCTTCCCGCTGGAGCGGTACCTATTTATCTACTTGCACTTTGACATGCTTTCGAACTGCTAGGTTGGCAGAAGCAGGGGCTGAGCAATGGGAGCTCAGCCCATTGCGGGGATTCGAACCGCCGACCTTCTGATCAGCAAGTCCTAGGCTCTGTGGTTTAACCCACAGCGCCACCCACGTCCCCGTTTCTTAAGGTAAAAGCATTTAAACAGTCTTTACAAATAATGCACACCTGCAGTCAGTGGCATAGTCTAGGGGAAAAGTTCATAGGCCCAAAGAAACAAGATCTCACCGTCGGTAGGTGGGATTGGATTTAGTTCACATTTAAAGGTAAATCTACCTGCCTTGTGCTTTCCAAAACAATATACAAAACGAAGACAGGCTTCAAAATGTGCACTTCTCCAAATTTTGCAGTGCCGTTTTCCAGCCAAGTAAGACAAACAAAAGTGCATCTACTGAGATAAAGCACGCGTAGAAATGCATACTATTAGTGTAAATAACATACAAGAATGAATTATGTTGTGGGAAGCTGCCTTGGGGGGGGGGAGTGCCTATTTGGCAAAGTTTGATACAAAAATGTGCATACAAGGAGAAATTTGCACTCAAATCTGAAGAAATTTTCAGGAGGACTTTATTCTGCCACCACCCATCAAACAATGTGGAGAATTGAACTTAATATTGGACAAATGAGAAAATCAAGAGAAATGACAATGGACAGATTTGGCAGCCCCTCAAGGGTGGATTGATACGGGGGGGGGGGACGCAGTAAATAAGCCATAAATTAAATTGCTTTAACCAAAGGGGAGGGAACTCTGTGTAAAATTGCATAGAAAAGTTTTCTGCTCTACAGCGCCATCTAGTATTGCATGTTTACAACGTATTTAAAATGAAGTTTTTGACTAATGTAGGTGAGTCCCTAGTCCCACCCAGATAGAAGTGGCTTCCCCGGTACGGAACTCTCTAAGCAGATCCCAATGCCTTACCTTCCACATAAAGAGACGCATTCTTGCTAACGGCTGCCCCCAGGTGGTTTCTGGCCACGCAGTTGTATACCCCCTCGTCCGATTTCCCCTTCCTCTGGCTGAGGCGTAAGAAGAAGAGGGAGCCACCCGGCAGGAGGGTGCGTTGGGAGGGACCATCGTCTTTGTTTGTCTTCACATACTCGCCATTGCGATACCACTCAATGGTGGGTGTCGGGTTCCCGGCCGCACGGCAGTTCAAGGTTGCAGCCTGGTCCCAGCGTACCACGAGGTCAGAGGGGTGATCGATGATATATGGTACAACCTCCTCTGAACGAGACTTTGAACCTGGGAGAATAAGAAACGGAGAGAGAGGGACAGAAAAAAAATAAACTTCATTCTCCCCCATCAAACACTTTTTTGTCTTTCCATTCCTTTGCTGGACTACTTGCCACCTACAGTAACACAGCACTGGGTTGACTCAAACGTTCCAAACAAACCAGTAGCAAAGTAACCTATGTCATATTTTTGCACCTTGCATCATACCAGTGCTCTGCAGAATCTATATTGTTGGTCATAGACTGGAATACTTGGTTTCAAGTCCCTGCTAAGCCACAAAATGTACGAATGTTGGGTGAGTCACTGTGTGCCTAACCTGCAGGGGTATTCGGATGATAACAGCAGGGGTATTGCGAACACAGCCTCATTGGAGAACCAGATATCCTTGTCAATATTTACACATAATATTTGTGTAAGGTTGTCGTCATGCTGTAGTTCACACCGCCACCAGCAGGTGCTGCTGCAAATGACAGTATGATGAGAGGTCAGTGCCCCTACTGGCCACTTTCCTCCTCCACTGGTGGGTGTGGAAGTGGACTAACAAAGGAAAGAAAGCCTTTCTCCCTTCCCACCCCTACACCAGCTGCTGCTGCTGCTGCTTCAGCAAGCAAGGAAAAAGTCTGCATTTTCAGGCCAGCCAGATCACCGCACCAGCTATGGCAGAAGGATGAATGAGCCTGATCCCTGTGGCAGCTGCAGGCTGGTGCACAGGTTAGGCAATGGGCCCAATGGCATTGTGCGATGACAGCAAGACCAGTTTGGGGTTCAGCAAATCCCAAACTGCCTCAGAATGTTCCACTTTGGGGGCTTCAGCCTGGGCTCGGCTGTTGAATGACTTGCCACCTTGCTTCCTGCTCACCCAAAGGAGGATGGCATGCCCTGCTGGTGGGTCAGAAGGAGACCAGTAGAACAGCACTTCCATTTAATCCAATCCCTACCCCACCCTCCCCATAAGGGAGTTTGAATTGCTCTGCCTCTCCCTTAGAATCAGCTCTCCATCCAAAAATATCAAAATGACAATGATGCATTGCGAAGGTTGCTGAGAACATGAATGTGCCTTGGACATTTTAATGCTCTAAATAACATCACTGTCAGAATCAACAACATCAATTGGTCCTCTTAGATGGCAAACCTATACATACTACTCCTGGGATTAATCCCATTAGACTGGGTAGACAAGTACAGTATAGCACGCTTGGTCTCCTTATCTCAGTGCCTGTTAGTAACCGCCGTCCGTTTTCTAGCCTCTCTGTTTAATGTGAGGCACAATTTTCCCAGCCTTTCAAACTTCTAAAATTTAACGAGAGATGGAGAAAGCCCCAGCCCTTGATTTAAGCTTTCTGTAGAATGGCACTCTGCTGCTCCACAGCCTCTGAGAAGCAAACTCATTGTTATTGCGGCAATACATAGTAATCCCCTCAGAGCTTCCTGTGCAGAATTTCCTGACATTGTCCCCTCGCAAGCAGCAGAAAGTCAAGGACCTTCAGCCACAAAGAATGGACCGGTGGGCCTCTAGGCTCCCTTTGAGACACAATAACCCTTCTCCTCCCCCTATTTCCCAGTCAAAAACTCTGCTTTCTGCAACCTGTCTCATGCAAATCTCCAAGTCCAGCAGATAGATAGATAATTTATTACGGTCGGAGACCAGCTTATAAAGCACACTTGGGAGACTTGACCGGGTGCCATCATCTCCCAGAAGTCCTCCAAGTCCAGTACTTTCTAGAAGTAGGTGTGTTGCACAAGACCCACCCTCTGCCACTATTATCATGCAACCTCTATTCTCCTCACAGAGCCACAATTCCCAGACTTCCCTGGGAAGAGAGGTTGACTATTAAACCACTCCAGGAATTGTAGCTCTGTGAGGGCAATGGGGGTCTCCTAACCAGTGGCATTGCGTGAATTCTCAACTCCCGGGGAGGTGCATGCACGCTGGGGGGGCAGAGGCACGGGGGGTGAAGGAGCCGGGCACAGCACCCCAGCCCTCACCACCGACACCACCGGAGTTTTTTTTTTATTTTTTATTAACTGTTTTATTAAATTTGCTTAGTAACATAACATCATTATATATATTCTATAAAACAAAGAATACAAAACAAAATTCATTCATACTACAATGCATAACTACATAACATTAATATATATGGTTTCTGAAAAAAGGCTTACATAACAAAATCAATTCAAAATACCATCCGGTTTACCTTTCTTTTTTCCCCCTCTCCCTCCCCACTCCAAACCCCCCCTCCCCGGTCAAGCCTTCCTTCTTCATATCTTTATCCATGTACACAGTCTGTTCATTTGAGCTTGTATGTTAGGGTTGGCTTCCCCTCTTTCTATCCAGCTCCTGTAAAATGCCCATTTATTTGTGATTCTTTGGCATTTATTTTCCCATCTATCCTCTGCCATTTTCTGTGCGAATATTTCTGATTGTACATATTCAAAAACATAAACATTCCATTTTTCCATATTCCATTTTCCATATTCCATATTCTGACACCACCAGAGTGACTCTGCCCTGCACCGCTCCACTTGCCTGCCCATGCCGGGAGGGGGAATCTGGCCAAACAATGTGGCACTTGGCAGGCCCGACCAGGCGCCCCCAAGCCGGCACCCCAGGACAGCGCTGCCCGCTGCTCCTCTCAATGAGCCTTGGTTCCTCCAACACCAGAAGAGGAGCACCTCACAGAGGGGTTTCGTACCCCCTCAAAAATCGATGCCCAGGTCCATGGCTCACCCCGCTCCTAACAACACTCAGTGCCCTTAGCAAACTACAATTCCCAAGATTCTTTTATAATAATAATAATAATAATAATAATAATAATAATTTATTATTTATACCCCGCCCATCTGGCTGGGCTTCCCCAGCCACTCTGGGCGGCTTCCAAAAGAATATTAAAATACTATAATACATCAAACATTAAAAGCTTCCCGAAACAGGGCTGCCTTCAGATGTCTTCTGAAAGCCTGGTAGTTGTTGTTCTCTTTGACATCTGGTGGGAGGGTGTTCCACAGGGAAGGCGCCACTACCGAGAAGGCCCTCTGCCTGGTTCCCTGTAACTTGGCTTCTCGCAGTGAGGGAACCGCCAGAAGGCCCTCGGTGCTGGACCTCAGTGTCTGGGTAAAACGATGGGGGTGGAGACGCTCCTTCAGATATACTGGACCAAGGCCGTTTAGGGCTTTAAAGGTCAGCACCAACACTTTGAATTGTGCTCGGAAACGTACTGGGAGCCAATGTAGGTCTTTCAAGACCGGTGTTATGTGGTCTCTGCGGCCGCTCCCAGTCACCAGTCTAGCTGCCGCGTTCTGGATTAGTTGTAGTTTCCGGGTCACCTTCAAAGGTAGCCCCACGTAGAGCAGTAATCCAAGGTTCCTTTTGAGGAACCAATCACTGCTTAAAGTGCTATGATACTGCCTTAAATGTATAGTGCAGATGAAGACCCAGAAAAATACTTTAATTCCCCCTCTCCCCCCGGTATTTTGTTGCTGGACTTGGCTGTTTGAAGTAAAGGGACTTTTCCCAAGTTCAAGCCACCCAGAAAGGTCATTTTTCCTTTCTTTGTATCCCTGCAAAAACTTTTTTCCCCCTGGTGCTACCACTGAAGCTTCCTGATTCCCTATCTTTCCCACATTCACCGAGCATGACGACAGGCCGGTGTGTAACATTTCAGGAATTTCCTGCTTTTCAATATTTGTTTCTAAAGAAACATCTAAGCATTCCACCCCACCACTTTTTCATCTTAGCCCATTCAGATTCTGTATTACCATCCTAACAAGCAGCAGGAAATGAGAGAACTGGGCAACAGGATTTGGGCTAGGTGGAGGAAAAGAGAGGGATGGGAAGTATTCATCACTTGGTACAGTGGCTGCAGGTTTTGACCCCCGGAGTGAATCAACACAGCTGGGGGTGGGGCCTTTCTTCAAAAGGGGATGTGCATTAGCAACAACTTTGTAAAAGTGGCAGTGTTGCTCCCTTTTAGAGTTCTAGAACCAAAGCCCCCGTCATCACACTGCAAAGCTTTTCAAAATAAGAAAGAAAGCATTTCATCATTTCCATGAAATAAACACAAAGAAGGGAGCAGGCAGCATCTAAAATAAACAGCTCTCCCATTATTGCTGATCATCTGAGCAAACTAATGTGAATTAGTAAGAAAAGCAATGGTTGTTTTTGACCTACGCAGTTCAGGACCCCTATATCGAAAGGGCTGCCATTCTGCATATGAACCTGCCCAGACCCTGAGATCATCATCTGAGGCCCTGCTGTGCAAGCCTCCTTCGAGGAAGGCCTGGAGGGTGCAAACGAGAGAATGGGCCTTTTCTGTAATAGCACCCTGTCTATGGGATGCTCTGCCCAAGAAGATTGGCCTGCCACAAACGTTGGAATTGTTTTGAAGCCAGAGACGTCTTTGTTTTCCCAGGCATTTGGGCAGTGCCAACAACTGACTGTTTGTTTTGGTGTTCATTTGAAGCTGGATGGGGTGGTTCTCATGGAGATGGACCATTTTATGACACTGAAATCTATTAGGGATGAGGAAAGCTGTCCAGTTCCTTGTTTTTCTAGTCCTAAGTTTGGTTCTCCACATTCCCACATCACTTTGCAATTTATTTTTTTAAGTCCTCATGAAAAATCATCAGCATTTGAGTGCTAATGCATTCATTTATTGCATAGAATTTTGCCTAATACTGTATACAAATGATGACCATTTCGCATGGGAGTTCCATTCCTGGACACCATGTGCATCAGTCAGTACGTATTTGTGTGCCCCGCCCTGTTACGCTCCATTCTGCCCCATTCCACCTTCTTTCAAGTCCAAAAGTACCCGCATATCAGCAATCATGCATCATTTGGACACACCTAAAATAGTCGCTGCCTGTACACAATCTGGCAAAGCAGATTTCCCTAATATAATTAATTTTTCTATGTTATTTTCATGAATACTTGCATTTTAATGCATATGTTATACAGTATGTGCATTTTTCCACACATTAGTTTGCTGCATTGCAAAATCTGGAGAAGTGTGAATTTCAAAGGATGTGTGTGTCAACATCCCATGCCCTTTTGAAATGTGTTTTTTTGGGGGGGGTTGGGTTGTCTTTGTTTTGATTGTGTATTTTGTGGTTGTATACAGTGGTACCTCGGGTTACAAACACTTTGAGTTACAGACTCTGCTAATCCGGAAGTAGTACCTTGGGTTAAGTACTTTACCTCAGGATGAGAACAGAAATTGCACAGTGGCAGCAGGAGGCCCCATTAGCTAAAGTGGTACCTCAGGTTAAGAATGGTTTCAGGTTAAGAACGAACCTCTGGAACGAATTAAGTTCATAACCAGAGGTACCACTGTATTTTGATTTTATTCTGGGAACCGCCCGAGACGTGCGGGTATAGGGCAGTATATAAATTCAACAATTAATAATAATAAATAAATAAATTTTCTCCCGTCACTGATTCTATGTTTTCAACATGCTTATGTGATTCTCACTATTGCATTTTTACTTGGCAAATTGCTTTGGGAATTTTTGTAATGGAAAGCAATATATCAATTTTATAAACCTTACCTTACCTAACACCTTGAATTGCTACAGTTCTCTTGTCCATCTAAGGTCAGAAACGAAAACCACCCAGGTGACTACAAGTGGTATTTGCTATCATGGTTTTTTAGTCTGCAAATGTTACATCAATAAGTGTGCTGTTTTATGCATTGTTCCGACATTTCTTTCCATTGAAATGCATGGAAGTTAATTACATAATTATTGGCGTAATTATATTAGTTTCGGCCACAGCACATAGTAAAATAGCAGAAGCTGAACTGTAGCAGAAGAGAAACAGTGCCAATTGCAATGGGTTCAGGACAGAATGGAAATCACTGCCTCCTTACATTCTTAATAATAAACAATAAAATTTTATTTATATCCTGCCCTCCCCAGCCGAGGCCGGGCTCAGAGCGGCTAACAACAATAAAAGTAACACAGCATTCTAAAATCAATTCATTCTAAAATCAAATTCTCCAAACATCCCAGAACGCCAAACAAAGCAAATCCAAATCAAAAGATCACGTGTTCTTAGATCCCACTGTGTACCAATGGCAAATTAAATATTTTGTTTGGAGCTCCAGATGTGTTGTAACTACTTGCACAACAGTAGTGCAGTAATATTAAGCATATCATGGGACAGAATTCTGAAGGCAAAGTTAGGAAGACAAGTGGTTTTTATCACAGCTCCGGGGGGATAACCTAGCAACCCAAATTTCCTAAATCAAGCCAATAGTGCTCAAGGGAAAGTTAGGATTCAGTGGGCTCACTTTATATTTGCCTTACCTACAGTACAATTTTAAGCGAATTTATTCAAAATTTGGAAGGAAGCTCCAGTATGTCCAGTGTGGCTTATTTCTGACTTACAAGTTAAGCCCTGTTTAGGGAAGTTTTTAATGATTGTGTTTTAATGCGTTTTTAACCTGTTGAAAGCTGCCCAGAGTGGCTGGGGAAACCCATACAGATGGGCGGGGTAGAAAATTATTATTATTATTATTATTATTATTATTATTATTATTATTAGTGTTAGCACCACAGGCTAGCAGTAAGGCCATTGAACACAGTGAAACTTGCACATTTAACTAGGACAAACCCCACTGAACACTCGCAGAGGGACTGACTTCTGACTCAAGGAAATATGCCAGAGTTTTCACTGTAAGTGAACCTAGCTAAGATCTGGCAGTACATTCCATTCCAGGCTTTAAAAAATGCAGAGATTTCTTTTTAATCAATCAGTTTGACGATAGGTTTTTGTTTTTGTTTTGCAAAACGACAGGAAACAAGAGGAACACGACCCAAGATCCAGGTGACATTTGCAAAACATCTTACGTTATGGCGGGGTGCCAACGTGAAAAAAATGTCAGGAGGGGGACCCAGGTAAGCCCTGCCTTGCATAATCAATCACATGATGTGGTGCATGCACACCATTTGAATGGCAATGCGCTTCAACTTGGGGGGCAGCCCCCTCAAATATTTTATTGGGAGGCTTAATCGTGTTGCTGGGAAATTTGTGGTTCTTTCTCCTATAAATTCAGGGGGTTGTTGCAGCAGTGAAGAGCGTTGGGGAAGCGAGCCCCCCCCCTTTCAGGCTAGTCTTACAGGGCAATCTGAAACATGTTAACTGAAAAGCACAGCCTTCTTGCTTCAATAGACTTTACTCCCACATAAGTGTGTGCAAGACCACAGCCTTCATCATAGTTTTCCAAGTATGCTCAGAAAGTTAATCAAAGATTCTCTCCTTTCCATTGGGCTGGGAGGGGGTGGTGGAGATCTGCCCTCAGGTTCTAAACCCCTTTGACTGCATAAGTAAAAGCTTCCCCTAGTCCGGACGGATCCTGATCACTTACCTTGCATCAGCAGAAACGCTGCCCAAACTATGAGCTTCTGTAGCGCAGGGCTCACCGCTCCTGCCATGCTTGTCTAGTTGCAGAAACTTCTTCTTGATGGAACTGGGTAGCCAGGGAGACTGGCTGGACCCTGCACTCACTTGCCTCCTTTTCTGCCGGTCAGTTCCACTGGGGGCTTTTGTTGTCTCTCTGCTCCAAGACGCACAAGCATAGGGATGCTGACACAAACAAGTTTGTCAGCTCCAAACGTTTCATCAAGCCACTTCCTCCCCTCTTGGTATCAGTGCGTATTTTCCCGGACTGTTCACAGGATACCGGAAGGGGTGGGTGTGAATTTCAGGTCCTCCTCTCCTCCAGCTTCTTGTCAAAACTACAACTGCTGGAAGACCCCACACCAGAAAAAGGACTGTGTGCACCAACTTTCCTGTCCTCCCCCCCCCCCATAGGACCTGGAATCTGCTGGCTCCTAAGTCAAGGAATTGCTCTCTGTCTTTAAAAAGTTCCCCTCCCCTCCCCTCCCCGCCTCTTTTCCTTCAATTATATCTACTTCAGCCTTCCTTGTGCATAGACAATGCTCTGAAAATATGAAGTTTTTCCCAGAATGGGAGTGAAGCCAATGGGTTTTATTTAGCTATCCAACAAGCAATGCAATTTGTAAGTGAATAATGATTTTTAAAAAATCTAAGAAAGGGTTGGCCAAACTATGAAGGCATACATTTCAAAAACTGGCAGAGGGGGGGAAACAACCCCCCACACACTTTACAGTAACAAAAGGATCCAAAGGAGTCCACAAAATACGAAAACCACTTCCAAAAATGCAAATGATGTTTGAAAGCTTTGTTTCGAATATTCTGCTTTCTTGTTTTTAAGCAGATTCTTAAATTCCAACTACGCTTGATCAAATTGTCCATGGATTCCTCTGATGGATTCTTGTGAGAATCCCTAATCGTCTTAGCAAGAACTTTTTTAGGTGTTTTTCTTTTTATCTAAAGTTCTTTTGTGGGTTAATTCTGCAAACCATGGGTTTTCTCAATGCCTGTTGATGGTGCTGTTTGGGCTATTTTGGATGCAGGTGGTGCTGTGGTCTAAACCACTGAGCCTCTTGGGCTTGCTGATCAGAAGGTCGGTGATTCGAATCCCTGCAACGGGGTGAGCTTCTGTTGCTCTGTCCCAGCTCCTGCCAACCTAGCAGTTTGAAAGCACACCAGCCCAAGTAGATAAATAGGTACTGCTGTGGTGGGAAGATAAATGGTGTTTCCATGTGCTCTGGTTTCTGTCGCGCTTTCCCGTTGCAGAAGAAGCAGTTTAGTCATGCTGGCCACATGACCCTGAAAGCTGTCTATGGACAAACGCCGGCTCCCTCAGCCTGAAAGTGAGATGAGCACTGCAACCCCATAGTCACCTTTGACTGGACTTAACTGTCCAGGGGTCCTTTACCTTTACCTTTTTACATAAGAATCGGTGTTCAGAGAACGAGCTCACTATTAGCATGGGTGGTGCGACTTTCCAGTGTATGCACCCAATTTCCCCATAACTTTTGAGTGTTATTTCTAATCACCGTGATAGGATCTCTGTACCAAAGAGCTATGGCAACGTTTCCTAAACTTGGGTCTCCTGCTGTTTTTGGACTACAACTCCCATCAGCCCCAGCTAGCAGGACCAGTGGTCAGGGATGATGGGAATTGTAGTCTGAAAACAACTGGAGACCCAAGTTTGGGGAACACTGGGTTATGGCATATCAACTGTGAGTTTGAGATTTATTTTTTTCAACAGCAGTTGCTCATGGCACAGGACACACACGGCTTTTAGATGTCCTTTCAATTCCAACAGCTGTTCGCCGCCTAACACATGGGGCTGCTGTTTGAGAATCACTTGTCCATGCTCCACCCACCCTGCTTTAGGAATATAGAACTAGTTCTGCGGTCCTCAGAAGAACGTCACTGTGGTGTGGTGGTTAGGGTGTCAGTTTTGGGGCTGGAAGAGCAAGGGTTCAAATCCCCACTTGACTATGAAGCTCACTTGGCAATCACTGATAGACTTGTTGTGAACATAATATGGAGAAGGGGAGAACCCAAGCTAATCACATTAAGCTGCTAAGAGGACAGGAGGGGAGGTAGATGCAATAATCATTCAGATGAAATACATCCCTATTCATAGATCGTGCACCTTATTGTCATAGAAAATCTTGCAAACAGCTGGAATTTGCCAAGGTCCTCGGAACAGACAATGGCAGGATGTTGCACGCAAGTGGCAGGAAGTGTTTTGAATGATAAACTTCAATAATAATAATAATAACATGTTTAAGGAGAAGCAAATTGAGCCACAAAAGGCCAGAATCATAAAAGCATGAGGACAAAGGTCGGAAGTCTGCATTAATCACAGAAAATGTGTGCTCCCTCTTGCGATGGGAGGGACAGCCAACACAATCGGATACACCTTACTAATTTAGCATTGTTTTGTAAAGAAACTATCTGGAGCAGCCAAGACAAAATCTAGGCAGGTGTGATCAGATAACAAGCACTTGTCTTATTCCAGCTTTTTCTTTGGCTCAAGGTCATTCACCCTGTCCCTGAAAAGAAGAGCAGCAACTAGGAACGAGTAGAATTGGCAATTTCTGCTTCTCATCTTTCCAATCTTAAGTCCAGTTCTCCATATTTCAACATCTGTTGGTGATTTTCTTTTTAATAATAATAATAAAACCCTCCTGAAAATTCATCAGGATTTCAGTACCAACTTCTCCTGAAATAAACATTTTGGTATGCCATATTGCCTAATTTTCGCAAAGTGTATTTTCCCTAGCATAATGCTTTTTAAAAATGTTCCCCCACCCGTTAATATATGTATTTCTATGCAGAGTGTCAGGGAACTGCCATCGGAGCTAGAGGCGGAGGGAAGGCTCCAGAGGGATGCCGGAGAGGGTCCCAGTAGGGAGAGAGGCAGCCCGTCCGCTGGGGAAGGAAATCAGCGTAACACCAGTGGAGAAGGGGGGCAGATGGGGGAATCGGAGAGGAGGCTCCAAGACTCCTCGCCGGAGACCAGCGGAGAGAGTACGGGTCCTCCGCTGCCCACACCCTCCCTGCGCAGAAGGCTTCCGCGCAGGGAGACTAGGCGGAGACTAGGCGTCAAAGAACTTTTGTGCTGGAAGAAGTTCAAGAAACGCCCACTGACGGATTCTGCCAGCGACTGAGACAGCCACGAAGCTAGAGGCTGTCCGGTCAGAAAGGGTTCAACCAGGTAACCTAGACAGGAGTGGCGGCAACTTACGCACGAGCAACCCCTAAACCCATTACACAGAGTTTGTCCCAATATATGCCCTTTTTGGTACACTTTACTTGGCTGGAAAACTGCATTGCAAAATTCGGCGAACTGCAAATTTTGAAGGATGTCTGTCTTTCGGTTCATGTATTGTTTCAGAAAGTCTGAATTAGGTAAGTTGGCCTTTAAATGCAAACTGACACACATGGGAGCCAGGAACGGGACCCACACACAAAATGGCCATTGCCTATACTTTTGATGAAGAAGAGACTGTCCCATCTCCAATAGAGGCTGCTAATGCTGCACTGTCAAAGAGTTTTGATTGTTAAAATGTTTCTTCCCTGCGATTTCCAGTCATTGGTTATACTCTTGCCAGATGGCGAGAACAAGTCACCTCTATCTTCTGCACAACAGCCCTTCAGATATCTGAAGGCAGCTTTTTTTGCCAGCTGACCTAGTGTTTGGAATTCCTATCTGGTTTTTGTTGTCTTTTTTTCCTGTTCTGTTTTTAATGTTCCATAATATAAGCTTATTGGAACAGCCTAAACTGTTATAAGGGACGCGGGTGGCGCTGTGGGTTAAACAACAGAGCCTAGGACTTGCCGATCAGAAGGTCGGCGGTTTGAATCTCCGCGACGGGGTGAGCTCCCGTTGCTCGGTCCCTGCTCCTGCCAACCTAGCAGTTCGAAAGCACGTCAAAGTGCAAGTAGATGAATAGGTACCGCTCTGGCGGGAAGGTAAATGGCGTTTCCGTGTGCTGCTCTGGTTCGCCAGAAGCGGCTTAGTCATGCTGGCCACATGACCCAGAAGCTGTACGCCGGCTCCCTCGGCCAATAAAGCGAGATGAGCGCCGCAACCCCAGAATCATCCGCAACTGGACCTAATGGTCAGGGGTCCCTTTACCTTTACCTTTTAAACTGTTATAAATACATCCACAAAAAATCCTGAGAATAGTGGCTTGTTAAGGATGCTGAGAGTGGTTAGGAAACCCCATTCCCACCAGAATGTTGCAGTTTCCAGAATGGTTTAACCATCAATCTCTCTTCCCAGGGAACTAGGGGGATTGTATATTGAGTGCCATCATTGGGTTGTATCCCGTGCTAGTCCTTCTCATTGATGTTAGTGGGACTAAGGTGAGAGTATGAAATTAAAAATAATAATAATTGCAGTGTAGAGTGCTTCTGCTGAAGGTTCCACGGAGTTAGCCACAAGCTTTTCCAGACCCCACCATTCCATTCCCTCAATTTTCCATTTCCTCTGCCAATAAAAACTCAGTGTTTTGTAGCCAGTGAGCATCCTTGGTCCTCTTTGGACACAGTGGAGGGTTGGGCAGAGTCCAACACCCTGATGTGGATTTAAATAATTTCTCCCTCTCTCATCACATCAATCATTTGATGAATGGATGGGGGAAGGTAGCTCCCCTGCTCAGCTGGTTTGCACTGATCCACTGAGGAAGGGCTGTGTGCATTTGTACATGCAAGATTGTGCATGAGTGAGTGGGAAGGGCAATTTAGATAGTGTAAGATAGCCACACCCACTGCTAGCAGCTGGCCCCTTTAAGAGCATGATTATAGGCCACAATTTGGTTTTATACAACCATAACAACAGTAATATATATATATTGGGGGGCGGCCTGTATTCAGACCATTACTGTATATATGTTTTCAGCAGGATTACATCACTGTTAACTAATCAAGTTGAAACAGCTTTATTTACCTGCCACCCACTGATGTTTCCAGAAAGCTAATATAACTCTTTTCCAAAAGGTGTGCTGTTTTGGAACCTAAAAGCAGCAGCGTGGAATAGGTTAAGTTTATTTTGGGGCCTTCCCAAAAGGCCTATCTGAATTACTCATTCCAATTTAGCACTTTCCACTCCTGCGGAGGCAAAGCTTCCATGAGAAATGGTTCCTGTTATGTTTGGGGAGCAGCCACAGCTCTAAGGCAGTCATGTGTCCTGTTTTACAGAGGCTAGTCCTCTTTTTCAAAGAGTCCTCTATTTGAAGAGTCAGATTCTGGTTTAAAGAGGAAGGGAAACAAGGATATGAATGTAAGTTATGGAAAGATTGATTCATTTTTCTTTTTCTTTTTTTTCTCTTTAAGTGTCTTTTATTCTTTTTTCTGTATTTTGTATTTTGTATTTTCTTGTACTTTTACTTTTTGTTTTTGTGTAATTCTTGTATTCTCTGAAATTTTAATAAATATCATTTAAAA